ATTGGTGAACCAAGAACTTGCTGGTTGTTCAGGGGAGAAAGGAGGGGTTACTTTGATTTCAGAGGCAGGTTTGTCCTGGCTGCTATCCAAGCTCTCAGTTTCTTGTCTTGCGAAATTTTTCACAGCTCCTTCTGTTACTGAGAAAAAGTTACAGTAATGTTCAATCTGAGCATACCACTCCGTCAGGAGGGGAGGTCCCAGTAGTGACTGTCTTAATAACATTGAAAGGGCTTCTCAATACAATTGGTTGTTGTAGTGCAATTTTTTCCACTTCAATGAGAGTCAAACTGACCACAAACAATCCATTTTCCCAGGCAGTGTATAGTTTCTCTGCATCTCTGAAACCACGGGAATAAAAACCAACAGGCCTTGTCGGCCCCTCGGGTCCCCGCTGCCGTGTGTGTACTGACAATCCTAAGGCAGTAAATCCCCATCCTACCTGAAAGGGGTCTGTAGGATGAACGTAACCCAGAGCTCAATGAGCTGTTGCTTCAAAAATCAGCAATTGCAATGCTTTCTCCTGAGAAGGAGTCCAATCCCATTTCACCCCTTTCCTCAGCGAGTCATAAAGGGGAACAAATGGGTCGTTCTGGTTATTAGGAAATCTGTCTGGTCTTTCTGCAGGAGATACAGCTGCTGTGGTTTTTTTAGGGAGAATTGCTGTGGGTTTGAGTGATTCTGGAAGCCCACAAATTAAAAGGGTCATTATTTCAGGCTTCACAGGTAACTGCATTGGGGATTCAAAGCCAGGAATTAACTTCTTTTCATTAATCATTGGCAGGTAAGCAGCTTTGTGCACACTTTCTAGGAGTTGGTCAGGGGTGTTAACTATAACTTCAGGATCTCCCCTTTCCAAGGGGCTCGTTCTCCTGGCCCAAAAAGCCACATGCTGTGTCAGGGACCATGAGTCACGTTTATCTCCTGTTGTTAAGAAGACACTGTGTCCCCAGGACCCACTGGCTTCTTGTTCAGTTAATTTGATTTGATTGCCACCAGTCAGGGACACCCGGAAAACATATTCTGTTTCTGATTCATGTGGGAGGTGTCCATATTCTTTTTTAAGCTCAGCTAACGCGGTGGCAGGGCATGGTACGTGTTTAGTTGTGATGTGGGGTTCAAGATCATCATCACTAAGATAGTTATATTCTGTTTTAATTAAGGGTCTTAAGTGAGGCCAGCAATGTTCCCCACAATTATTTGTTGCCTCAAGTTCTTTGTGAGGATAAATTTGCTTATTGTGAGGAGTTTCCTTTTCCTCAGGATCTATAGAGGAATCGGCATTATGTGATTTGTTAACATGTTCCTCTGTTAAGGCAGCTCGCAATGCATAGTTCTCATTTCTTAATGGATGTTTTTCATTCCTTTCTTCATGTAATTGTTTTTGTAAAATTTCAACTAAGTTTTGAAGGAAGTCTATTATTGTTTCTTGCTCACTTCTTCCCTGAAAGCAAGTTTCTACAGCTGCCGTAAGACAAGCTCCCAAAACTGAGCATAAGATGGTTTTATTTTTTCCCAGTTTAAATTTTGTGTCATGTTGTAAAGAACAAACTCTATCAACCACATTATCCAATTAAACTAGTTACTCTGTGCCCATTCCTCTCCTCCCGGAGAGGGTTTGGCATTGTATTTAGCTAGTAAAGCATAAAATTCAACTTTACCCTTATCGTTAAGGTTATTACTCATTTTGTGAAGGGACCAAAACCACAGCAGGGAGGTACAAACTTAAGTTACGCAAACCACATGGCCCTCGCAGTGTCGCCCTTCACTTCCCTGGGTGGGTGAAGAGACAAAATCTGCCTGGGAGGCTCTGCTTAGTTTCTTCAAGTTTTCCCTTCCTTCCCAGACAGTCCAAACACACATAAAAACAATAAAACAACACAGTGTCCCGCCTTTTGCACTAAGAGATTCTTTGTGAATTTCTGAAGACAGTGTGGGTGCTTTTTCGCCTAGGCAATGTGCAGTCTGCAGGAAATTCAAATCTCTCCCCTTGCTATCTAGAATGACTCAGCTTTTTGGGCTGGCAGGCTAGGTGCGGCTGGAAAAAAACTTCCTTCCCCTGTTACAGACTACACAGAACCTGCACCCTTCTGCCTAGACAGAAATCCTGTCCGTGACGCCAATTTAATGTCACTATGCGCTCATAGCGGGGTCTCGTGATGGTTCGTTAGCCGATCCCAAAGTGCAAAAGACAAACAGCAGGGGACTATCAGTTTAATCACAACAAATGCACCTTTATTAGGGGCCAAAACATTAAATGTGATAGTGGGGTCAGAAAAGAAATAAAAAGGATAGAGAGAGAGAGAAGAGGGGGATGGGAATAGCTACCAACACAGGTGAGGTCCTCACTGATCTGGACCATGGGGATCCATCTTGTTGTGTCGGGGAGAGTCTCCAAAGTCCTGCCCAACCCAGGGGTCCAGTTATAGTCCACAGAGGGAAAGGGGGGAACATGCAGAACAATGAGAATCTGTTGAAATTGCTATGGGGGCGAACAGGCAAATCTACTGAAAACCATCTGGGCAGGATGAACACAATGAAGAATAAGTCCATTGGAGTTACTGGAGAAGAACAGGTCATGTCATTCTCCCCCCACTCCCTGTGGTAGGGGTCTCAGTCTCAGTCCTTGGGGAGAGGGTTCTTGATCTCCGTCTGTCATGGTGGTAACGAGGCAGATGAGGGGTCTTCAGTGAGAGACCACCAGGGTCACCCCAACAGTTCATTCAGCTTAAAGGTGGGAAGTGAAGTAGGCACTGCAGCAGCTGCCCTGTGCTGGGTCCACGCTGGGTTGTCGCCAAGTCCTTGCCAGGCCTCGTTGGGAACAGCTGGCATGACGGTGCAGTGGCTGCACCTGCACTGTTGCCTTCTCCAAGCCGGAACTGCAGCCAGGGGGTTTTCCTTCTTGTGGAAATCAGCAAACAAATCAGTGAGGGTCTTCCGATGGCCTCTTACAGGGGTTCAAGGGAACAAGATGGAGGGATTTGGGCATGTCCTGATCTTCTCTCCTTGTTCTTACCCTCCATGTCTTGCTGCAATGGTGACACTTTTCTATTGGTTGAAGGTAGAGACACACTGTCCAACATAAATGATAGATATTGGCACGTTATTGTAAACACAGTACAGGTAGTTTTTAGTGTAGAAGGCAAACAGCGCCCTGAGGGCAGGGAGACTGCCACAGACCGACCTGCTAGACAGAGCTCAGCAGAGCGGACAAAGCGTGTTAGAGAAAAGGGAAAATAAACAGCCCTGAGAAGCAAAGCTCCGCATCTCGACTCCTTCTCTGCCCACACAGGCTGGGAGAAAAGGACTTTTCACAATCTCGGGGTCATCTTGACCACCAGAAAATCAAGAGGGGATCTCCACTCATCCCAGTGCCCAGTGAGGAGGGGTCAGTGCTTGAGGGGGGGCTGGGGGCACTGAAGGGGGTGCGGGTGTGGTTTTTAGGGGGTCCTGGAACCCCCCGGGGTAGGGTCAGTGCTCAGCAGCGGGGGCTGCCTTGGGACCCCCCCGGCCCCCAAATCACAGCCGGGTCTCCTGCAAGGCACTGAGGGGAGGTTCGTTCACCCTCCGTCCCCTCCAGCGTCACCACACGCCTTCCCAAAGTGTCCCCAAGTGCTCCCAAAGTGCCGTCAGAATGTCCCCGAGTCTCTGCCGAGGTGACACCGGCCTGATGATGGCCCAGTGGTGATGTTGCTCTGTGCACAGCAGCCTCGGGATGTCCTCCATGGCTCTTTGGCACAGCTCGGCCGCTGCACAGCCACCATGGCCAGGAGAGGAACAGAAGAAGAGGGTGTTGATGTCCCCAAGTGTCCCCAGCAGGTGACGCGTGGCCAGGCGGGCACTGGCCTCCCACAGCTGCTCAGCCTCGGCCACTGTGGCCACCAAGGCCACATGGAAATCAGAGGAACCTCTGTTGTCCCCTCCAGGGCAGCCTCGATGTCCCTGAGCCGGCACTGCAGCTCCCGGGGGAACGCGGTGGCTTCGTCACACGCGGCCACCAAGTCCCCCAGCAGCCCCAGGTGCAGCTCCAGCCGCTGTCCCCTCCTGATGGCCGCATCCGCAGCTGTCCCCTCCTGGTGGCCGCATCCGCAGCTGTCCCCTCCCGGTGGCCGCATCCCTGCAGGCGTCGCGGAGCTCGGTGGCCGCCTTGGCCAGCCGGGCCCAGCTGTCCATGAGCCTGTCCAGCACACGCCTGGCGCTGGCCAGGGCTCTCACACAGGCCCAGGTGGTCCCTGGGGTGTCCCCGAGGTTGGCCAGGGTCCAGCCCAGGGAGGGGACAGGGCGGTGGCCCAGGGAGGGGACACAGTAGTGGCGCAGGGTGTCCTGGAGGTGAAAGATCAAGGTCCCCACAGCCACCCGCAGGAACTCTGGGGACACGGCCAGCAGCACATCCTGGGACAACTGGGAAGGGGACACAGCAGGTGTCAGGGACCTGGTGGCACTTGTGGCGTCCTGCGGTGACACCCAAGTGTGACATCACCTATGTCCAGGTGTGACATCATCTGTCCCCAGCTGTCCCAGGTGTCACTGTGCACCTCTCCCATGCCCATGCCCCTCCCCCATGTCCCTGCTGTCCTGGCACAGGTGATATTCCTCTGGTTCCAGTTAAAATTCTCTCTTTTTCGTGCAAAATTCCACCCATTCCGCTCAAAATTCTCTCGGTTCCATCCCAAATTCTGCCGGTTCTGGTCAAAATTCCCGATTTTTCATGCAAAATTCCTCTAATTCCAGTTGAAATCCCCTCATTTTCATGTGAAATTCTGCTGGTTCTGTGCAAAATTCCCTCATTCTTGTGTGAAATTCCAGCGGTTCTGGTCAAAATTTCCTCGTTTTCATGCTAAATTCTTCCGGTTCTGTGAAAAATTCCCTCATTTTCATGCAAAATTCTGCCGGTTCTGTGCACAATTCCCTCAGTTCCACGCAGGATCCACCCAGTTCCCTGCAGGATTCCCTCATTTTCGGGCGAAATTCCCACAATTCCTTCTCTTCCGCGTGAAATCCCGCCGGTCCCATGCAAAATCCCCTCATTTTGGTGCGAAATTTCCTCACTTCCGTGCAGAATTCCCTCATTTCTGTGCAGAATTCCCTCATTTCCCTGCGGAATTCTGTGGATCCCCTCACGGACGCAGGCACCCTGGCCCCTCCCGGATCCCATTCCCGGATTTTCCCGGCTATTCCTGGGTCCCATTCCCAGATTTTCCTGGCCGGGCACCCCCTCCTCTCCCGTGCTCCCTTTCCCACCCTCCCCGCCCTCATTCCCGCTGGGAATTCCCGGATTTTCCCAGCACTCCCCCACCATGGGTTCCTCATCCTCCTCACAGGTGAGCACCAGGTCCTCCTGCAGCCACTGGCGCTTGACCAAAACCCACGGTTTTCGGGGCAGAGCCCGGGCCCCTTCCTCGCTGCCCTCCTCCTCCTCCTCCTCCTCGCTGCCCGCTTTCCCCGCCGGGAGCTCAGGCAGCGGCGCCGGGAGCAGTGCTGCTGGGGTGTTGGCTGTCGCTGGCACGGCTGGAGAGCAGCCGTGAGGAGGAGGAGGAGGATGATGAAGACGACGAGGATGATGAGGACAAGGAGGAAGCGGGCGGCTCGGCAGCGTGGCTCTCCCGCAGCAGCTCGGTGCACTTGTCCACGATGTGCCACATCTGCAGCACGCTGCCCACCGTCAGGAAGCTGAGCAGGTCCCCGCGGGCCATGGACAGGCGCCCGGTGTAGGCGCAGCCCAGCACCAGCGCGAAGGCCGCGGGGTCCATGACGCTGGGCAGCTCGATGGAGTCCAGGTTCTTCAGGAACAGCTGATCGTGGAAGAAGGGCGAGGACGCGGCCAGCACGGCGCGGTGCGCGCGGAACTCGCGGCCCTGCGGGACAAAGCGGGAATTGAGCGGGACAGGAATCCTGCTGGGGAAGGTGAAACAGGGAATCTCATCAATGCGATTGCCTGGCAAAGGATTCTGAGAATATGGAAATGATAACTGAGATGGAAACGAAAGCAAGCTTTGAGATGCCAAATCTTAGTTACTGAACAACTGGAAAACAAGGGCATGGCCAGCTGAAGGTAATCCCCTTTTGATGAAACAATACCCTCTGCTTGCAGACAGCTCCAAGGGTCAGAGCAGACCCTACTGGCTTGGCAGAGGGGGTCCAAAGAGAAGTTTTTAGGGTTTAAAATGTAACACAGTATGGTAATGTCATGATTTCTATAGGCTATATGCAAATCCTATAGGATTTGTGTCTTGTACTGGATTGGTTAGAGAAAATTAGTATATTCAGAAGAGAAGATTTATGGTATTGTAACGGGAACTTCTCTGTCTTTGGGGAATTTGTATCTTGTACTGGATTGGTTAGTGAAAATTAAAATATTCAGCACAGAAGAAGATTTATGGTATTGTAATGGAAACGTCTCTCTCTTTCGGGTCTCTCTTTCGCCCTGCTCGGACCTGTGGCTGGCAGCCCCAAACAGGGCCCCTGCCAATACAAACAGGGCCTATATATAAAAGTTTATTGCCCCTTTGCAATAAACCCAAGTTCCAAGCCCTGGCTTCAGAGATCTCTCGTCTCTGTCCTAACCACCGTCCTCCTACAAAATCTGTTCCATATTCAGGTGAGGAGTTCTGAGCCTGTGACGAGCTCATCTGTGCTCGTTAAGGCTCATCAAGGCTCCCCGTTCTCGCGAGAAAAATAAAAAACTTGTGCTGGCAGAATCGCCTCAGCCAAGAGAAAGAATTCGAAAATTCAAACTGCCAAGATAAATGGAGAGAAGAAATTAAAAAATTCAAACTCCCAAGATAAGCAGGGGCCCCTGTTGCCTTTATAAAAGACAACCAGAGACCTGGTTCAGGGAACAGCACGGCAGCCTGGCCTCGCCCAGGCTGCTCGGGCTAGTCAACACACGCAGACACCAATATGGCAGACGGTTGAAAAGCGTTTATTATCCTATCTCGTGGGTTTAAATAGTTTTGGGGGATTTTGCTGCGTCAGAGGGGGGTTGGGGGTCTCAGGGGTTTGTCGGGTAGTGGAATTTTACCAGGGCAGGTGTGGCTGCATTCTTCTGAGGCTCCTGGGGTCGATAGATAGCGTGGGGGAGAGAGAGAGGGGGAGGGGTCTATCTTTCCGTCACATTCCGAGAGCTTCCGTTCGCCTGTCCCTTACCTACCACAGGCCCCTTTGTGGGGGACAAAGGCTGAGGCTGACTGAGAGCTCTCTGCACAAAGGGCAAGGACTGATAAAAACTGATTGCAACTTGTAACACAAAATCAGTAAAATGAATATGCATGAGACTCTATGCATATGCATAAGCAAGGGAGGCTATCGTTACCGACATCTGGGAAGAATGGTGCACAGAACTCCGTGATATCAGAAGGCTAATTAATTACTTTATTATACTATATTATACTATAACTATATTACACTATATAGCAGAGTAACCCAATAGTTCTTTCTGTACTTTCTGACAAAAACTAAGTACAAGTGTAACCAGCTGTAAGTGTAACAAGAAATCAGCAGAATGAATATGCATGGACCTATTGTGAAATTCTATACATATAGAAATTAGTAAGGGTAATAAAAAAGAATCAGGAGTTCTAAGAGGTACGCATACCCTTTGAAGGAAAATCCCTGCTGCGTGAGAAATCCTGGTGTGCGTCCAGCACTGCAATAAACATACTGTCACTACAAATCTGTATTAGAATTGTGGGGTTTTGATTTTTCATCCGCATTTCATTTTCAAGGATGCTTTGCCAAGGATCAAAGCAAAACAGCAGTTCTGTTTCTCATTTTTGGGACCACAGTCCTTCCCCCATTTTCCCCTGGGGCTGAGGGTCCAGGAACAGACAGCTTCTTCACTTCTTCTCAGAAGACAGGGGGTACCATCACAAACCTCCCTAACTTTTCTCTGTTCGCACCACTCCAGTCACTCTCAGCTGCTGAAGCAGGTCTCTTGGTTCACCATGCATCCCCCTAAAATGCAGTCTCTCTTGCAGGAGAAATTTGGTTCAGTCTATGGCTATACAAGAAAAGTCTAGCCAAAAGCCACTCCATCATCGCCTCCCACCTAGAATTTCTCAGATTCCAGACTGTCTCTCTTCTTCTCTTTCAAGTCGAGGAGGAGTAATATTTCACAAAGCTTTCATTTCCCAAGGAAGGGTTAAAAGTCCTGACTCCCCTGACTGCTGAAATCTCAGCCCAGACTCCAGCTCCCACGCTGGGCACCTCCCCCCGCCTTTCTCCTCGGCAGCTGGAGAATTTCCAGGTGTCTTCAGGCTCTCTGTCTCTTCCCCTCTGGGGTGGGGGGGCGTGGAACAAAGACATCTCAGCCTTCCGCCACACTTCCCCCCCGCAGGAGCTGGCTCGGTTCCAGTCCCTTCACCCTTTGGCCTACCTCAGCCTGCGTGCATGGTTGTCCCTCCCCACCCAGCCCGTGGCTGGGCAGGGGAGAATCTGAACTCTCTGATGACCAGAACGAAAGAGAGAAAGTTCCCCTGGGAGTTCTGGTTTTTAACCCCTCTGTGTTCTCAGAGGCGTGTCCAGCCTTCAGTGGCCACTCCAGTTGCCAGTATCCAAACCTGACCGCTGATTGTTTTGACCCCAGCTTCCTCAGAAAATTATCTTCTGTGTCAAACCAGTCCACTACATTTCCTCCAGGCACGGGTGGGGGCGGGGGGGGGGGGCGGACTCTGACGATCCCTCACTGCTTGCTAGCCCGAGGTCAGTGTCACTGGCCACCTCTGGGCCAGCTCAGCCGGGCGCGCAGGCGGGGCGGGGGAAGCTGCTGGGGGCGGGTCGTGGCCTGACCTTCAGTTGGAGCCCGCCCTGGGCAGCGGATGGCACAGCCTGCTCCACCCGTGTTATGGGTGGCAGCTTTTGGGTGCCGTGCCTGGGGGCTGTGAGGGGCACCTGGGAGCGGGCTGGGCCAACTCCGCGGCCCATCCCTCCCGTGGATACTGGTGCTGCAGCAGCTGTGGGCACTGTGGTGTTCGAATTTGCTGCGAATGATGCCGTGGCCGGTGGGAGACCTGTGCTTTCCCGGGACGATGGGTCCCGGACTGGGGGTTCCTCTGCAGCTCTATGGACACTCCCTCCATGTCAGGTCACCATGCCTCCGAGAGAGCACAGGCGATTCTGGCGTGAGGTCAAAGATAAAGTCAATGACATGATTGATTCTGCCCCTGAGCGTGGCCTCCCAGATTACAGAGATGGGCTTTCTGTCCCTGCTGATGCTGCAGGGCGCACAACATTGTGTGGTGTTGAGCCAACTCCCGGACAGGCATCTGTCCCTGTCCCTGTGGTGCCCATGGGACGGGATGCAAAAGGTAATGGTACCTTATTGGGTGGTTTTCAGGTGTTCCCTGTGATTAGAGGTGCAGTTAACACCCATCAGCCCTTATTAAGGAAGGCTCTGATGGAACTCAGTGATAGAGTTGGAAAATATGGTCTGGAGTCTGTTGAAGTTATACAGCTGCTTAGGGTACTTGCGGCTGACACCTTGACCCCTTATGATATTAGGAATTTGGTTCATATTCTTTTTCAGACTGTGCAGTATGACATTTTTGAGACCAAATGTGCTGAGTTGGCAGCCAAAGCAGGGGCTCACAATACTACGCTGGGTCAACAGGATCCCAGGTGGGTTATTAGTACCGATGTATTGATGGGCACTGGCAATTATACTGGTCCTGATGGGCAGGTTGGTTTTGATGCCCTGGTGCTTGTCCAGTGTCACACAATAGATGTGGCAGCATTGGTTCAGACCATAGAAGTGGTTGCTCCAAAGGAGTATTTTGTGACTGTTGTCCAGGGAGCTGTCCTGGCTTGTAAGATAAGCATGTATTCTCTTGCCATCTGTTGGAGGTTGGGCAGTTTTCTTATCTCTTCCAAGAACAATATCTCCTTCCGGGGAGATATCTTTTGTTAATGGGCCATTGAATGACTCACTGCATGACTGGTAAAGTTACATTATCCCATTGTGAGATGTTCCACACAGAGGGAGGAGCCAAGCATTCCTACCTGCATAAAATCAGCATTTTTTGGTACATCAGAACAGCCTCTTCGCTGGATTCCCAGAGGAGCAGCTCTCTTCCCCGATGGATTCCCAGAGGAAGACCAGGCCCAACTGACCTTCAGAGAAAACTCCGTTCTTTTACAGATCACCGCTTCAGCAGCATTTCATCTGCCACTCCAGGAGGAGCCGCCACCATTTAACTGGACTACTACCAACACCCTGACTCCTCAGGGTGTCAGGTTTCTGACTCTATCAGTAGTTTTGTTTGTACCAATTACATTTTTTTTAACTTAGTTTTTTTTCCCTTACTAAAGAACTGTTATTCCCATTCCCATATCTTTGCCTGAGAGCCTTTTAAATTTGAAATTGTGGTAATTTGGAGGGAGAGGGTTTACGTTTTCCATTTCACAGGAGGCTTTTGCCTTCCTTCACAGACTCCTGTCTTTTCAAACCAAGACAGGAGCTGATGTCTTTCCTACAATTTGCAGACAGGCTGTCTGCCTCTGTTGAGAAGAAGGTGGGAGATCCTGAGGCAAGAAAGCTTTTGCTTAAACACGTTGCCAGAAGTAACTGCAATGCTGATTTCAATGCCGATTGTAGGAGAATCATAGAGGCTCTTCCTGGTGATCCTTCTGTCCCTCAGATAGCAGAGGCTTGTGCAAAGGTAGGCACCTCAGGTTGTAGGATAGCTGCCTCAGCTGCTACGCTGCAGCCCGCCCTGGCTGCCCCTGTGCAGCCTGCCATGGCTACTGCTGTGCAGTCAGTCTGGACAGTGCCACAGGGTGGGCAGCAGCAGCAGGGATATGCTCAGGCCAGCAAGAAAGGAAAAAAGAAGGTACAGCAGGGCACAACTCCCTTGTTTTTGTGTGGTCAGTGTGGAAGGCCCAACCATACTGCAAATGTCTGCAAGGTGACTGTTCATGCTAATGGCCAGGCTTTGCTGGGCTCGGGAAACAGGAATCAGAGCGTGAAGGGGGCACGTACCCAGACACAAGCTTCTCTCAACAACCCAGATCCGATGGAGGTCTGCTAGCTGGCTTGCAGCCAGCACCCGAGGTTCAGCAGGTGTTGATGTCTGCACAGCAGCAACAGTTGTCATAGATTCTGGCAAAATCCATAAGGTTCCCTTGGTGCTATTGCTCCATTGGGTGAGGGCATGATTGCTCTCCTTGTGGGGAGATCTAGTGCCACCCTTCAGGGCATCATTGTGCAAGTGGGATTTAATTGATGCAGATTTCATGGCACAGATTTTTGCCATGGTCTCTACGCCCACCCCCCCCGTCACTATCCCGAAGGGGACACAAATTGCTCAATTTGTGCCTTTTAAGTCTTCTGTTCACAGGACAGCTGATCAGTTGCAAGGTGACAGCGGCTTTGGATCCACTGGGTCACCTCAAGTTCACTGGTCTGCCATCCTGACCGAGAAATGTCCCAGGATGCTGTGTATTCTGTCCATCCCTGGCGCGACACTGCCAGAGATTTGTCTCCACAGGCTTCTTGACAGTGGCGTGGACATCACAGTTCTCACCCTTCCCACCTGGTCCCCGGAATGGCCCTTGGATCCTATGGGATTGGGAGGAACAGCATGCTGCTATGTGAGCCAGCAGCCTGTGCTGATCGCAAACCCAGAGGGACAGACGGCCATGATTCGGCCTCACATTACTTCAGTGAGCTTTAACCTCTGGGGAAGGGTTGTTCTGTCCACTAGGGGGTGCACATCGGGACGGATTTTTTGATGGGGACCACTGTGATGAAGAGCGCAGAGTGTCCTACACCTCCTTTACGGTGGCTGGTGGACAGACCCGTCTGAGAGAACCAGTGGCCCCTCCCTCAAGACAAATTAGTCCCCCTTCGAAACCTGGTGCAGGGCCAGTTGGACCAGGGTCATCTGCAGCCTTCTACCAGTCCCTGGAGCACTCCTCTCTTCTGCATCAAGAAGAAATCTGGGAAATGGAGGTTGTTACATACCTCTGAAAGGTCAGTGCCGTGATGGAAAGCATGGGAACATTGCATGGGCATGCTGTCACCTACCATGCTTCCCACAGACTGGCCGATCCTCATTGTGGATTTGAAGGATTGTTTTTTTACAATTCCTTTGCATCCTGATGACAGACCAAAATTTGCCTTCTCGGTACCAGCAATCAACAATGCTGAGCACACACAGCAATATCAATGGAGATTTTTGCCCCAGAGCATGTGCAATTCTCCTGCCTTATGCCAATGGTATGTGGCCTGTGCCTCGTCTGGAGTTTGCAGTTTCCTGATGCCCATCTTTATCACTATATGGACGAGATTTTGGTGGCTGTGTCCACCCAGGATGAGCTGCTGAGGATTCAGCCTCGGTTGCTCGATGCTTTGCATGCTCATGGGCTGCAGGTGGCTCCAGAAAAGGTTCAACAGCAACCTCCTTGGAAGTATTTGGGGGTCAAAATTCTGGAACAGACAATCCGACACCAGGAGGTGAAATTTGTGCATTCAGTGAAGACACTGAACGATGCCCAGAAATTGGTAGGTGTCATCACTTGGTTACATCTGTACCTGAAACTCACCAACACACAACTGTCTCCTCTGTTTGATTTGTTAAAGGGAGACTCTGATTTAAAATAACCTCATACATTGACCCCTGAGGCACATCAGGTGCTGGAGGAGGTTCAGCAAGCTGTTTCTGTTTGCCAGGTTTATCACATTGATCCTTCCGTTAATGTCACTGTGTTTGTTACCACTCCAGATTCACATCTCACAGGCATCATTGGCCAGTGGAATTACAAATGGTCTGATTCTTTGCACATCCTGGAATGGGTTTTCCTGCCCCATCAGCCACAGAAGATGGCAACTGCATTGTTGGAGCTCATTGCTCGCTTGATAATCAAATGCCGGCAACACTGTTGCAATTGATGGGTGTGGATCCTGCAAAGATCATACTCCCGATATCCCGGGAGGACTTTGACTGGAGCTTTGCACACTGTGTGTCCCTGCAAAGTGCTCTGGAAAACTTTTCAGGGCAGATCACTTACCATCTGCCTAGCCACAAGCTACTGCAGGTGGCAAAATTCACACAAATATCTTTGTGGCCCAAAAATAGTCAGGAGCCAGTGCAAGGACCCACTGTCTTCACTGATGGTTCGGGGAAGACAGGAAAGGCCATTGTTACTTGCAGGGACGGATCTGAGTGGCAGGTTCTGGAAGGTCATGAGGATGGATCAGCCCAATTGGTTGAATTGAGGGCTGCTGTTATGGCATTTGAGAAACGTTCCCAGGAACCTTTCAATTTGGTCATGGATTCTGCCTATGTGGCTGACATTGCACAGCGGTTGGGTCATTCGGTTTTGAAGGAGGTCAGCAATCCTGCCTTGTTTAATTTACTGAAGACCTTGAGATGTGCCATTCAGGCCCGGGTACATCTGTAATACATTCTGCATGCAAGGAGTCACACCAATTTGCCAAGGTTTGTAGCAGAAGGTAATGCAAGGGCTGACAAGTTGGCTAACCCAGCATGGGCAGCACCTCAGCCTGACACACTCGCGCAGGCCAAGCCATCTGTCCGAGATTGAAAGACAAGACGTTTTCTAGTACCATCTGTGTAGCAGTTGCCCTTTGGGCAGTTTTCCTTATGTCCTGTTAATGGGCCCATCAAAGCCTTGCCACATGACTCAGAGATAACACACTCCAGGAGTCAGTTCTGTGATCAGAGACACACCTCATGACTCAGAATAACATCTCCACCCAGGGGGGAAGAGCTAAACATTCCCACCTAGATATATCCTGGGATTTCTAGACAGAGAGGCAGCCTTCCCACAGGTTTCCAAGAGGACACAGCTGGGGTTTCCACTGGACCAACTGCACCTTTTCTACAGGACTACTGCTCCAACAGAACCACATCTGCCATTCCAAGAGGACTGCAGCCACTCCAATTTGGACTGCTACCAACATGCTGGCCAAAGTGGTGTCAGGTTTTATTCTGACTTTGTCGGTGGTCTGCCTTTTGTATCATTGCATGTATTTTGTCTCTTTTCCCTTTTCCCAGTAAATTGTATTTCTGACTTGGAGTCTCTCAGCATGGCTTTTTCCGTCAGAGTGCTCATACCTTGCAGAAGCAGTTTCAGCTGATGGCAAATGAAACTCATCGAGTCGTGTGATGGCTGTCACGTGCTTGCTGCACCTCTGCCTGCAGGGGTAAACCCCAGAGGCCTTCGGGCCTTGGAGCTTTGGCAGACCGATGTCACCCAGATTGCCGAGTTTGGCTGGCTCAAGTATGTGCATGTCACGGTGGACACGTTCTCCTCTGCGATGTGGGCTTCCGCTCACACTGGAGAAAAGGCTCGTGATGTCATTGCCCACTGGAGGCAGGCCTTTGCCGTTCTGGGCATACCTTCTGCTGTGAAAACCGACAATGGTCCTGCTTATGCATCGCAGCAGGTGCGGCAGTTCCTGCAGTTGTGGGGTGTGTCACACAAGTTTGGTGTCCCCCATTCTCCAACTGGCCAAGCTATTGTAGAACGCGCTCATGGTACTCTGAAGCGGGTTCTTCAAAAACAAAAACGGGGAATGCAGGGTGAGACCCTACACAGTGGGTTGGCAAAAGCTTTGTCATCAAACATCCTACGGTGCAGCAGAATTCAAATAACCCTGTCATTTTGAATCATCACCTTTTGTTGCAGTCTCCGGACGAGACACATCAGCCTCGAGCGAAGGTTCGGGTGTGGAATTTAGTCACCAAACAATTGGAAGATCCCTATGAACTTATCACTTTGGAATGTGAGTATGCATGCATATCCACAGATACCGGGGTACGCTGGGTACCTTTGAAGTGTGTTCGTCCTGACCAGTGACCCCAGAGACAGCATCCGGCTGACATGCAGAATGGAAACTGTGACCAAACTGGAAGTCATCAAGTGGGTGGACCATTGAGTGATTACTCAGATGCAGACGACGCGAGTGATCACTCCAATGATTCCTCCATGAGTGGACACTGAACATTGTTCATTTTTCTTTTTAACATTGTTAAATTTTCCCTTTCGATAATGTTCATTTTTTTTTTTTTCTTTTTTGACAGAAAAAGGGTGAGATGTTGACCTGATTTTTAAAAGTGTTTTATAGTTCTTTTGAAAGTTGTAAAGTTCTCATAAAACTTCTTTAGCCTTCTGGTAATGTTTACTGTTGTGGTTTGACATGGAAGTGAATTTTCTCAGGAAGAAGAGGGTCAAACCAATCAGTAGTCAGTTTTGGATATTGGCACCTGAAGTGACCACTGAAGGCATGGGCACACCTCTGAGAACACAGGGATTAAAAGCAAGAACTCCAGGAGAACTGTCTCTTTGGAGAGTGCAGACTCTCCCCCGCCCCCCACGGGCTAGGAGAGGTGGGCCAGGGGGTGAAGGGACTGGAACCGAGCTAGGCCGGCTCCTTTGGACAGAAGGGTGGAGGAAACCTGAGATGTCTTTGTTCCCCACGCCCCCACACCACCAGAGGGAAACAGACAGAGAGCCTGAAGGCACCTGGAAATTCACTGGCAGAGGAGAAGGAGAAAGGGTGGGGGGAAGGTGCCCAGCCCTGGGAGTTGGGGTCTGGGCTGAGATTTCAGCAGTCAGGGCAGTCCAAGACTTTTAACCCTTTCCTGGGAAATTAAAGCTTTGTGAAATATTACTCCTCCTCACCTTGAAAGAGAAAAGAGACAGTCTGGGACCTGAGATGTTAGGGAAAGAAAGTTGGGGAGGAGATGATGGAGTGGCTTTTGGCTGGACTCTTCTTGTAAGCCATTGACTGAGCCAATTTCTCCTGCAACAGAGACTGCATCTTTAGGGGGATGCAATGGTGAGCCAAGAGACCTTCTTCAGCAAATTCCAGCACAGGAATGGAGTGAACAGAGGAAAGCTGAGGAGGGTGTGGTGATGCCCTCTGTCTTCAGGAAGAAGATCTCTGTTTGCACCCTCAGCCCCAGGGGAGGAGGAAATTGGGGAGGACCGTGGTCCCAAAACGAAAATTGAACTGTTGTTTCTTTTGTTCCTTGGCAAAGCATCCTTAAAGGAGCCCTATGAGCAGTCTGTCCATGCACGGCGGTGAGGGCACTGTGACATGCAGAGGAGAGTGTCACACTGGCAGATTTTCTCTGGGCAGTGCCATGTGTGACATGGAAACACGAGAGGTGGCAATTGTGTTTCCTGTGGGTCTGTGGTGCAAGAGAGACTCCTCTCTCCCCTGATAGACTGAGTATTGATTATCTGAAAGGTGATGACCTGATTGAGGGTCCAAGTTGTGTCCCGCTGTGATTTGTTGGAGTTTGGGTGGGGGGAGGAGGAATGTTCTGGAAGGTTTTAATTCTGGATTTAGTGTGTGTCTTTTATTATAGGAGTAGCTTAATAAAGATCTTTCTCCCTTATGTCTAAGCTTGGGCCTGCTCTGCTCTGTTCCTTACCGCAATTCACAGCACTTATTTGGGAAGCTGGATTTGCATGGGGGCGCTGGCATTGTGCCAGTGTGAAACATTGACATTTACATATTCGAGAGTCAGAGTTCCCATGCAACTTCATGTAAAAGTAAAATAGTTTACAGATTTCTCTGTGGGTGGAGAGAAATGATTGATTGATCTTTGGACCACTGTGGTTGGAGAGGTGGTGATTCCTTCCTCCAATCCACGGTCACCTTTGGAATTCTATAAATACCAGATGTTCTAATAAAACTTTCTCTTTTTTTCTCCTTTGACCTTACCAAGCGTCTTTGTGCTCCTTTCGTGCCCCACGGCGACAGTGCATCGATGACAGCGTTGTGCAGGGGAACACGGCAATGCAAGTGTTTGAGATAGGAGAGGAAATTCCGGGAGCGCTTCCCGTTCTTTGCCCACCCAGGCCCCGCCCCTTTACCAGGCCCCGCCCCTTTCACGGGTTCACGTAATTGCCCACCCCTTCCTGCCCCCTGGCCACGCCCACTCCCCTCCCCATTGGCCGCCACTCCCCAGGCCCCACCCATTTTCCCACGCTCCATTCTCAGCCCTTTCCAATCCCCGCCCCCTCCCTGCTCTGACGCTTCCCATTGGCCGCCCCTGCGCGGCCCCGCCCCCTGTGGGCGTGACTACAAGACCGATCAGCGTTTATTGAAAGGCTCCGCGCAGCGGCGGCCCCGGGGGGTGGAGCCAGCCCGGCCCCACCGGGGGGGCTCGGGGGGTCCGGGGGGCTCAGGGGGGCCCCGGGGGGTGGAGCCAGCCCGGCCCCGGCGGGGCCCGACGCGGGCCGGGGGCTCAGGGGGGCCGGGGTGGAGGGGCTGGGGGCGTTTCGGGGGGGTTCAATCAAGGGGGGGCGTGGTGAGTGGGGGGGGGGGCTGGTGAATGTGGGGGGTCCCATGGATTGGGGGGTCCTGGTGAGTGTGGGGGGGTCGTGGTGAGTGTGGGGGGTCCCATGGACTGGGGGGTCCTGGTGAGTGTGGGGGTGGTGAGGGGGGGTTCCCATGGATGGGGGCTGGGAGGTGAGTGGGGGGTCCTGGCGCGCTGGGGGGGGCTCATGGCTCGGGGGTTCCCAGCGCTTTGGGGGTCGGTGAAGGGGGGAAGCAGTGAATGGGGGGGTCCTGGTAAATTGGGGGGGACCCTGGTGATAACGAGGGGTCCCGGCTGATAACGGGGGGGGGACAGGACGGAGCCCCAAGGGACCCCCCCGGTGCTGGGCACCCCCTGTGTCCCCCCAGCGCTTGGGGCCCCCCCAGTCCCGGCGCTGTTCCCGGGGGTCCCGCGGCACCAGGGGGGTCAAAGGGGAGGGGGCAGAACCCCGTGATGGGTGGGGGTCACAAAGGGGGGACCGGGCCCGGTGCACGGGCGTGGCGCTTCCCGGGGGGTCCAGGTACCCGGGGGGTTCCCGGGATTCGAGGGGGGGTCCAGTCCCAGTCCCGGTGCTCGGTGAGGGGGGGTCAATGCACGGGGGGGTCCCGGTGCACGAAGAGGGTCCAGTCTCGGTGCTGGTGCACGACGGGAGGGGGATGCACAGGGGGGTCCCGGTGCTCGGTGATTCGGGGGGGGTCTCCGGTGGTCCCTGTGCCTGAGGCTGGCGATGTTTGAGGGGAGGTCCGGTGGTGCCGGTGCCCGAGGGGGGTCAATGCTCGTGGGGGGGCCCCGGTGCACGGTGACGGCGCTGACTGATGGGGTGGGAGCGTCTCCGGTGGTCCCGGTTCCTCGCGGGGGGGGGCCGGTGGTGCCGGTGCCCGAGGAAGGGGGAGGGGAAACTCGAGTGTCCTGATGCCTGAGGGGGGGGTCCTGAGGGGGGCCCCGGTGCACGAGGACGGTGAAATTCGGGGGTCCCGGTGCTCGGGGGGTGCCGGTGGATGCCCGAGGGCGGCGTGTGACACAGAGAGAGACCCCGGTGACACCAGGGACCCGCACAGGGGGGCTGAGCCGGTCCTGGTGACACTCGGGGGACTCTTGGTGGCGCGAGGAGCTGGTGGCACCAGAGGAGCTGGTGGCACTCGAGGAGCTGGTGGCACTCGAGGAGCTGGTGGCACCCGAGGGGCTCTTACACGAGCCCCCCCCCCCCCCCCCCCCCCCGTTCCTCTTGGTGACACGAGGACGTGGTGGCACTCGGGACCCTCGCGAGGGCTGGGCTGGTCCCGCTGCCACTCGGAGCCCCCCAAATTCCTCTGGGTGCCACAAGGAGCCCTCGGTGAGGAGCTGGTGACACTCGAGGGGCTCCAGCACAAGGACCCCAAATTCCTCTTGGTGACGTGAGAAGATGGTGGCACGAGGAGCCCTTCCAGGGGACCCCAAAATCCTCACACGGGGACCCTAAATTGTCACACGGGGACCCCAAATCCTGGCCCGACCCCCACTTTCCCCGCACGAGGAGCCCTTTGCACAAGGATCTGCTGCACGAGGACCCCAAAAATTCCTCGCGCAAATCCCCCCGAATTACTCGCGTGAGACCCCCCCCAGGGCGAGCTCCCCTCGCCTCCTCCTCCTCCTCCTCCTCCTCCTGCTCACCCCGGGGGTCTCCGGGTGCTCCCCCCCCCCCGCCCTCCCCTTTCCCCCTTTTCCCCCAGGGCTGGGGGGGTCAGGGGGATCGAAGGGGGGTGCGGGTGCGGTTTCTGGGGGGGTCCCGGCGACCCCCGGGGCGGGGGTCAGTGCTCAGCAGCGGGGCCGCGCCGCTCGCAGCCGTTGGCCGTGATCGGGGGTGGCGGGGGCGGAGGCGGGGGCCGCCCGGGGACCCCCCCGGCCCCCCAAATCACACCCTGGTCTGCTGCACCCACGGCGGAAAGCTGCCTCTCCTGCAAGGCACCGAGGGGGCTCATTCACCCCCCCGCCCCCGCCAGCGCCCTGAGTGTCCCTGCGTGTCCCTGCCTGTCCCTGCGTGTCCCCAAGGTGTCCCCGGGGGGCCCCGCCCGCACCCCCCCCCCCGCCATGCAGGGCTCACTCACCTGCGGCACCGGTGCGGGGGCCTCGGGGTGGCCCGAAATCAGCACGAATGCGCCCAAAACCATCCCTGACCTGCCCCGGAGTTCACCCCGAACTCCTCAAGTTAACCCCGAACCCCTCAAATTAACCCTGACGCCCTAAAACTTCACCCTGACCCCCTAAAGTTCACCCCAACCCTAAAAGTTTCACACTAAAATTAACCCTAAAACATGAAGGTGGGACGCCCTTGATTTGTCCCCACCCCCCCCCCCCGAAACTGAGGCAGTTCACTCCCAAAATTGTCCCCACCCCCCTAAAATTGTCCCTGCCCTCCCCTAAATTGTCCCCACCCCCCCGCAATTGTCCTGGTGCTCACTCAGCTGTCCCCAAGCCCCCTGAACTGTCCCCTCCCCCACCCGCGGTGACAGGACATGGCACACGGACACAGGTGTCACCTCCCCCCCCCCCCACCCCCCCCGCCCCGTGAGATGGGGACAGACACAGGACACGAGAATGGTGACGGTGACGCGGCGCCAGCGCTGGGGGACATTTGGTGAGAACCTCCCCCAAACCCCCCCAACCATGGTCACCCCCCGGGGGGGGATGGGGACAATGGTGGCATCTCCAGGGGGTGGGGACAGGGCCAGTGGTGGCACCTGAGGGGACATGGGGACACCTGGGGTGGTGTCCCCAAAAGGGTCCCCAGTGTCCACCAGAGACATGGGGACACCAGGAGAGACATGGGGACACCTGAGGTGGTGTCCCCAGGGGGTGCCCAATGTCTCCAAAGGGTCCTCAGTGTCCCTAAGGGACATGGGGACACCAGGAGGGACATGGGGACACCGGGGTTGGTGTCCCCAGGGGGTCCCCAGTGTCCACAAGAGACATGGGGACACCAGGAAGGACATGGTGACACCAGGAGGGACAAGGGGACACCTGGATCCGTGACCCCAAGGGGTCCCCCATGTCCCTAAAGGACATGGGGACATGGAAGGGACAAGGGAACACTTGGATACGTGTCCCCAGGTGACACAGGGACACGGGAGGGACAGGAGGACACCAGGAGGGACGTGGGGACACCTGAATCCATGTCCCCAAGGGACATGGGGACACAGGAGGGACATGGGGACATCTGCATCTGTGTCCCCAGAGGACAAGGGGACACCTCGATCTGTGTCCCCAAGGTGTCCCTTGTGTCCCTGAAGAATGCGGGGACACAGAAGGGTCTTGGGGACATCTTGGATCCATGTCCCCAAGTGTCCCCAAGTGTCACCAGTGCCCCTGAGGGACATGGGAGGAACATGGGGACAATGAGCATCTTGGGGACATCTGGATCTGTGTCCTCAAGGGGTCCCAGTGTCCTTGAGGAACATGGGAGAGACATGGGGACACAGCAGGGATCTGTGTCCCCAGTGTTCCCGAGGGAGGGGGAAGGGACATGGGGACATCTAGATCTCTGTCCCCAGTGTCCCTTAGGGACACCTGGATCTGTGTCCCCAAGGAGTCCCCAGTGCCCATGAGGGACATGGGGACAAAGGAGGGACATGGGGATGCTCCAGATCCATGTCCCCGAGGGTCCCCAATGTCCCTTAGGGACACAGGAGGGTCTTGGGGACATCTTGGATCCATGTTCCCAAAGGTCGCCAATGTGCCTGAGGGACGTGGGAGGGACATGGGGACACAGGAGGGACATGGGGACACCTGTGAAGTGTCCCCAGTGTCCCTTGGAGCCAGCAGAGCCCTTGGGGACATTCCAGATCCATGTACCCAAGGGTTCCCAGTGTCCCCTGGGGACACGAGAGGCTCTTGGGGACATCTGGGATCCGTGTCCCCAAGGGTGCTCCTGTGCGGCCCGGGGGGTGGCAGGGAGGGGACAAGGACCCACCTGGGGTGTCACCGGTGGCCGAGGGTCCGGTGCCACTGGCGGGGCCGGGCCGCGCTACCTGACGGACAGCTGTGACAAGAGAGACACGGGAGGGGACATCAGGGCCACCGTGGCCACCGCGCTGCGCAGGGACACGGCCCGGCCGGGCTGGCCCCGGCCTGACCCCGAGGTGGCCCGGGGTGGCCCTGAGGTGGCCCTGAGGTGGCCCCGAGGTGGCCATGACCCAAGGAGGGGGCACAGGAACAGCCCCGTCGCTGGGGGGGGACATGGGGGTGGCCTTGGGGGCACCGAGGTGGCGCTGTCCCTGGGGTGGGGGGTGGGGCGATGTCACCTCTGCACTGAAATGTCCCTCTGGTGTCACCCCAGGGGTGGCCCTGTCCCCTCTGGGGGCCACTTGGTCCCCTCAGGGGTGGCCTTGTCCCAACCGAGGGTGGCCCTGTCCCTCCGGGAGTGGCCCTGTCCCTTCCAGGGGTCACTTTGTCCCCTCAGGGGTGGCCCTGTATTGACTGGGGGTGGCCCTGTCCTTCTGGGGGGTCAGTTTGTTCCCCCAGGGGTGGCCCTGTATTGATTGGGGGGTCACTTTGTCCCCCCAGAGGTGGCCCTGTCCTCACTGGGGGTGGCCCTGTCCCCCTCAGGCCCCCTCCAGGGGTCCCTGTCCCCTCCAGGGGTCCCTGTCCCTCCCCCCAGGGGTCCCATTGTCCCCCTGGGGGTGGCCTGGACCCCCTGCGCCCCCCCCCCCAAGTGCCACCATGTCCCCCCCAGGGCGGCCTTGTCCCCCCACAGCCCCCAGAGGTGACAGGAGCCCCCTCGGGGGTCCCCAAACCCCTCCACAGGGACCCAGAGACCTCCAAAAATCCCCCAAAACCCCAAATTATCCTCCCAGAATGCCCAGAAACCTCCCAGGGACACTTGGAGACCCCAAAACCCTCACAGACTCCAAATGACCTCCCCAAAACCCCCCTGGGAACACCCATAACTCCCTCCCAAACCCCAATAACCCCAGGAATACCCCCCCAGAGCCCCCCCAAACCCCCCAAAATACCCATAGGGATCCCCCAAAACCCCCCAAAATACCCCCAGAGACCCCTGGGAATAGCCAGAACCCTCCAAAATGCCCAAATATCCACCACAGACCCCAAATAACTCCCCAATAACCCTAGATATACCCCCCAGAGACCCCCAAGAACCCCCCAAAACCCCCTAGAAACACCCAGAACCCCCCCAAAACCCCTCCAGACCCCTCCCCACAGCCCCCCTAGGAGTAGCCATAAACTCCTGTAACCCCAAAATTCCCCCAACAGACCCCAAATACTCCCTTCCAAACCCCTTAGGAACCCCCAAAAACCCCCCAAAACCCCCTAGAGACACTCATAAGCCCCCAAAACCTCCACAGACCCTGCCAAAATCCCCACAGGCCCCCTCAAACCCCCCTAGGGACACCCATAAACCCCCCAGAATATCCAAATATACCCCATAGACCCCAAATAATGCTCCTAAAATACCCCCTTGGGACACCCAGACCCCATCCCCCCCCCCCCCCCAGACACGCCAGAACCCCCCTCGGGACAACCATAACCCACCCCAAAACCCCCAAATATCCCCCAGGGACACCCATAACCCCCCAAAACTTCCACAGAACCCCCCTAGGGACACCCATAAACCCCCCCAGACCCCACCAAACCCCCCCGGGACGCCCCTGAAAGCTGCCGGGAACCCCCGGAGCGCCCCAAATCCCCCCTCGCCCCGCCCCCAGCGCGGCGTGGGATGGCCGATGTCACACGGAGCAGAGCAATGACATTGTAATTTCCACCTGAGCGTCGAGCAGCCGCCGCCGGCCCTCGGACGGGTCGTGGGCGCCCAAGTGATCCCTGCGCAGCTCCTGCTCCACCAGCATCAGCCTGTGGGGCCAGGCTTCACCGGGGTCATGCTGCCACCCCCCCGGGGACAGCCCCGGGACACGGGGACAGCCCGGGGACAGCCCGGGGACACAGGGACACCCCCAGGGACAGCCCGGGGACAGCCCGGGGACACAGGGACACCCCCAGGGACAGCCCGGGGACAGCCCGGGGACACAGGGACACCCCCAGGGACAGCCCGGGGACAGCCCGGGGACAGCCCGGGGGACACGGGGACAGCCCGGGGACAGCCCGGGGACACAGGGACACCCCCAGGGACAGCCCGGTGACAGCCCGGGGACAGCCCGGGGGACACGGGGACAGCCCGGGGACAGCCCGGGGACACAGGGACACCCCCAGGGACAGCCCGGGGACAGCCCGGGGACACAGGGACACCCCCAGGGACAGCCCGGGGACAGCCCGGGGACACCCCCAGGGACAGCCCGGGGACACAGGGACACCCCCGGGGACAGCCCGGGGACAGCCCGGGGACACAGGGACACCCCCAGGGACAGCCCGGGGACAGCCCAGGGACAGCTCGGGGACACCCCCGGGGACAGCCCGGGGACAGCCCGGGGACACAGAGACACCCCCAGGGACAGCCCGGGGACAGCCCAGGGACAGCTCGGGGACACCCCCGGGGACAGCCCGGGGACAGCCCGGGGACACAGAGACACCCCCAGGGACAGCCCGGGGACAGCCCGGGGACACAGGGACACCCCCAGGGACAGCCCGGGGACAGCCCGGGGACACCCCCAGGGACAGCCCGGGAACACAGGGACACCCCCGGGGACAGCCCGGGGACACCCCCAGGGACAGCCCAGGGACAGTCCAGGGACACCACCAGGGACAGCCCGGGGACACCCCCAGGGACAGCCCAGGGACAGTCCAGGGACACCCCCAGGGACAGCCCGGGGACGGCCCGGGGACAGCCCGGGGACACAGGGCCACCCCCAGGGACAGCCCGGGGACAGCCCGGGGGACACGGGGACAGTCCGGGGACAGCCCGGGGACACAGGGACACCCCCAGGGACAGCCCGGGGACAGCCCGGGGACACCCCCAGGGACAGCCCGGGGACACAGGGACACCCCCGGGGACAGCCCGGGGACAGCCCGGGGACACAGGGACACCCCCAGGGACAGCCCGGGGACAGCCCAGGGACAGCTCGGGGACACCCCCGGGGACAGCCCGGGGACAGCCCGGGGACACAGGGACACCCCCGGGGACAGCCCGGGGACACCCCCAGGGACAGCCCAGGGACAGCCCGGGGACAGCCCGGGGACAGCCCGGGGGACACGGGGAGACACCCAGGGACAGCCCCAGGGATACAGGGACACTGCTGGGGACAGTCCAGGGACAGCCATGGGACACCCCTGGCATCACCGGGTCATCCCCAGGGACAAGGGGACACCTTTGGGGACACACTCAGGCACATGGGGACACTTGCAGGGACAGCCTGAGGACATGGGGACATCTGCGGACAGTCCAGGGGCAGCCAAGGGACACGGGGACAATCCCAGGGACAGCCTGGGGACACCTTGGGACACCCAGAGCCTCAGGACAGCTCAAGGTCATGGGGACACCCCTGATACAGCCCAGGGACATCCTGGGGACAGCTGGGGACATGACAAGGACACCCCAGGGACTTGGGGACAACCCAAGTTGTCAACCGTGCTGTGTCCCCGTGTCCCTGGGTGCCTGTCACCTCTGTATCACCCACGTCCTATGTGTGCCTGTGTCACCCCCATGTCCTTCTGTGTCCCCTGTGATCCTTTGTACCCCACGTCCCTCTGTCCCCTGTGTCCCCAATGTCCCTTGTGTCATTCTGTGTGTCCCCAATGTCCCTGTATCCCTGATGTCTGTGTCCCCCTCGATGTCCCCAATGCCCCCTGGCTGTCCCCGTGTGTCCCTCACCTGCCTGATGGTCTGCGAGTCCCTGTGTGTCCCTGGCCCTGTGTGTCCCCATGTCCCTGTGTCCCTGCTGTCCCCAATGTCCCTTCAATGTCCCCATGTCCCTGTGTCCCTGCTGTTCCCAATGTCCCCTCAATGTCCCCATGTCCCCAGTGTCCCTGCTGCCCTCGTGTGTCCCTCACCTGACAATGATGCTCCTGATCTGTGAGTCTCCATGTTCCTGTGTGTCCCTGCACCATTTGTCCCCATGTCCCCATCTGTCCCTGTGTCCCCAAGGCGTACCCCTGTTTGTCCCCATTGCCCTGTGTGTCCCCGTGTGTCCCTCACCTGCCAATGATGCTCTTGATCTGAGAGTCCCCACGTGCCCGTGTCCCTGTGTGCTCCCATGTCCCAGTGTCCCGTGTCCCCATGTCCCTAGGCTGTCCCTGTGTGTCCCCGTGTCCCCATAGCCCTGTTTGTCCCCGAAGTCCCTGTCTGCCCCATGTTCCCTCAACGTCCCCGCGTGTCCCTCACCTGCCCACGATGCTCTTCATCTGCGAGTCTGTGAGTCCCTGGCCCTGTAAGTCCCCGTGTCCCCATTTGTCCCCAGACTCCTGTTTGTCCCCAAAGTCCCTGTCTGTCCCCATGTCCCCCCGTCTCATTGATGTCCCTGTGTCCCCGCTGTCCCCGTGTGTCCCTCACCTGCCGATGACACTCTTGATCTGAGAGTCCCCATGTGCCCGTGTCCCTGTGTGTCCCCATGTTCCCTCCACGTCCCCATGTCCCCAGTGTCCCCGTGTCCCCAGTGTCCCCAGTGTCCCCGCTGTCCCCGCTGTCCCCGTGTGTCCCTCACCTGCCGATGATGCTCTTGATCTGCGAGTCCTTCTCCTGCTGCTGCTGCCGGAGCCGCTTCTCGCTGAGCTCCAGGCGCTGCTGGTACTGCAGGAGGATGCGGCTGGTCTGCTCCTCCTGCGTCACCAGGCGCCGCTCGTACTCCTCCAGCTTGCGGTTGGACATGTGCAGCCGCTCCTTCAGCGAGTGGATCTCCTCCTCGTACTCCTTCACCTGCCAAAGGGACACTGCAGCGCACCTGGGGACGCCTACGGGCACACCTGCCACACCTGGGAACCCCCTAACCCAGCTGTGGCACACCTGTCACACCTGTCACACCTGCCACACCTGGGAACCCCCTAACCCAGCTATGGCACACCTGTCACACCTGTCACACCTGTCACACCTGGGAACCCCCTAACCCAGCTATGGCACACCTGGCACACCTGTCACACCTGTCACACCTGTCACACCTGGGAACCCCCTAACCCAGCTATGGCACACCTGTCACACCTGTCACACCTGTCACAGCTGTCACACCTGTCACACCTGGGAACCCCCTAACCCAGCTATGGCACACCTGTCACACCTGTCACACCTGTCACACCTGGGAACCCCCTACACCCAGATATGGCACACCTGTCACACCTGTCACACCTGGGAACACCCTAACCCAGCTGTGGCACACCTGTCACACCTGTCACACCTGGGAACCCCCTAACCCAGCTATGGCACACCTGGCACACCTGTCACACCTGGGAACCCCCTAACCCAGCTATGGCACACCTGTCACACCTGTCACACCTGTCACACCTGGGAACCCCCTAACCCAGCTATGGCACACCTGTCACACCTGTCACACCTGTCACACCTGGGAACCCCCTAACCCAGCTATGGCACACCTGCCACACCTGGGAACCCCCTAACCCAGCTGTGGCACACCTGTCACACCTGTCACACCTGGGAACCCCCTACACCCAGATATGGCACACCTGTCACACCTGTCACACCTGGGAACCCCCTAACCCAGCTATGGCACACCTGTCACACCTGCCACACCTGGGAACCCCCTAACCCAGCTATGGCACACCTGGCACACCTGTCACACCTGTCACACCTGGGAACCCCCTAACCCAGCTATGGCACACCTGTCACACCTGCCACACCTGTCACACCTGCCACACCTGGGAACCCCCTAACCCAGCTGTGGCACACCTGTCACACCTGTCACACCTGGGAACCCCCTAACCCAGCTATGGCACACCTGTCACACCTGTCACACACCTGGGAACCCCCTAACCCAGCTATGGCACACCTGTCACACCTGTCACACCTGCCACACCTGGGAACCCCCTAACCCAGCTATGGCACAGCTGTCACCCCCCTGTCCCTGTGCAGCCGCTCCTTCAGCGAGTGGATCTCCTCCTTGTCCTCCTTCACCTGCCAAAGGGACACTGCAGCACACCTGGGGACACCCGTCACACCTGGGCACACTTAAGAGTACCTGGGGACACCTGGGGACAGCACCTGGGAATGCTTGGGACACCTGACACACCTGGGGACACCTGACACACCTGAGATCCACCAGCATCACCTGCTGAGGTACATGGGATCATCTCCTATCACCTGCACACCTGGATCCCTGCACACCTGAGATCCACCAGGACCATCCCCTGGATTCTTCAACATCTGGGCACACCTGGATACCGGAACATCTGCTCACCTGTATCACTGCACCCTGAACATCAACACACCTGAACATCTGCAGACCTGAGCTCCCCCCCCATAATCCACTGGATCCCTGCACACCTGAGCACACTTGAACAAGCCGAAGCACACCTGTATCACGCACACCTGAGCACACCTGTGTCACTCACAGCTGTGTCACTCACACCTGGAAACACCTGGGCACACCTGAGCACACCTGTGTCACCCACAGCTGTGTCACTCACACCTGGGCACACCTGGGCACATCTGAGCACACCTGAACAACCCTAAGCACACATGTATCACTCACACCTGAGCAAACCTGAGCACACCTGGGCACATCTCTGTCACTCACAGCTGTGTCATACACATCTGGGCACACCTGAAGTGTCACTCACACCAGCCCTACACGGTCCAGCCGGCTCTTGTCCATGGACTTGGAGTACTCCATGAGCTTTTGTCCCTCACACCTGGGCACACCTGGATCCCTCACACACCTGTGTCACTCGCACACCTGTCACTCACACCTGTGTCACTCACACACCTGTCACTCAAACCTGGGCACACCTGAGGTGTCATTTACACCTGTGTTGCTCACACACCTGCGTCACTCACACCTGTACCAGTCACACCTGTACCAGTCACACCTGTATCAGTCACACCTGTGTCACTCACACCTGAGTCCCTCACACCTGTGTCACTCACACCTGTGTCGCTCACACCTGTGTCGCTCAACCTGTGTCACCCACACACCTGTGTCACTCACACACCCGTGTCACTCACACCTGTACCGTCACACCTGTATCCCTCACACCTGTGTCGCTCACACCTGTGTCACTCACACACCTGTGTCACTCACACACCCGTGTCACTCACACCTGTACCGTCACACCTGTGCCCTCACACCAGTGTCGCTCACACCTGTGTCAATCACACCTGTGTCTCTCACACACCTGTGTCACTCATACACCTGTGTCGCTCACACCTGTGTCCCTCACAGCTGTGTCCCTCACAGCTGTGTCACTCACACCTGTGTCACTCACACCTGTGTCCCTCACAGCTGTGTCAGTCACACCTGTGTCGCTCACACACCTGTGTCAGTCACACCTGTGTCGCTCACACCTGTGTCATTCACACACCTGTGTCCCTCACACCTGTGTCACTCACACCTGTGTCGCTCACACCTGTGTCACTCACACCTGTGTCGCTCACACACCTGTGTCACTCACACACCTGTGTCGCTCACACCTGTGTCACTCACACCTGTGTCACTCACACCTGTGTCGCTCACACACCTGTGTCACTCACACCTGTGTCGCTCACACCTGTGTCACTCACACCTGTGTCACTCACACACCTGTGTCAGTCACACCTGTGTCCCTCACACACCTGTGTCACTCACACCTGTGTCGCTCACACCTGCCCTACCCGGTCCAGCCGGCTCTCGTCCATGGACTTGGAGTACTCCTTGAGCTTGTACTCCTCGCGCTCGATGTGCGAGCTCTCGATGTCGGCCGACAGGTGCGGCATGTTGGACACCCAGGCCACCGTGCGCTCGGCCGCCGGCAGCACCGGGTTCAGCGTGGACGGCGTCTGCGACGCCTGCGGGACACGGGGGACACGGGGGACGTGGAGGGGACACGGGGACACCACACACCGAGAGGACACCGAGGGGACAGGGGGACAGTGGGGACAGAGGGGACAGCGAGGGGACACGAGGACATGGGGGGACATGGAGGGGACACAGATACAGTGGGGACACAGGGGACAGGAAGGAGACAGTGACAGGAAACGGGGACACCAAGGGGACACGGATGGGACATGAGCACAATGGGGACATGGAGGGGACAGTGAGGGGACACAGGGAAACAAGGGGACAGTGAGGGGACATGGGGACAATGGGAACACAGGGACAGTGTGGGGTCAGTGAAGGGACAGTGTGGGGACATAGGGACAGCATGGGGACACGAAGTGAGGGGACATGGGGACATTGACAGACATGGGGGGACATGGGGACATCAGGGGAATATGGAACAGATGGGGGCCACAGGGGCCACAGGGATAAAGGGGGACATAGGGGACACCGGGAGGACATTGGGGACATGGGGGGACACAAGGGGACACAAAGATGAGTTTGGTTCCCCCTCTACCACGTTGCCCCCACCCTGTCCCCAGTGTGTCCCATGTCCCACATACCAATGTCCCCACGTCCCCCAACATCCCCAATGTCCCCCACATCCCCCAATGTCCCCAAGCCCCCATATGCCCCCAAATCCCCAGTGTCCCCATATTCCTACACCCCCCAACACCCCGCACATCCCCAACCCCCCATGTCCCCGATGTCCCCCAGCGTCCCCAAATGTCCCCAGTGTCCCCAAGGTCCTCACATCTCCCCATGTCCCTAGTGTCCCCCAGTGTCCCCATATCCCCCACATGCCCCAACACCCCGTACATCCCCCCATGTCCCCAATATCCCCTACACACTCCAATGTCCCCAGTGTCCCCAAAGTCCCCCACACCCCCAATGTCCCCATGTCCCAAACGTGCCCCCATGTCCCCAACATGTTCCCATGTCCCAGTGACCCATATCTCCACATATCCCGAACCCACCATATCCCCCCATGTCCCCACTGTCCCCCACCCCTCCCACTATCCCCACTGTCCCCCGTCCCCTCTGTCGCCGCTGCTGTCCCCGCTGTCCCCTCACCTGCTTGGTGACGGGCGGTTTCATGCCGGCCACCGAGGCCTCCTTGGCCAGCGAGGGCTGGCGGGAGCGGGCCGGGCCGTAGGCGGGCTCGGGCGAGGCCAGCAGGTTCCCGCTGGCCGGGCGCGGCTTCTGGGGCACCCCCAGCGCCGAGGGACCCCCGCCCCCTTTCCCCGCCCGCGACCCCCGCGGGGTGGGCGGCGGGGGGGCCCCGATGGTGATCTGGGGGGGGGGCCAGCGTGTCCTGGAGCGACAGCTGCCTGCGGCCGAAGTCGCCGCCCGGCCGCCCGAACTCGTCGCTGTAGCTGTGGCTGTGCGTGATGTGTTTTTGGGGAGGGGTCGCCAGCTCCTCGCTCTTGCTGTAGCCGTGCAGCGGCGGCGGGGGGACGCCCCCGAAGTGTCCCCCCTCTCCGCCGCTCCCCTCGCCCCTCCCGCCGCCCCCTCCGCCCCCGTCGGGGCCGCGCAGGGGCCCGTCGGCGGCCAGGTGGAAGAGCGGGTTCTGGAAGGAGAGCGGCACCCGCAGCTGCGGACCCCCGGGCTCGGGCACGCCCAGGCGCGGCGGGGCCAGGCTGGAGGCGCTGCCCTGCGAGAGGCGCCCGGGCCGCAGCCCCCCCTGGCCCGCGCCCCCGGGGGCCGCGCCCCCGGCCAGCAGCTCGGCCGGCAGGCTGGGGATGCTGTCCACGCGTCCGTCCTGCAGGTCCAGCATGGACACGCTCTTGCCGACCCCCAGCGCGCCCCCGCGGCCGCCCTCGGGCTCGGTTAGGTCCGAGCTGCTGGTGCAGTAGGCGGGCGAGGAGCGGGCGAGCGGCGGGCGGCTCAGGACCAGCACCTCGGGAGGGCCCTTCTCCTGCGGCGGGGACGGCAGGCGCGGCACGTCCATGGAGCTGCGGGAGCGGTGGGGCACGGGGTGTGGGGTGTGGGGTGGGATGTGGGGTATGGGGTTGTGGGGTACAGGGATGTGGGGTACGGGGTGTGGGATATGGGGATGTGAGGTATGGAGATGTGGGGTATGGGGATATGGGGAGAGGGGGGTGGGAATAGGGAACGGGGAGATGGTGAGGGATGGAGGGGACATGGGATTGGGGATAGGGGATGGAGGAATGGAGGATATGGGATGGGGAACACACACGGGATGAGGGCGGCTGGACACTATCCCATATCCCAAATCCATCTCTGGAATCATCATTCCTTGGCTGTCCCTGTCCCATCCCATCCCTGCCTGTCCCACCCTGTCCTGAACGTTCCCGTCCCCATCCGAAACATTCCCATCCCATCCCAAATGTTCCTGCCCCCATCCAAAACGTTGCCATCCCATCCCAAACATTCCCATCCCCATCCCAAACGTTCCCATCCCATCCCAAACATTCCCATCCCCATCCCAAATGTTCCCGTCCCCAACCCTGTGCCCATCCCTATCCCTGATCCCAGTTTCATCTCTACCCCAATCCAAATCACCATCCCCATCCTGATCCCAAATCCCCAATTCCAAAATCCCAATTCCCAAATCCCAAACCCCAAACCCCCCAAATCCCAAACCCTAAACCCCAGTTCCCAAACACTCAAATCTCAAGTCCCGATTCCCAAACCCCAAGCCCCTCCCCTCACCTGTTGAGCCCCCGGACCATGTAGGACTGGAGATCCACGGAGCTGTGGGGACAGGGACAGGTGAGACCTGGGGACACCTGGGACAGGTGAGGGGACACCAGGGGGACACTGGGACAGGGACAGGTGACACCCCCAGGTGATACCTGGGGGACACCAGGGAAGGACAGGTGACACCACCGGGGACATCCCCAGGGATACCTGGGACAGGTGAGGGCACCGGAAAAGGGACAGGTGACACCCCCACATGAGACCCAGCAACAACAGGTGACATTGGGGGTCACAAGTGGAACGTGAAGGTCCTGCAGGTATTTGGGGTCACCGTGGTGACACGGGGGTGGTGACAGGTGGGTGGGGCCACCCCAGGTGAGGCCAGGTGAGACAGGGGACACCTTGGCCGCACAAGGGGACGCGAGGGGGCGTGGTGGGCGGGCGGGCAGGTGCCTCACCTGTTGAGATCGCGCACGAGGTAGGGCTGCAGGTCGGCTGAGGGCCCACGCAGCACCAGTCCCTTGGGTGGCAGCCGCTCGCCCTGGCTCGGCTGCCGCTGCAGGTGAGGGTTGCGCAGCGCCACGCTGATGTCGGTCAGCAGCCGCGGCAGCGGGCCCAGCTTCAGCAGCGCCTCCTGCGGGCACAGGTGAGTGCCTGAGCACACCTGGGAGCACCTGGGAACACCTGGGACCTCATCCAGGGGTACCCCAATGACTGCAAGTGGGCCCAGCTTCAGCCTCCTGTGGGCACAGGTGAGCGCACCTGAGGGCTCCTGGGCACACCTGGGAACACGTGAGTGCGCCTGACTACACCTGAGAGCACCTGAGATCACCTGGGAACACCTGGGAGCACCTGGGCACACCTGAGTGCATCTGAGAGTACCTGGGCACACCTGGGAACACCTGGGCACACTTGGGAGCACCTGGGACCTCATCTAGGGGTGACTGCACATGGGGGGCCCCAGTGACTGTGACAGGGTCCAGCTTCAGCAGCGTCTCCTGCGAGGGGCACTCACCACACCTGGGCACACCTGGGGAACTCACCTGGGCAGGTGGGACCCCTGGGACCTCACCTGGGGGGACCCCAGGAAGCTCCCATGGTGGGACACTGGTGGGGGGACACCTGTGGAGGTTGGGGGGGGTCACCCTGCCCATGACCACTCCCCAGGTGAGGCTGTCACTGCACAGGTGAGGCCGTGGCTGCACAGGTGAGGCTGTGGATGCACAGGTGAGGCCATGGTGGATTCCCCAGGTGTGTCCCAGGTGCGGTACCTTGCTAAGCTGGCTCATGACCTCCCAGAGCAGTGCGTGCAGCGTGGACAGTTCGCGGCCCAGGTCAATGTAGCCCTCGAAGCTGGTGCTGTTGGTCAGCGTGTCCAGGTTGGAGATCTCGTACAGGAACTGCTGCATGCTGGCCCACTCCAGCTCCAGGAACTCGTTCATGAATGCCATGTACTCCTCCTTGCTCCCAAACCTGCCACAGGTGCGCCAGGTGAGAGCAGGGCCAGCAGTGGGTGGGGACACCCCAGCAGGTGAGAGCAGGGCCAGCAGGTGGGCATCAGGAGGTGAGGGGTGTCTCCAGTGTGAAGGTGGGGGCGGCAGGTGCCAGGTGAAGGGTGGGGAAGGGTGGGAAGGGGGTTTGTCCAACATCCATCATCACCTGTTGTCATCCATTGTCCTCCATCATCCATCCATCATCCATCATCCATCCATCCATCCATCATCCATCCATCATCCATCCATCCATCCATCCATCTATCCATCCATCCGTCCATCCATCATCCATCCATCATCATCCATCCATCCATCATCCATCCATCATCCATCAATCCATCCATCCATCTATCCATCCATCCGTCCATCCATCCGTCCATCATCCATCCATCCATCCATCCATCCATCCATCCATCCATCATCCATCCATCCATCATCCATCATCCATACATCATCCATCCATCCATCCATCCATCCATCCATCCATCCATCCATCCATCCATCCATCATCCATCCATCATCCATCTATCATCCATCCATCCTCCATCCATCCATCCATCATCCATCCATCCATCCATCCATCATCCATCCATCCATCCATCATCCATCCATCCATCCATCATCCATTTATCCATCTATCATCCATCCATCCATCATCCATCCATCCATCATCCATCCATCCATCATCCATCCATCCATCCATCCATCCATCCATCCATCCATCCATCATCCATCCATCATCCATCCATCCATCCATCCGTCATCCATCCATCCATCCATCCCCCTGTCCATCTCCAGCCCTCCCCACCCCAAGCCCCTCCCCCCATCCCTGCCGCCGTTGCTGCCCTCACTTGGTGAAGTTGGCCAAGTTCTGGATGACCTTGGCAATGAGGGTCAGCGTCCGCGCTGTCTGCTCGTCAGGGTACTCCTGCATGAGGCCGAAGAGGCTGGGGGACATCACGGCGGGGCACAGGAAGCGCAGGAAGAGCGAGGCGCTGATCAGGCGGTCGGCGATGTCCTCGCGCCCGCGCTCGGCACAGCGCAGCCGCCACGAGGCGAACACCTCCTTCAGCTCCCGCGGGAACACGCTGCCGGCGGGACACGGTGGGACACGGTGGGATACAGAAGCGGGGACCTTCCCGGCCCATCCCGCCGCGTCCCTGCGCTCACCAGTGGGAGTTGACCACCTTGCAGAGTGCCAGCTCGCAGCACATGCGCAGGTTGGCCTGGTGGTCGGCCAGAGTGGAGGCCGAGCACTTCATGGGGTCCACCTCGCAGTTTTCCTCTGACTCGTAGAGCGCCCGGATGAACTCGCCTGCGGCATGGTGTGGGCACGGGGACACAGGAACACCCGTGGGGACACCGAGGGGCAGGTGGAGAAGGGACCCAACCGTGTCATGGATGTGAGAAGGGACCACCCAAAGATCTCATGATGATGGCGATGGAACATGACCATGAGTGAGGACCATCCAATGATCTCATGATGATGATGGAAATGGAACCTGGAACCAATGATTTAATGGCCATGAGTGGGGGCCACCCAACGATCTCATGATGGTGGTGATGGAACCTGGTCATCAGTGGAGACCACCCAACCATATCATGACCACAAGAAGGGACCCGACCCTGTCATGGCCATGAAAAGTGACCACACAATGATTTCATGATGGTGGTGATACAACCTGGCTATGAGTGGGGACCACCCAAGATCTCATGATGATGATGGAAGTGGAAGTTGGAACCACCCAATGATCTCATGGCCATGAGAAGGAACAACCCAACAATCTCACAATGGTGGTGATGGAACCTGGCTTTGAGTGGGGATGACTCAACCCCTCATGTCCACAAGGGGCCACACAACCATGTCAGGACCATGAGCAGGGACCACAATGTCTCATGGCCACAAGAAGAGACCACCCAACCATCTCATTGATGAAGGTGATAGAACTTGATTGTGAGTAGGGACCATCCAATCATCCCAGAACCATCTGATCGGGGATGTGGCCATGAAAAGAAACTACCCAATGATCTCATGGCCATGAGAAGGGACAACCCGACAATCTCATGGTGATGGTGATAGAACCAGGCTGTGAGGAGGGACCTCCCAAACATCTCATGACCACAACAAGGGTCCACCCAACCATCTCATGACCACCTGTGGGACCACCCAATGACCTCATGATGGTGGTGATGGAACCTGACTGTGTGCAGGGACCTCCCAACCATCTCATGACCATAACAAGGGCCTGCCCAACCATGTTATGGTCATGAGTAGAGACCACCCAAATATCTCATGGATGTGAGAAGGGACCACCCAAACATCTCATGATGGTGGTGATGGAATCTGGTCATGTGTGGGACCCCAAACAATGTCATATGAGTAGGGACCACCCAACCATGTAATGGCCATGAGAAGGGACACTCCAACAATCTCATGATGGTGGTGATGGAACTTGGCCGTGAGTGGGCACCATCCAATGACATCATAGCCATGAGTGGGGACCACTCAAGGATGTCATGACCACAGGAAGGAGCCACCCAACCATCTCATGGCCATAAATGGGGACCATCCAATGATCACGTGGCCATGAGAAGGAACCACCCAACCACTTCATGGCTGTGAGTGGGACCACCCACCCTACCAATGAGACCATGCCCCCACCGGCACCCCCTGGTGCTGCTAGAGCTTACCAATGGCGTCCTTGAGGTATTTCTGGCCAATGAGCTTCAGGTACTCCTCGATGGCTTTGGTGGCCAAGGTGTTCTCCCGGAAGATCAGGTGCTCCCGGTCCATGAAACGATCCACCTCCGTCATGGCCATGTCCGACAGGAAGTCCTGCCCATGACCATCAGCATGGCCCGGTGCCAGATGTCCCTCTGTCCCATCTTCATCACCCATCCATAAATCTTCCTCCATCTCCACCCTTCATTCCATCCATCCATCCATCATCTATCCATCATCCATCCATCCGTCATCCATCCATCACCCATCCATCCATCCATCCATCCATCCATCCATCCATCATCCATCCATCACCCATCCATCCGTCATCCATCCATCCATCCATCCATCCATCCACATCCATCCCACTACCCCATCCTCCCAAAATCCCACTGTTCCACCCGCAGGTCCCACCTTGGCCTTGCCGGTGCTCTGCAGGATGTGCACCAGCGCACAGGCCACCTCCTCCTTGCTCTTGACGCTGAGCACTGGCTCCAGCACGGCACAGAGCATGCGGTAGTTGTTGGTGACGTACTCGGCGAACTCCTTGTAGAGCTCCATGGGCAGGATGCTCATGGTCTGGAAGCGGCTCTTGACCCGCAGTGCCGGGCAGCCGGCCTTGCTCTTGCTGCCGCTGGGCTGGCTCAGGGGGTACCACTGCTCGGCGAAGTGGCGCCCGGTGACGCTGGCGATGGGGATGCTCACCATGCCCACATAGTTGCTCTTATCCTTCTTCCTTTTCTTGTCGGTGTCCTTGTAGAGGTGCAAGCGGATGGTGCGCACGGCCGGCAGGTTGTTGAACTCAAAGTGCTCGCCCCAGAAGACATTGTCGGTGCGGGCCTTGCTGGTGGTGCGTGCATACAGCATGTCATCCAGGCACAGCTCGCAGTAGTAGCGCTTCTTGGGCGGCAGGTCGCGTGCCTCGATCACCCACAGCTTCAGCACGTTGTCCACGCGCCGGCTGTTGTCCTGTGGGGCGGGGTGGGGGGTCAGCGCCCGCGGACACCTTGTGGTCAGGACACCGGAGGAGTGGCAATGCCCATGGAGCAGCTCGGAACTGTGGCTGGGCCGTCCTTAGCCCGGTTGGATCAATGCCAGGTGGCCATCCCCCTTGCCACCAGGTGATCATTAACACCAGGTGATCATTAACACCAGGTGACCATCCCCACTGCCATCAGGTGATTGTTAACACCAGGTGGCCACCAACACCCGCTGGCCATCAGCACCCACTGACCATCAGCCCCCACTGACCATCAGCACCCACTGACCATCCACACCAGGTGACCATCCACACCGGCTGACTATCCCCATACTCACCAGTTGATCATTAACACCAGTTGACCATCTACACCAGCTGACCATTGACACCAGCTGACCACACTCATTGCCATTGCTCAACCAGCCTCACCCCCACCAGCTGACCACCAACACCAGCTGACCATCAACATCGTGAGCATCCTGAACACCAGCTGACCATCAACACCAGCTGACCAGGCTCATCGCCATGGCTTGGGCATCCTAAGCCCAGTTGATGTCAACACCAGCTGACGATTGACACCAGATGACCATCAACATCATGACTACCCCCATCACCAAGTGACCATCAATATCAACTGACCATCAACATCCCCTCCAACTGACCACCCAGATGACCATCAATACCTGCTGACCAGGCTCATCACTAGGGACAGTTGCTCAACTGTCCCTAGCCTGGCTGACATCAACACCAATGGACCATCCCCATTCCCACCAGATGACCATCAAGCACAGGTGACTGTCAACACCAGCTGATCAGGATCATTACCACTGCTTGACCATCCTTATCCCAGCTGATATCAACACCAGGTGACCATCTTCTTAACCATCAACACCAGCTGACCATCAACACACTTGACCATAAACACCATAACCACCCCCACCACCAGATGACCATCAATGCCAGCTGACCATCAAACACCAGTTGACCATCAATAGCCATTGACCATCTCCATTACCAGTCAACCACTAAAACCACCAGTTTACCATTAAACACCATTGGCACCAGATGGCCAACCCCACCAGCTGACCATCAAACATCAGCTCACCATCAACACCATGATCATCCCCACGTGTTGACCATTCCCATGACCAGTTAATCATCAACACCAGTTGACCATTTCCATTCCCACCACTTGGCCACCCCGATGACCAGTTCACCCCCGCATGGCCAGCTCACCATCACCAGCTGACCATTCCCAAGATCCATTGACCATCCCCATAACCAGCTGAGCATCAAACACCAGTTAATGATCCCCCATCCCCAGCAGTTGCCCTCTCCCATGACCAGCTGCCCACTCCTATGACCAGTTGACTCTCTCCATAACTAATTGACCACCAAACACCAGTTAACAACCCCATCCCCACCAGTTGCCCACCCCCTTGACCAGTTGCCCATCCTCATGACCAGTTGCCCACCCCCATGACCAGCTGACCATCAAACACCAGTAGCCCATTAAACACCCCTGTCCACCCCATCCCCACCAGTTGCCCACCCCCACACCCAGAAGCCCCTCCCCCACTCCCATCCCCACCTTGTTGGGTTTCACGGCGCGCTGCAGGTTCTCGATCCATTTGTCCCTCTCGGCCGCCGACCGACAGGCGAAACATTTGGTGCCCGACGCTGTTGTCACCTGCGGGCACCGCCCCCGCCCAGGTGAGCAACACCCCGGGGAAGTCCGGAATCCGCGGAAAGCTCCGGAATCTGCGGAAAGCTCCGGAATCCCTGGAAAGATCCAGAATCCGCAGAAAGCTCCGGAATCCCCACCTCAAAGCAGAACTCCTGGCCCAGGATGCTGCTGTGCACGGCCTTGATGATGGAATCCTCGTCCAGGTTCAGCTCCAGCGCCTCGGCCGCGCTCGAGGGGCTCAGCAGTGACTCGTGCGAGTGCGACTCCTTAAAGCTCTGCATCAGCCGCGCCCTGGGGGGGTTCCGGAATCTCGGGAATTCGGGGCAATTTTGGGGGGGGGGGAGGGGTTGGGGGGAATCGGGGGTGACTTGAGGAGGATTTGGGGCCTTGGAATGGGATTTGGGGAGGTTTGTGCGAGTGTGACTGCTTAAAGCTCTTCATCAGCCAGGCCCTGGGGGGGGTGGAATTTGGGGAATTTGGGGCGATTTGGGGGGATATGGGGACATTTTGGGGGAATCTGGGGGGGCTTTGGGGAGGTTTGTGTGAGTGGGACTTCTTACAGCTCTGCATCAGCCAGGCCCTGGGGAGAGTTCAGGAATTTTGGGAATTTGGGAAGAATTTTAGGGGATTTGAGGGAATTTGGGGGGATTCTGGGGGGATTTGGGGAAGTTTGTGCAAGTGAGACTCCCTAAAGCTCTGCATCTGCCTGGCTCTGGGAAGGGGTTGGGAAATTTGGGAATCTGGGGGGATTTGGGGCTGTTTTGGGGGGAATTTGGGGGGATTGGGAGGGAATTTGAGGAGATTTGGGGGGATTTGGGTAGGTTTGTGGGTGTGTGACTGCTCAAAGCTCTGCACCAGCCGGGCTTGGGGTGGAGATTTGGGGAATTTGGGGAAAATTAGGGGGATCAAGGGGAAAATTTGGGGGATTTGAGGGGATTTGGGGGAAATTTTAGGGGGATTTGAGGGGATTTGGGGGGAATTTGGGGAGGTTTGTGGGAGTGAGACTCCTTAAAGCTCTGTATCAGCCAGGCCCTGGGGGAGGATTTTGGGAATTACAGGAATTCAGGGGGGATTTGAGGGGAATTTGAATGGATTTTGAATGGATTTTGGGAGGATTTGAGGGAATTTGGGAGGGATGTGAGGAAATTTTAGGGGGATTTGAGGGGATTTTTGGGGGATCTTGGGAGATTTAAGAGGATTTGGGTAAATTTGATGGGATTTTTGGAGAATTTGTGGGGATTTGATGGGATTTTCAGGAGAGTTTTGGGGGGCTTTTGGGAGTTCCTGGAGGAACTCAGGGCTCCCACCTGGTGGGACCCCAAAGGCCCCCGGGGTGCCCCCAGGTGTGTCCCCAGGTGTTGCCGGTACCTGTCACGCTCGGCGCTGTGGGAGCTGCTGGTCCAGTGCCCCCAAATGTCCCCAAATGCCCCCGTGGTGTCCCCAGGTGTGCCCTGATGTCCCCAGGTGTGTCCAGGTCTCCTAGGTGTGTCCCAGGTGTATTTCCAAGTGTCCCCAGGTGCCCCCAAACTCCCTCAGGTGTGTCCCCAGGTGTCCCCAGGTGACCCCTAGTGCCTCCAGGAGTCCCTGTGGTGTTCCCAGGTGTGCTCAGGTCAGTCCCCAGGCGTGTCCCCGGGCATCCCTAGATGTATGCAGATACGCTCCAAGTGTCCCCAGGTGTGCCCCAGGTGTATGAGGTGTACCCAGGTGTATCCCAGGTGTATCTCAGGAGTACCCAGCCGTGCCAAGGTATATCCCGCTAGTGCCCCAGGTGTACCCAGGTGTGCCCAGGTATGTCCCAGGTGCATCCCTGGGCATCCCTAGATGTATCCAGACGTTCCAAGCATCCCCAGGTGTGTCCCAGTTGCACCCAGGTGTATGAGGTGTGCCCCAAGTGTATCTCAGGTGTACCCAACTGTACACAGGTGTATCCCCCCAGTGTCCCGGGTGTACCCAGCTGTGCCCAAGTGTATCCCCCCAGTGCACCAGGTGTACCCAGGTGTATCTCAGGAGTACCCAGCTGTGCCCAGGTGTATCCCCCCAGTGCCCCAGGTGTACCCAGGTGTGTCCCAGGTGTATCCCCAATGTCCCAGGTGTATCCCAGGTGCCCCCATGTGTAGCCAGGTGAATATCAGGTGTACCCAGCTGTACCCAGGTGTATCCCCCCAGTGCCCCAGGTGCCCCCATGTGTACCCAGGTGTATCCCCCCAGTGCCCTGGGTGTACCCAGGTGTATCCCAGGTGCCCCCATGTGTACCCAGGTGTATCTCAGGAGTACCCAGCTGTGCCCAGGTGTATCCCCCCAGTGCCCCAGGTGTACCCAGGTGTGCCCAGGTGTGCCCCAGGTGTATGAGGTGCTCCAGGTGCGGTACCTGTCGTGGTCGGCGCTGCGGAAGCGCGGCAGGATCTGCCGGAAGCTGCTGGTCCGGTCCAGCTTGGGCTGGCTCTTGGTGCGCTTGATGGAGCTCTTGAGGCGGCGGCTCAGGAAGCCTTGCTGGGGACAGGGGTCACACGGGGTCACCCAGGGGTCAGGGGTCATGCAGGGGTCACCAGGGTCAGTCAGGGCACCCAGCATTCAGCCAGGGTCCGGGGTTACCCAGGGGTCAGAGGACACTGGGGTCACTGGGGTCAGGGGTCACTGAAAGGTCATAAGGGTCCCTGGGGTCTGGGAGATCCAGGGGTCACCCAGGGGTCACCCAGGGGCCACAGAATCATTGGGGGTCAAGGGATCACTTTGGGTCAGCAGCCATTGGGGTCATTGGGGTCAGGGATGGTCATTGGGGTCACTGAGGTGATTGGGGTCAGTGAGGGGTCACAGGGTCACTGGGGTCGGGGTGGTTATTGGGGTCACTGGGTCATTTGGGTCACTGAGGGGTCACAGGGTCACTGGGGTCAGGGTGGTTATTGGGGTCACTGGGCCATTTGGGTCACTGAGGTCATTGTGGTCACTGAGGGGTCACAGGGTCACTGAGGAGTCACTGGGGTCAGTGAGGGGTCACTGGGGTCACTCAGGGGTCACAGGGGTCATGGGGGGATCATTGAGGGGTCACCATAGGAGTAACTGGGTCATGGTTTCCATGGCAACAGGCAGACGTTGCCACGGCAACAGGCCATGGGCCATAACCACGGCCAGAGGCAGAGCAGCGCCGCAGTTACCATGGCAACGGGTCACTCGGGAACTGGGGACAAGCTGGTTACCATGGCAATGGGTTATTCTGGAGCCGGGTTACCTGGTTACCATGGCAACGGATCAGTCAGGATCTGGGTTACCTGGTTACCATGGCAACGGATCATTCAGGACATGCATTACCCGGTTACCACGGCAACAGGTTATTCTGGATCCAGGTGACCTGGTTACCATGGCAACAGGTTAGCCCAGACTTGGGTTACCTGGTTACCATGGCAACAGGTTATTCTGGATTGGGGGAGGTACCTGGTTACCATGGCAACAGGTTATTCAGGACTGGATTACCTGGTTACCAAGGAAACAGAGAGCAAAGGACTGTGGTTGCCATGGAAACAGGTGAGGTAGGACCCAGGTGACCCAGTTACCATGGCAACAGGTACCACAGGGCCACGGTTACCATGGTGACGGGCAGCGAAGCATCACGGTTCCCATGGTGGCAGATGGAGGAGGAGTTTCCATAGTAACAGGAGCGTGGAGACCACAGGAATCATGGTAACCATGGCAACAGGGATGCAACGGATCACAGTAACCATGGCAACAGGCACAACCACGGTAACCACGGCAACACGGAAGTGACGGACCACAGTAACCATGGCAACAGCTGTTTGGGTACCACAGTAACCATGGCAAGGAGTGATGTGGGGGGGGGGACTGCAGTAACCATGACAACGGGTGTATGATGGGGTAACCACAGCAATGGGTGCATTGGACCATGGTAACCACGGCAATGTGGAAATAATGGCCACAGTAACCATGGTAACGGTTGATAGGGGACAACAGTAACCATGGGCAACAGGTGTATGGCGGGGGGGTGTACCACAGTAACCATGGCAATGGGCACGTGATGGGGCAACCACGGCAATGTGGAAACAGGGACCAGGGTAACCATGGCAACGGGTGAGTACCATATAAGTGTGGCAATGGGTGTGTGATGTGGTAACCATGGCAACAGCTGACAGCTCACAGGGCCCATGGCAACAGGCAATGGGGGGGGGGGGGAACCACCGCAGTAACCATGGCAACGGACACCCCAAATAACCTAGACAATGTCTGGGGGAGTGTGTGGGGGGGGGAAAGCATGGTTACCATGGCAACATGTGATGGGTGACAACAGTAACCATGGCAACTGATGGGGGGACAGAATAACAACAGATGAGAATGGCACCCATGGCGATGGGCATGTTGGGACCATGGTAACCATGGCAACGGATGATGGGTGACAATGGTAACCATGGCAAGTGGCATGTGGGGACCACAGAAACGGTTGATGGAGACCACGGTAACCATGGCAACGGGAAACAATGCTAACCATGGCAATGGGAGGGTGGGAATCATTGTAACCATGGCAACAGGTGTGAGATGTTGGACCATGGTGTATGATGGGGTAACCATGGCAACGGGGGCCTTGGGACACCAAATAATGAAGACAACAGGTTGCAGGTGGGGGGGGAAACATGGTAACCATGGCAGCAGGTGATGGGTGGCAATGGTAACCATGGCAACCGGCTATGGGGGGACCACAATAACCATGGAAATGGATGACAATGGTAACCATGGCAACGGATGATGAGGCCCATGGGACCCATGCCAACTGGCATCTGGGGTGGGGGCGGGGGGGGGGTAATGGTAACCACGGCAACAGGTGATGGGTGACAATGGTAACCATGGCAGCAGGCATGCTGGGACCACTGTCACCATGGCAACAGATTATCGATGACAATGGTAACCATGGCAATGGCTGTTGGATGACAACGGTAACCATGGCAATGATGGGAGGATCACAGTAACCATGGCAACGGATGATGTGGGTCCAGGGTAAGCACGGCGCCGGGCAGCCGCAGTGCTGGGCGCTCACCGAGGGCCGGAAGGGGGGTGCGGGCGGCGCGTCCATGTTGATGCTGAACTGCTTCCCCCCGGGAACGCTCTTCCTGCGGGAGCGGCCGCCGTGGTAATCTGGGAATGGGGGGGCACGGGGGTCAGGGCATCCCAAAACCCAGGGGAACCAAAACCCACCCCAAAACCCAGGGGAACCAAAACCCACCCCAAAACTCAAGGGGACCCCAAATTCCACCTCAAAACCCAGGGGAACCCAAATCCCACCCCAAAACCCAGGGAGACCCAAAATCCCACTGCAAAACCTAGGGAGGCCCCAAATCCCACCCCAAAAATCCCACCCTAAAATGCAGGGGTATCCCAGGTCCCATCCCCCAGCTGGGGGAGACCCCAAAATCCCACACCAAAACCTGGAGGGACTCCAAAATCCCACCCCAAAACGTGGGGGAACCCCAAAATGCCACCCCTAACCCCTCTGGGGGACCCATAATCTGCTCTGTGGGGTGATGGAATGGGGGATTTGGGGCTCTGGGGGGATTTTGGGGGTCTCAGGGGGCTTTTAGGGGGGTCAAAGGGGGTGAGGGGACCCCAAAATATGGAGATCATGGGGGGGTCCACAAAATTCCCCCTTAGCCTCTGGAGACCCCAAAATCCCCCCCAAAGCCCCTCTGGGGGTCCCAAAATCTGCCCCAAGGGGGTTCAAGGGGGGATTTGGGGTCTGGGGGGATTCTGGGGGCACTTGGGGGATTTTAGGGGGGTCACGGGGGGTGAGGGAATCCCAAATTTCCCCCCTTGACCTAGGGGAACCCCAAAATCCGACCCCAAATCCTCAGGGGGGTCCCAAAATCCATTCCAAGGGGTGATGGAAGGGGGGATTTGGGGTCTAGAGGGATTTTGAGGGCATTTGGGGGATTTTAGAAGGGCCACGGGGGGTGAGGGGACCCCAAACAATGAGGATAATGGGGAGGTCCCCAAAATTCCACTCTCAACCTGTGAGGAGCCCAAAATCCCACCCCAAAATCCTCTGGGGGCCACAAAATCCAGGCCAAGGGGTGGAAAAAGAGTAAATTTGGGGGAAATCTGGAGAAATTTTGGGGAGGGGTGGGGTGGTGGGGGTCTCAGCCTCTCCCCCCACTGTGCTCACCTCCTCCAGCCACCCCCACCCCCAAATTTTTCGGTGCACCCCAAATTTTGATCTCTCTCCCTCTAAATCCCCTTTAATCCCCCTCAAAATTCCCCCCCAATTCTTCCCCTGCCCTCAAATGCCCCCAGCCCCACCCGAAACTTGAAGCCCCGACCCCAATATTTGGGATCCCCCCCCCAAATTTCGGGACCCTCACCCAAATTTTGGGGTCCCCTTCACTCTGCACCCCCAAATGCCTTTAACACTCCTCAAAAAACTTCCCCTCCCCCAATTTTCAGCCCCCTCCCCAAAATTTTGTGGTCCCTTCAATTCCGACCTCCCAAACTTCCCTAAAATTCTCCAAATCCCCCCAAATGCCCAAAAAACGCCCCCAAAATCTTCCCCCTCCACAAATCCCTTTTAACTCTGAGCCCCCTCCCCCAAATTTTGGTTTCTTTTCGATTCTGCCCCCCTAAAACTCCCCAAATCCTCCAAAACTTGGAAGGTTGCTTCAAGTCCCATCTCCCAAACACTCCTAAAAACCCCAAATCCCCCTAAACCCCCCAAAATCTTCCCCTGTCCCCAAATCCCCTTTAACCCCGAGACCCCTCCCCAGATTTAATCCCCTCCCCAAATTTCAAGCTCCTCCTCCCCTCATTTTGGGATCCCTTTGGATTTTCCCCCCTAAAACCCCCAAAATTCTTCCCCCTCCCCCAAATCCCCTTCAACCCCGAGGCCATTCCCCAAATTTCGGGGTCCCTTCAATTCTGATCTCCCAAACTCCCCTAAAACCCCCAAAATCCCCCTGAACCCCCCAAAAATCTCCCCCGTCCAAATCTGCTTGAACCTCTCGAGCCCCCTCCCCAATTTGGAGCCCCCTCCCCTAAATGTGAGGGTTCAATTCTGCCCCCCAAAGTCCCCTAAGCCCCCCAAAATCTTCCCCCCACCCCAAATCTGCTCGAATCCCTCAAGCCCCCTCCCCATTTCCGAGCCCCCTCCCCAGTTCACTCCTACCGGCCACGGTGCTGCTGCCGCCCTCGGGGCCGAGCCGGGGGGGGCCGGGAGGGCCCCGCAGGGTCCAGGGGGACCCCGGGATTTGGGGGGGGGGCGCGACGGGGGGGCCCCACATGGTCCTAGAGCCGCCCCGGGGCCCCCCCAAGCCCCCCCGGCGGGGCCGGAGAGACCCCCGCGGGCATGGGGGGGGGGCGGCGGGGGGGGCACGGGCACACCTGGGGGGGCACCTGGGGGGTCAGACACACCTGGGGGGGCACGGGCACACCGGGGGGGGGCACACACACCTGGGGGGGGCACACACATCTGTGGGGGCACACACACCTCGGGGGGCACGGGCACACCTGGGGGGGCACGGGCACACCTCGGGGGGTACACACACCTGGGGGGGTACAGAGACACACCTGGGGGGGGCATGGGCACAGCGGGGAGGGCACACACACACACCTGGGGGGGAACGGGCACACCTGGGGGGTACACACACCTGGGGGGGTACAGAGACACACCGGAGGGGGGCACGGGTACACCGGGGGGAGCACACACACACACCGGGGGGGCACACACACACACCTGGGGGGGCACGGGCACACACACTTGGGGGGTCACACGCTCACCTGGAGGGGGGGCACACACACACACCTGGGGGGGGGGTCACACACCTGGGGGGGGTCACACACCTGGGGGGGGTCACACACCTGGGGGGGGTCGCTCACTCGCTCTCTCACACGCCAGGGGGCGCAGACACACCTGGGCCTTGCACACTCCCCGTGTCCCCCCCGGCCTTGCACACTCCCCTGCTCCCTCACACTCACCTGTGCCCCCCCCGCACACTCACCTGTCCCTCTCCCCCCCTCCGTTGCACACTCACTCCCTTCCCCCCCCCCCCTTTTTGCACACTCACTCCCCCTCCCCTCCCGTTCCCCTCCCCCCGCTCGTGGCTCCGCGCGCCGCCCCCGCTGCCCCTCCCCCACCCCCCCTCCCCCTCCCTGCGCTCCGGGGGGCCCGGCCCGGCCCCTCCCCCCTTTGCACACTCGCCGTTCCCCCCCTTGCACACTCGCCCCCCCTTTGCACACTCGCCCCCCCTCACTCACACTCGCCCCCCCCTCACTCACCCGGCGCCGCCGCCACCGCCCCGCGCTGGGGAGGCCCCGCCCACCGCGCTCAGGCCACGCCCACCGCGCGCGGGACACGCCCACAGCGTCCCCTGGCCACGCCCACCGCGCGCGGAGGCCACGCCCACGTCGGGGGCGTGGGAAAGGGGCGGGGCCAGAGGGCCGTGGGAAAAATGGGGGGGGGAGGGGAACTGGGGGGAACTGGGAGGTGAGGGGTGACACTGGGACAGACTGGGGATGGTGGCACTGGGGACACTGGGACAGACTGGGGATGGTGGCACTGGGGACACTGGGACAGACTGGCAATGGTGGCACCAGTGGCACCAGGGACGGTGGCGCTGGGACAGAATGGGGCGCACTGGGGATAGGGACACTGGTTCACATTGGTGGCACTGGTGGCACTGGGCATGGTGGCACAGGGACACACTGGGACACACTGGGGATGGTGGCACTGGGACGGGCTGGAGATGGTGGCACTGGTGGCACTGGGGATGGCGGCTCCAGGACAGACTGCGGCACACTGGGGGTGACCAGTGACACCAGAGATGGTGGCATTGGGGACAGGGGGGACAGTAGGGATAGTGGCACCAGTGGCTCTGGAGACACTGGGAATGGTGGCACTGCGGACACTGGTGACACTGGGGATGGTGGCACTGGGACACGCTGGGTGACTGGTGGCAGTGCTGGCACTGGGGATGGTGTTGGCAAGGGGGACACTGGGGGTGACGGTGGTGGCACCATTGGTGGCACTGGGGGCACTGGTGACAATGGCAGCACTGGTGACACTGGTGATGGTGGCAGTGGTGACATTTATGGCAGCGGATGGTGACAGCAGTGACAATGGCACCGGTGGCACCGGTGACACTGGTGATGGCGGCACCAGTGGCAATGGATGGTGACAGCAGTGACAATGGCACCGCTGGCACCGGTGACACTGGTGATGGCGGAACTGGTGGCAGTGGATGGTGGCAGCGGTGACAGCAGTGGAGGATGGCAGCGGTGGCGGCACTGGACAGTGATAGCGGTGACAATGGCACGGATGGCACTGGTGTCCCCTGTCCCCAGTGGCTCTGGTGGCACTGGTGAGCGGTGACACTGGTGACAGCAGGGGTGGCACTGGCGGCCCTGGGAAGGCGGCAGAAGGGTGACAGTGGTGGCAGTGACAAGGTGGCACTGGTGTCCCTGTCCCAGCACTGGGGGTGGCACTGGTGGCACTGTCCCTTTCCCCAGTGGCAGCAGGGTGAGGTGGCACCGGGGAGGTGACAGCGGTGCCACCGGTGTCCCCTGGCACTGCTGATGACACCGGTGGCCCTGTCCCTGTCCCCAGCCATGAGGGTGGCACTGCTGACCCTGCTCCCGGTGACAGTGGCGGCAGCGGTGTCCCCTGCCCCGCTGGCCCCGCTGGCAGTGCTGGCGCTGTCCTCAGTACCGCGGCTCTCCCGTCCCCATCGCTGTCCCCTCTGTCCCCATTTTCCCGTTTTGCCCCAAACCCGCGGCGGGGGCGGGGCCTCCCTGGGCGGGGGGGGGGGCAGGGGTGGGGGGAGAAAATTTGGGAGGGTGGGGGCGGGGGGGGGGCAGGCCCGTGTCCCCGTCTCCATGGCGACGGTCGCCAGGCAGCGCAGCGCCTCTGCGAGCATTATGGGATGTCACCATGGCTCCCGCGGGGGGGGTGTCAAACCCGCCCCTTCCCCCCCGGCGCCGCCGCCCCCGGCCCGAACCCGCGGGGGGGGGGGCGGGGGGGGGCAGGGGCCGCCGAGCCCCCCGAGCCCCCCGAGCCCCCCGGGCCCCCCCGGCCCCGCCCGTTACCGTGCTCGGGGTGCGGGCGCCCCTCCACCGGCACGCTGACGGTTCTCCGCAGCAGTTTGCTCCGGCACGGCTCGCCCCGCCGGTCCCGGATGAGCAGCGGGTGGATCTGGGGGGTCCCGCCATTGGGGGGGGGGGCTCAGCGTTTTCGGGGGACCCCCCCCGGCCCCCCCCGGGCCTGGCGGCACCCCCCCCGCGCTCACCTCCTCCTCATCGAGCATCAGCAGCTGGTTGCCGGAGATGATGCAGAACCGGGGGTTCCAGGGTGGGCGCTCGTAGGGGGAGGGGGCGTAGGGCCCGCGGCCCAGGGGGGCTCCGCGCACATCTGGGGGGCGCGGGGGGGTCACATCTGGCCGCCCCCCCCCCGCCCGGGCCGCCCCCCCCGCGGCCGCTCCCCGCCCGCATCCTCCTCCCGCATCCCGCGTTGCTCCGGCAACCGCAGCCCACGGCGCGGCCGGGCCTTGGGGGGGGGTCCCGAAATTCCTGGGGGGGGTCCCCGAACCTTCCGGGGGGGGGTTGGGAACCCCCGGACCTCCCCCGGGCGCTGCGGGACCCCCTCGGCACCCCCCGCGCCCCCCCAGCCCCAACCCGGTACCGGGGTGGCCCCGATACCCCCCGGGCCGGGGGCGCCTCTGGGGGTTTGGGGGGAACCCCAACATTCTACGGGGGTCCCATAGCACCCTTGGGACCCCCCAGGACCGCCCCGAATCCCTGGGTGCCCCCAAAAATCATGGGTGCCCCTCCAAGAAGGCACAGATGGGGTAGACCTGGTGTCCGAGACACCCCAAAATCCCCCCCGGGAACCCCAAAATCCGCCCGGGAACCCCCAAATTCCCCCTGTGACCCCAAAATTCCCCCTGGGAACCCAAAACCCCCCCAGGGAACCCCAAAATCCCTCCCAAGAACCCCAAAAAGGGGTGGGGGAGGGGTGCGGGCGTGCTGGGGGGGATGGGCAAGGCCCTGGTGCCCCCAAATCCAGCGTGTCCCCCCAAATTGGGGCTGTCCCCAGCAGCTGTTGGCAAGGCTGACCTCTGTCCCAAATTCCCAGGATTGGGGCATTTGGGGGGTTTGGGGGATTTGGGGGATTCTAAAGGGTTTGGGGGGATTTGGGGGTTTTGGGGTTTTAGGGGATTCTGGGGGATTTTGGGGGATTCTGGGGGGTTTGGGGATTTTGGGGTTTTGGGAGTTTGGGGGGTTTTAGGAGGGGTCCTCAAATTCCCCCTGGGAATTCCGGGGGTCCCTCAGCACCCCCAGGACCCCAAAAAGCCACGGGGGGACCCCAAAGCCCCCCAGAGCCACGGGACAGGCTGAGCTGGCATCCCCGCAGCAGCGCGGACCAGTAAGCACCAGTAAGCACCAGTAAGAACCAGTTACACCATCCCCATCTCCCAGTAACCCCCAGTAACCCCCAGTAACCCCCAGTAACAACCAGTAACCCCCAGTAACCCCCAGTAACAACCAGTAACCCCCAGTAACCACCAGTAACAACCAGTAACAACCAGTAACAACCAGTAACCACCAGTAACCCCCAGTAACCACCAGTAACAACCAGTAACAACCAGTAAGCACCAGTAAGCACCAGTAACCACCAGTAAGCACCAGTAAGCACCAGTAACAACCAGTTACACCATCCCCATCTCCCAGTAACCCCCAGTAACCCCAAGTAAACCCCAGTAACACCCAGTTAATACCAGTAGCCACCAGTAACACCCAGTTAACACCAGTAAACACCAGTAACACCCAGTTAACACCAGTAAACACCAGTAACACCCAGTAAACACCGGTCTCATGACCCAGTAACTCCCAGTTACAGCATGCACTGGTACCAGTATGCACCAGTAAGAGCATCCTCATCTCCCAGTAAGTCCCAGTAACAGCATCCACTGGCACCAGTAACTCCCAGTTACAGCATCACTGCAAACCAGGAACTCCCAGTAACAGCCACCCCCAGTCCCAGTATCACCAGTAACAGCCTCCCCCAGTCCCAGTATCACCAGTAACAGCCTCCCCCAGTCCCAGTATCACCAGTAACAGCCTCCCCCAGTCCCAGTATCACCAGTAACAGCCTCCCCCAGTCCCAGTATCACCAGTAACAGCCTCCCCCAGTCCCAGTATCACCAGTAACAGCCTCCCCCAGTCCCAGTATCCCCAGTAAGAGCCCCAGCACACACCAGTAGCATCGTCACCACACACCAGTATGGCCCAGTAACGGCTTCACTGGGCACCAGTTACAGCGTGCCCTGGCACCAGTAACTCCCAGTTACAGCATCACCACAGACCAGTAACTCCCAGTTACAGCATGCCCTGGCACCAGTATGCACCAGTAAGAGCATCCCCATCTCCCAGTAACAGCTCCCACTGGCACCAGTAACTCCCAGTAGCACCATCCCCATGTACCAGTAACCCCAGTAACAGCCTCCCCCACTCCCAGTAACCCCAGTAACAGACTCCCCCAGTCCCAGTATCCCCAGTAACAGCCTCCCCCAGTCCCAGTATCACCAGTCACAGCCTCCCCCAGTCCCAGTATCACCAGTCACAGCCTCCCCCAGTCCCAGTATGCCCAGTAAGGGCATCCTCCTATGGTACCGGCCTTACTGGGCACCAGTAACTCCCACTAACAGCATCACTGCAAACCAGTAACTCCCAGCAACAGCCCCATCACAGACCAGTAGCCCCCAGTAAGTGACTCCCCCCATCCCAGTATCCCCAGTATCACCATTCAGAGCATACCCCCCAGTCCCAGTATGCCCAGTAACTGCCTCCTCTGCTCCCAGTACACCCAGTAACAGCCACCCCCGGGCCCAGTACCAGTCCCAGTATGCCCAGTAACCGCCTCCTCTGCTCCCAGTACACCCAGTAACAGCCACCCCCGGGCCCAGTACCAGTCCCAGTATGCCCAGTAACCGCTTCCTCTGCTCCCAGTACACCCAGTAACAGCCGCCCCCGGCTGCAGTGCCTTTCCCAGTATCCCCAGTCCCGGCCTCTCCCGCTCCCAGTATCCCCAGTCTGAGCATCCCGCGCTCCCAGTATGCCCAGTCCCGGCCTCCCCCGCTCCCAGTATCCCCAGTCACAGCCGCCCCCAGTCCCAGTATCCCCAGTAAGAGCCTCCCCCGCTCCCAGTACCCCCATTAAGAGCATCCCCCGCTCCCAGTTCGCCCAGTCCCGGCCTCCCCCGCTCCCAGTTCGCCCAGTCCCGCCCCCCCGCTGCCCGCGGGCGGCCCCGCGCGCTCCCAGTGCTCCCAGTGCTCCCAGTTTGCCCCCCCGTACCTCGGAAGGGGACATAGGACATGGTGCCACCGGCGCGCGACACCCCCGGCGGGGGGAGGGGCGGGGGGAGGGGCGGGGGAGGGGGAGGGGGGAGGACCCGGTGCGGGGGGGGGAGGGGGGAGGGGGAGGGAGAGGGGCCGGGAGGCGGGGGGGGAGGGGAGGAGGAGGGGCCGGAAATGGAGGGAGGGGCCCGAGGGGGCGGGGCTGAGGGTGGGGGAGGGGCCAGAGCGGGAACCGGGAACCGGAGCCGGGGGGGGCGGGGGGAGGACCGGGAGTGGGGGGAGGGGCCACGGGGAGGGGCGGGGCCAAAGCGGGGGAGGGGGAGGGGCCAGGAGCGAAGGGGCGGGGTCAAAGGGGGCGGGCAGAGGTGGGGGAGAGGCGAGGGAGCCCCGGGATGGGGGAGGGGCAGCGGAACGGGGGGGGGGGAGGGCGGGGGGAGGGGAAAGGAGGGGCGGGGACTCCCCCTCCCCCCCTCCGCCCCCGGCCGCTTCCGGCGGCGGCGGTGACGTCACGGGGCGGGGGCGGGGCTCCGGGGTCACGTGGGGCGGCGGCGCGAGCGGCGCGCGGGAGCGGTGAGGGGGGAGGGGCGGGGGGATTTGGGGAGAGGGCGCGGGGAGGGGGAGGGGAGGGGGCGTGGCCTGCGGAGATCCCGCGGGAAATCCGGGGGGGTTTGGCGGGAATTTGGGGAGGGGGCGGGGCCTGGGAGCAGCCGGGGATGCTCGGAGGGAAATTTTGGGGTGAATCTGGGGAGGGGGCGACTTTGGGGTAACATTGGGGGGGATTTTGGGGAGGGGGCGGGGCCTGGGGGGAGATTTCTGGGGGAAGGTCGGGATTCCTTGGGGGAGGGGCGGGTTTGGGCTCGGGTTTGGGGATTTTGGGGTAATTTTGGGCTGGGTTTTGGGGCTGGGGGCGATTTTGGGGTCGGGTTTTGGGGCTGCGGTCTCGGGGGGCTTTGGGGTAATTTTGGGCTGGGTTTTGGGGTTGGGTCGGGTTTTGGAGTCAGTTTTGGGGGGTTGGGAGATTTTATGTTGGGATTTTGGGGATGGAGTTAGTTTTGGGGCAGGGGTTGGGGCTGGGGGCGATTTTGGGGTCAGTTTGCGGAGTTTGGGATAATTTTGGGGTGGGATTTTTGGGCTGGGGGCGATTTTGGGGTGGGGTTTTGGTGCCGGGGCAATTTTGCAGTCAGGGTTTGGGGCTGGGGGTGGTTTTGGGGTGGGTTTGGGGGGATTTTGGGGGTTTGGGGTTTTGGGGGCTATTTTGGGGTCAGGTTTGGGTCTGGGGTCCCTTCCTGGGTCCCTTTTGGCTCTGACCTCTCCCCCCCGCCAGGAGGAGCCGGCGGCCGATGAGAGCGGCGTGGGCTGTGAGTGCCGCTGTCGCCATAGGCGGCATGTCGCGATATGGGGGGATATCGTGATAGGAGGGGGTATCGCAATATGGGGAGGGGATATCGTGATACGGGGATGCAGATATCGCAGTATGGGGGGATATCGTGATATGGGAGAGGAATACTGCGATATGGGGATGTGCCTATCACGATATAGGGGAGGGGAAGTAGTGATGTGGGAGAGGGATATCGTGATACTGAGGAGGGGATAGCGCGATATAGGGAGGCGATATCACGATATCGGGGGATATCATGATATGAGAGGGGGTCTTGCAATCTGCGGGGAATATTGTGGTATGGGGACAGGAATGTCGGGATACGGGGGGGATATCACGATACCGGGGAGGGGATATCGCGATGGGGCCGATGTCGTGATGGCGGGCGTGTCGCGACAGTGCAGGTATCACGATAGCGGGCGTGTCGCGACAGCGCGTGGGCCGCGGCCGTTGCAGGAGGGCTGCTACTGCAACAGGGATATCGTGACATGCCAGGGGTCACTGTGTCACGATAACGGGCGTGTCACAAAGCGTTGTCACGATACGTCAGGTATTGCGACAGGGATATCATGATAGGGCCGGTGTCACGATAGGGATCGCGATAGGGCCGGTATCGTGACAGGGATCTCGTGATGTGCTGAGTATCGTGACGTGGATGTCGCGATACAAACGTCACGACACGGTATCGTGATGTGGGTACAGCGATGGGGTGCAAATATTGCGACGCTGATATCGCGGCGCGCGTGTTGTGATGTGTCGGTGTCGCGGCTCGAATGTCGTGACACGGCTATGGCAATGGGATGTGAATATTGCGACATGAGGATCACGGCATGAGTATCACGTGACTATTGCAACGTGACTATCACGACACAAACATCGCGGTGTGAATTCTCTGAATTCTGTGAATTTGTGACTGTGGCATTCTGTGATTAATTCTGTGAATTCTCCGCATTCTGTCAATTTTGTGCTTCTGTGAATTCTGTGAATTCTGTGAATTTGTTATTCTGTGCTTTCTGTGCCGACTTCGGACTCCCTGTCCCTGCCAAAGTCCCCGTTTCCCCTTTCCCGTTTCCCCTTTCCCCTTTCCCGTTTCCCCTTTCCCCGTTCCCGTTTCCCGTCGGTGCTGTTGGGCTCTCTGGGCTCTCAGGGCTCAATGGCCTTGGGGGTCTCCTCCAGGCTGGCGGCTGTGAGATATCGCCACAGGCCGGTATCGCGACAGCTGTCGTGACACACGATATCGCAACCTGTCGATACTGCGACAGCTGTTGTCACACGCTGCTATTGAGGCGTGCCGGTATCGCGACAGGCTGATATCGCGATAGCTGTTGTGATGTGCTGGTATTGCGAGAGGCTGATAGCGTGACAGGCCAGTATTGCCGCTGTCACGACACAGCGCTATCGCGACAGGCGGGTATGCCACTACTGTGACAGGATGGTACTGCAACAGGCTGATACAGGCTGATACACAGCGCTATCGCAATATACCCCTATCGCGACAGGCCGATATTGTGACACAGCGCTATCATGATATACCCCTATCGCGACAGGCTGATATCATGACACAGCACTATCGCAATATACCCCTATTGCGACAGGCCGATATCGTGACACAGCGCTATCGCGATATACCCCTATTGCGACAGGCTGATATTGTGACACAGCGCTATCGCGATATACCCCTATCACGGCTGATATCGTGACACAGCGCTATCACGATATACCCCTATCACAACAGGCTAATATCGTGACACAGCGCTATCATGATATACCCCTATCGCGACAGGCCAATATCATGACACAGCACTATCGCGATATACCCCTATCGTGACAGGCTGATATTGTGACACAGCGCTATCGCGATATACCCCTATCGCGACAGGCCGATATCACGACAGCCGCTCTCTCTCGCAGGCGCTGTCGCTGCTGCTGCTGCCGGGGCTGGGCCGGCGAGCGACGCCCGCGGCCACCGCGGCCACCGGCATGGCCAGCGCCGAGGGGGACAGGGGGGACAGGGGGGACAGCACCGGGGACACCGCGGAGATCTCGGCTGCCTTCGTCACCTGCCCCAACCTCAGCGTGGCCACTGAGCTGGCCAGGTGACACTGGGGACACCGGGGGGACACTGTCCCCAGGGTGACACCAGGGAAACCGGGGTGGCGCTGGCACTGGGGGACAGCGGGAGGTGATGGGGGTGGCACTGTCCCCAAGGGTGGCAGGGGGAGGGGACACTGTCCCTGTCTCCATCCCTGTCCCAGGGGGTGATGGGTGACACAGGGCTGTGACGGTGTCACAGGAGGTGACACAGGAGGTGACACTGTCCTGTCCCTGCCAGGGCTCTGGTCCAGCAGCGTTTGGCCGCCTGCGTCAACATCATACCCGGGGTGACCTCGGTGTGAGTGGGGACACTGGGGACACACAGGGGACAGGAGGGACACACAGGGGACAGGGGGGACACACAGGGGACATTGGGACAGAGGGGACAGAGAGGGGACGATGGGGACGGGGGACACAGGGGACTGGAAGGACATTGGGGAACTGGGGGACATTGGGGACAGCGGGAGGATTTGGGACAGGGAGAACTGGGGACACTGGGGACATTCAGGGCATTGGGGACATTCGGGGGCTGGGGACACTGTGGGGACTTTGAGGGACACTGGGGACAGTGGGGACAGTGGGAGGGGCTGGGGACACTGGGGTGACATTGAGGGGATTGGAGGACATCAGGGACATTGGGGACACGGGAGACAGGAGGTGCCACCCCCAGTGTCCCCGATGTCCCCCAGGTACACGTGGCAGGGGAAGCTGGAGGAGGACAGCGAGGTCCTGCTGGTGAGTGATGGCCCCAAGGTTCCCCAGTGTCCCCTCAATGTTCCCAGTGTCCCCCCAGTGTTCCCAATGTCCCCTCACTGTCCCCATCGTCCCCAAGGTGTCCCTAAGGTCCCAGGGTGCCCTCAGTGTCCCCACGGTGGCTCTGAGGTGTCCCTGATGTCCCCAGGCTGTCCCTGCTGTCCCCAAGGTCCCAGGAGTGTCCCCAGCATGTCCCCGATGTCCCCAGTGTGTCCCCAAGGTGTCCCTGGGGCATCCCCAATGTCCCCAATCCCCCAATGTCCCCAGTGTCCCCAGTCCCCCAACACCCCCAATGTCCCCACTGTCCCAAAGGTCTCCCCACTGTCCCAGATGTCCCCAATCCCCCCAGTGTCCCCAAGGTGTCCCCAGTGTCCCAAATCCCTGCTACACTCCCACTGTCCCCAGTGTCCCCAGGGTGTCCCCACTGTCCCTTTTGTCCCCAATCCCCCAAATGTCCTTAAAGTGTCCTGGAGTGTGCCTGGTGATTCCCCACTGTCCCCACTGATGTCCCCCCTGTCCCCCCTGTCCCCCCTGTGTCCCCAATGTCCCCCCAATGTCCCCTGTGTCCCCGCTGTCCCCAGATGATCAAGACCCGCAGCTCCCGGGTGCCGGCGCTGAGCGACTTCGTCCGGTGGGGACGGGGGGGGGTTGTTGGGGGATTTGGGGGTCCCAGAGGGGATTTGGGGGTCGCGGGTGGAATCTTGGGGGGCCTGGGGGAGATTTTGGGGGATCCCAGTGGGGCTTTTAGGGGTCCTGGGGGAATTTGGGGGCAGACTTGGGGGTTTTGGGGGGATTTTGGGGGGTCCCAGGTGGGATTTGGGGGTCGCGGGTGGAATCTTGGGGGGCCTGGGGGAGATTTTGGGGGATCCCAGTGGGGCTTTTAGGGGTCCTGGGGGAATTTGGGGGCAGACTTGGGGGTTTTGGGGGGATTTTGGGGGGTCCCAGGGGGGATTTGGAGGGTGCTGGGGGGGGAAGGGGGGAGCTGGAGGATTTGGGGGAATTTTGGGGGTCCCAGGGGGGTTTGGGTCATATTTTGGGGGGTTCTGTGTGGGATTTTGGGGATCCTTGGAGGATTTTGGGGAGTCCCAGGGGGGTTTGGGGCAGATTCTTGGGGGTCCCGGGTGATATTTTGGGGTCCCAGAGGGGATTTTTGGGGTCCTTGGGGGATTTCTGGGGGGCCCTGAGCCCATTTTGGGTGTCCCAGTTGGGACTGGGGGAGTCCCAGGGGGGATTTTGGGGTCCCCAGGGCTGGTTTTGGGGGGGGTATTGTGGATTTTGGGGTTACCGAGGTGGTTTTGGGATTCTGGAGGAGATTTTGGGGTGCCCCAGGTGATTTTGGGATTCCCAAGGTGGTTTGGGGGTTCCCAGGACAGTTTTGGGGGATGATTTTGGGGTTCCTGAGCTGAGTTTGGGGTTCCCAGGGCAGTTTTTGGGGGTGTTTTTGGGATTTTGGGGTTCCTGAGCTGGGTTTGGGGTTCCCAGGGCAGTTTTTGGGGGTGCTTTTGGGATTTTGGGGTTCCTGAGCCGGGCTCTGCTCCCCAGGAGCCGCCACCCGTACGAGGTGCCCGAGGTGGTGGCGCTGCCGGTGGCGCAGGGGAACCCCCCGTACCTGCGCTGGGTGCGCGACAGCGTGCCCCCCTGAGAGCCCCCCCGCCCCCCAAATCCCCACAGCACCCCAAAAATCCCCCCCAAAATCCACCCCAAAAATCCCCCCAAAACTCCCAAAAAATCCCCCCCAAAATCCACCCCAAAAATCCCCCCAAAACTCCCAAAAAATCCACCCCAAAACTCCTCAAAAATCTCCCCCAAGAACCCCAAAATTCCCCCAGCCCCCACCCAAATCCCGACCCCCCCCCCAAAAAAAACCAAAAACCACCACAAATCCCCCCCAAAAATCCGTCCAAAAATTCCCCTAAAAATCCCCCGAGAAAATCCCCAAATCCCCCAGTCCCAGGGGGGACCCCGAAATCCGAGCGGGGGAGGGGAGGGGACGCCTCGGATTTGGGCATAAAGAGGAGGAACTCCAAAACTGGGGGAGATTTTTGGGGGCACGGGGACCCCAAAACTGGGGGGTCCTGAAATCTGGGGGGGGGGAGAACTCCAAAAACAGGGACAGGGGAACCCCCAAATTTTGTGGCATTTTAGGAGGGAAACCCCAAAATTTGGTGAGGATTATGGGGAAACCCCAAAATGTGGGAGGAATTAAGTGGGACCCCAAAATTTGAGGAGGTTGAATGGGGGGAACCCCAACATTTAAGTGGGTGGGACCCCAAAATTTGGGGTGCAAAAGGGGAAACCCAAAAATTTGGGGTGGGCTGAAAGGGGAACCCCAAAAATCGTGGGGAGTGATCCCAAATGGGGGGGGGGAGAGAGTAGACCCCAAATTTAGGAGGGGTGGGACCCCAAAATTTGGGGCAAAAACCCCCAAAACGGGTGAGGGGGGGGAGAACAGAGAGACCCCAAAATTCGGAGGGGAATTTGAGAGGGAGGGGTCCCCAAAATTGAGGGGGACACAGAAACACCCCGAAACTTAGGGGGGAGGGAAGGGCGGGAACCCCAAAACGTGGCAGGGGAGAAAGGTCGGAAATCCCAAAATTTGGGGGGGCGGGGACGCTGAATTTGTGGGAGGGGCTTAAAGGTGGGGGAGGGGCATCCTTAAAATGGGGAGACCCCAAAATTTGGGGGGAAACCCCAAAAACCTCCCGGAGCTGCTGCCTTGGAGCCGTTTATTGGGGGAGGGGCCGAGGCCAACCCAAATCCGCCCAGAAATGGGAAAGTGAAGATTTTTCACCCCAAAATATGTTTTTTGTTTTTGTGTTGGGGGGGGGGAACCCTAAAAACAGGAGGCGTGGTCGGGTGTGGCCACGCCCCCTCCAGGCCACGCCCCTGCTGTTTCTGCTTAAACTCCAAAGTGCCAAAAATAAAGATTTCTATCCTGAAATTTGGGGATTTTTGGGGCTGGGAAGCCGAAATTTTTGGAGAGGTGTCCCCAGAATTTGGGGGCATGGTCAGATGTGGCCACGCCCCCTCCAGAACAGGCCCCTCTTATATTTCCCCATAAATCATCTCTAAAGTGCCAAAAATAAAGATTTCTATCCCAAAATTTCAAGGGTTTGGGGCTCGGACCCCAAAATTTTTGGGGAGGGGTCCCCAAATTTGGGGGGGCTGGGGTCAGAGTTGGCCCCGCCTCCGCTTTAAATCCCCTCTAAAGTGACAAAAATAACAATTTTCTCCCAAAATTTCAGGGTTTTTGGGGTCGGGACCCTAAAATTTGGGGTGGCATTCCCAAAAAAACACGGGTGTGTTCAGGGTTGGCCACGCCCCCTTCTGGCCCCGCCCCGCCTCTATTTCCCCTTACATAATATCTAAAGTGACGAAAATAAAGATTTTCCACCCGAAATTTCGGGGGGTTGGGGCTGGGGCCCTGACGGTTTTTTGGGGGGTGTGTGGGGGGGTACCCGAAATGCGGGGGCGTGGTCAGAGCAGGGCCCCGCCCCCCCACTCCAGCAGGTACTGCACGGTCCCGTCCAGCGTCACCCGGCGCGCCAAAACCCGGGGGGGCGGGGCCGGAACGGGGGGCGGGGCCGGAACGGGGGGCGGGGCCGAAACGGGGGGCGGGGCCACGGCCGGGCGGGGGTGGGGCCGGCGGCGCGCGGGGGGAGGGGCGGGGTCCGGGTCCGGTGTGGGAGAGCTGGGGGGAAAAACCAGTATGAACCAGTATGGACCTGTATAAACCAGTATAACCCAGTATAACCCAGTATGGACCCGTATAAACCATTATGGACCGGTATGGACTAATATGGATCAATATAAACCAGTCCAAACCAGTATAAACCAGTATGGACCAGTATGGACCAGTATAACCCAGTATGGACCCGTATAAACCATTATGGACCGGTATGGACTAATATGGATCAATATAAACCAGTCCAAACCAGTATAAACTAGTATGGACCACTATGGACTGGTATAAACCAGTATGGACCAGTATGGACCACTACGGACCAGTATAAACCATTATGGACCGGTATGGGCCAGTATAAACCAGTATGGACCAGTATTAAACTACTATGGACCAGTATGGACCATTATGGACTGGTGTAAACCAGTGTGGACCAGTATGGACCAATACAAACCAGTATGGACTGGTGTAAACCAGTATGGACCACTATGGACCAGTATAAAACATTATGGACCAGTATGGACCGGTATGGGCCAGTATAAACCAGTATGGACCAGTATTAAACTACTATGGACCAGTATGGACCATTATGGACTGGTGTAAACCAGTGTGGACCAGTATGGACCAATACAAACCAGTATGGACTGGTGTAAACCAGTATGGACCAGTATGGACCGGTATGGGCCAGTATAAACCAGTATGGACCAGTATAAACTACTATGGACCAGTATGGACCATTATGGACCGGTATGGGCCAGTATAAACCAGTATGGACCAGTATAACTACTATGGACCATATGGACTGGTGTAAACCAGTGTGGACCAGTATGGACCGGTATGGGCCAGTATAAACCACTATGGGCCAGTATAAACCAGTATGGACTGGTGTAAACCAGTATGGACTAACATGTACTGATATAAACCAGTCCAATCCAGTATAAACCAGTATGGACCGGTATAGAGCAGTTCGGCTGCCCCGGTCCCTCCCAGTCCCTCCCAGTCCCTCCCAGTTCCCCCAGTCCCACCTGGGTTTGTTCGAGGGGTGGAAGGAGGCGAACATCCGGATGGGGGCGCTGGGGAGAGACCCCAAAAACCCCAAATCCTCCAAAACAACCCCAAATCCACCCAAAGCAATCCCAAATCTCCCCAAAATCCCAAACAACCCCCAAATCCTCCAAAAACTTCAATCCACCCAAAATCCCTAAACAACCCCAAATCCACCCAAATCCCAATTCCCCCTAAAAATCCCTCCCAAAACGGCAAAATCCACCAAAAACCCCAAATGCTTCCCAGAAAACGCCGAATCCCCCCCCCCCAAAAAAAACCCAACAAATCCTTTACATTTCTCCCCAAATCCCCCAGGAACCCCAAAATCCCCCAAATCCCCAAAAATCCCCAAATCCCTTCAACCCCCCCCAACCCCCCCAAATCCCCCAGGATCCCCCTGAAAAATCCCAAAATTCCCCCAAATGCCCCAACCCCCCCCAAATCCCCCCAAATTCTCCCCCCAAATCTCCCCAAATTCCCCCAAAATCTTCCAAATTCCCCCCAGATCCCCCAAACCCCCAAAATCCCCAGAATTTCTCTCAAAATTTTCCCCCAAAATTCCACAAATCCCCAAATCTCCCCCCAAAAATCCCCCTTAAATCACCCAAAATCACTCTCAAAAATCCCCCTCAAAGTCCCCCCAAATTCTGCAAATCCTCCCCAATTCTCCCCAAAATCCCCCCAAATTCCCCCCAAATCCACAAATCCCTCCCCAAATCCCCAGAATTTCCGCCAATTCCCCCCAAATTCCCCAAAATTCCGCAAATCCTACAAATCCCAAAATCTCCCCCAAAATCCCCAAAAATCTCTAAAATCCCTCCAAAACCCCCCAAAATTCTGCAAAACCCCCAAATCCCAAAATCTCCACTAAAAGCCCCCCAAAAAGTCCCCCTTTAACCACCCCAACCCCCCCCCAAATCCCCAGAATTTCCCCAAATTTCCCCCAAATTCTGCAAATGACCAAAATCTCCCCCAAAATTCCCCATAAAATCCCCCTCAAACCACCCCAACCCCCCCCAGAATCCCGAAAATCCCCCCCCCCCCCCCCCGAATTCCGCAATTCCCCCCAAATCCCCCAAAATCCCAAAGGCCGTCCCCACCTGGCGGCTCCCCGGGCCTCGGTGCGCCGGAAGTTGTAGGAGCTGCCGGGGGGGTCCTGGAGGGGACACCCCAAATTCGGGGATTTTGGGGTTTTTTGGGGTTTTGGGGTTTTTTGGGGTTTTTTTGGGGTTTTTTGGGGGTTTTCTGGGGGCTCACCTGGCAGCGCCGGGGGGGCGGCCGCCGGCGGGCCCCGCCCTTGCCCCGCCCTGGGGAGAGGCTGCGACCCCCGCGGGGGTTGGGGGGGACCCCAAAAAAATTTGGGGACCCCCCCATGGGAACGGAGGGGTCTCAAGGGAGGGGAAACCCCAAAACCGCCCGGAATTGCCCCAAATCCCCCCCATATCCCCCCGAGACCCCCACATTTCCCCCAAATTCCCCAAACCCTTCAAAGGACTCCAAAATCTCGGAGCCCCCCCAAAGTCAGTCACAGCCCCCCCCAAAATTCCCCCCAAATTCCCCAAAATCTCCCAAACCCTCCCCAAGTCTCTCTTTAAACCTTTCCTAAATCCCCAAATTTTCCCCAGACTCCCCCCAGGACCCCCCAAATCCCCCCAAAAACCCCGAGCCCTCCCAAAATCTCCCCAATTTCCTCCCCAAATCCCCTAAAGCCCCCAGAATCCCCAAATTCCACCAAAGTTCCCCCAAAATCCTCCCCTAAACCCATGAAATCCCACAAATCCCCACAAATCCCCACAAATATCCCCAAACCCCTTAAACCCCCCCAAAGTCGCCAAACCCCTTAAACTTGAACCCTTCAAATCCCCCAAAGCCCCCCAAACTCTTTGAACTCCCCAAAATTCCCCCCAATATCCTCCCCAAACCCCTTTAATCCCTCCAAAACCCCCAAATGCCAAAAAATCCCCCCAACCCCCCTAAAATCCCCCAAATCCCCTTAAAATCCCTCCAAAAATCCCCCAAAACCTTCCCAAATCCCCCCAAAACTCCACATCCCCCCAAAATCCCCCCAGTCTCCCCAAACCTCTTAAACCTTAAAATCCCCCCAAACCCGCAAAATCCCCCAAATGCCCTCAAAGCCCCAAAATCCCCCAAACCCCACCTTTAACCCCCCCAAATCCCCCCCGAATTTCGGGGTCTCCCCCTTAATTCCCCCCCTCCCCCGTTTTGGGGTCTTCCTGTTCTCCCGCCCTCGTTTTTGGGGTTTTCCCCCCGAATTTTGGGTCCCACTCCACACCCCCCCCCCCCCCCCCCCCCCCAGATTTTGGGACTTCCCCTTTTGCACCTCAAATTCTGGGGACCCGCCCCTTCAAATTTTGGGGTTTTCCTTCTTTAGCTTCCTGAGATTTTGGGGGTTGCCCCTGGATCCCCCCCAAATTTTGAGCGTTCCCTCTTTAACCCCCCCCTAAATTTTGGGGGTTCCCCCTCTTAATTCCCCAAATTCCCCCAAAATTCACAAAAATCTCCCAAATTCCCCCACATCCCCCCAAATCCTCCCCAAATTTCCCCAAAATTCCCCAAAATCCCCCGAAACCCCCCCTAATGTCCCAAAAATTCCCCGAAATCCCCCCAAATGCCCCCAAATCCCCCCAAAATTCACAAAAATCCCCCCAAATGCCCCCAAATTCCCCCAAATTTCCCCAAATCTCCCCAAAACCCCCCCGACCTGGCGGCGGGGGGCGGGGGGGGCGGGGCGCGGCTCTGCAGCCCGAACAGCCCCGAGCGCTTCTTCATCTCCCGGCCCGACACGAACCTGCCGGGGGGGGCAAAATTCGGCATTTTGGGGGATTTTGAGGGGGTGTGGGGAGGTTCTCGGCGCACTCGGGGGAAATTTGGGGGCTCTGGGGGGGGTCCGGGCAGGTTTGAGGGGAATTTGGGGGATTTTAGGGATGGTTTGGCCGGGGGTTTTAGGGCATTTTGGGGAAGTTTGGAGAGGATTTGGGGGATCCTGGGGGTCCTGAGGAAATTCCGGAGGATTTTTTGAGGGATCTGGGGGGGTTTGAGGGGATTTTTAGGGGATTTGGGGGGTCCTGGGGGGAGATTTTGGGGACTTGGGAGCTTTGAGGGAGATTTAGGGGTGGATTTGGGGAATTTGGGGGATCCGGGGGTGGGGTTTGAGGGGAATTTTGGGAATTTTGGGGAGGTTTGGCGGGATTCTGGGGGTGCTGGAGAAATTTCGGGGGAGTTTGGGGAGATTGGAGAGGATTTGAGGGGATTTTGGGGTTTTGAGGGAACTTTTGAGGATTTTGGAGCATTTTGGGGCGGTCCTGGGGGAATTTCGGGGGTCCTGGGCAGAACTGGGCAGTCCCAGAGGGGTTTTGGGGGGACTTAGAGGGGTTTGGGGGTTTTGAGGTTTGGTTTTTGGGGTGAGTTGGGACTTTTTGAGGATTTTTTGGATTGTTTTGGGGGTTTTGGGGTGGCTTGGGATTTTTTTGGGGTTTCTTGGGGGAATTTTGGGGAAAGGTTTTTGGGGTTTCTTGGGGGAATTTTGGGGGAAGGTTTTTAGCTGGTTTGGGGGTTTTGGGGTTTTTGGGTTGTGTTTTGGGGTTTTGAGGAATTTTATGTGGTTTTGGGGTGATTTTTGGGGAATCTTTTGTGGTTTCAGGCTGGTTTGGGGCTTTTTTGGGGTGATTTCTTTGTTTTGAGGAGTTTTTTGGGTTTTGGAGGTTTTTTGTGGTCTTGGGCTGGTTTTGGAGGTTTTTTGGGGAGGTTTTTGTGATTTTGGGGTTTTTGGGGGGAGTTTTTTTTGTGGTTCCAGACTGGTTTGGGTATTTGGGGTGATTTCTGTGATTTTGGAGTGTTTTTTTGGGGAGGTTGTTGGGGTTTCAGGCTGGTTTGGGTTTTTTGGGGGTGTTTTCAGTGATTTTGGAGGATTTATGGGGAGGCTTTTGCAGTTTCAGGCTGTTTTTTTGCATTTTTTGGGGTGTTTTTTGTGGATTTGGGCTGGTTTGGGATTTTGGGGTGATTTCTGTGTTTTGGGGAGTTTTTTTTGGTTTTTGGGGTGCCCCTGACCTGTCCTTGTGGGTGCTCAGCACCCCCAGGAGCCGCCCGTAGCGCTCGGAGCGCGGCGTGGCCGCGAGCTGCGGGCAGGAAATGGAGTCAGGGAAAACACAAAACTGGGGACAAAACCCAAATTTGGGGACAAAACCCCAAAATTTGGGGACAAAACCCCGAATTCTGGGGCCCAACCCCCAATTAAGGGCCCCTAACCCCAAATTCTGGGGCCCAAAACCAAATAATGCAATTAGAAAATCAATTTTTGGTGTAAAATCCTCATTCATTGGGTCCAAATCCCGGTTTTTGGGGTCCAAACCCAAATATTTTGAGTAGAAATTCCAATTTTTGGAGTCCAGATTCCAATTTTTGGGGTCCAATTCCCATTTTTTGGTCCAACCCCCAAATTTTCAGGACCAAACCCAAATTTTGGGGCCCAAACCCAAACATTTCATGTAGAAACCCCCAAATACTTTGGGTTCAAATCCCAATTTTATGTCTCAAATGCCCATTTCTGGGGTGCAAACCCCAAATTTAAGAACCAAACCCCAAAAATTTGTAGAAAATCCCTGAAATTTGGGACAAACCCCCCAAAACTTGTGGATCAAACCCCAAAATTGTGGTGAAATTCCTGAAATTGGGACCAAACCCCAAATTTATGGATAAACCCCAAATTTTAGGGTCCAACCCCACTTGGGATTTGAATCCCGAAAATGGGAACATGGGCCCCCAAAATGACTTTTTTGGGGCTAAAAATGGAATTTAGATCCCCCAAACTGGGTTTTATTTCGGAAATTGAGGGCTTTTTCCCCCAAAATTGAGGTTTTCCCCCAAAATCGGGGTTTTCCCCAAAATTATGGTCTCCCCCCCAAATTATCAAGGGGTCTTCCTTCAAAAAATTGATTGTTTTCCATAAAAACCGGTGTTACTTCCAGAAAAATAACTTTTTCCCCCATAAACTCTTGTTTTTTTTTCCCCAAATGTCAATGTTTTTCCCCAAAATTGGGGGTTTCCCCCAAAATTGTAATTTTTTTCCCCAAAAATCAAAGATTTTCCCCCAGAATTGTTTGTTTTTCCCAAAAAAATTGGGGTTTTCCCCTCAAAGTTAGGGTTTCATTCCCAAAATTTGATTTCTTCCCCTAAAATTGGGGGGGTTTCTGACAAAAATCGGGTGTTTTCCCCCAAAAATCGAGGTTTTTTTTAATTCGTTTTTTCCCCCCCAAATCAGGTTTTTTTGTTTTGTTTTTTTTTTCCCAAATACCAAAGCTTTCCCCCAAATATCAAGGCTTTTTTCCCCAAAAAATTGGATTTTCCCCGCAAAAATCAGTGTTCACCAAAATTGGATTCTTTTCCCCAAAAGTCAGATTGTTTCACAAAAATTGGAATCCCCCAAGCAAAACCAATTTTTTTGCCCCTCAAAATCATAAGTCTTCCCCAAAAATGAGACTTTCCCCCCCAAAATTGGAAAAATTTCTCCAAAAATCAGATTTTTCCTCAAAAATAGGAATTTACCCTCAAAAATCTGATTTTCCCCCAAATTTTGAATTATTCATGAAAATCCTATTTTTCCCCAAAAATCAGGAATTTTTTCCCCCAAAAACTGGCTTTTCCCCCAAAAAAATCCATTTTCCCATCAAAATAGTTTGTTTTTCCCCAAAACTACTTTCCCCCAAAATTGTTTTCCCCCCGAAAATCAATTTTTACCCCCCAAAATAGTGTTTTCCCCCCAAAATCACTCCCCCCCCAAAAAATCTGATTTTTTTTCCCCCAAAATATGATTTTTCCAAAAAAATCAGATTTTTTCCCCCAAAATATGATTTTCCCCAAAAAATCAGATTTTTTTTCCCCCACAATCTGTGGGGTTTTTTTTCCCAAAAAATTAGATCTTTCCCTCCCAAAATCAGATCTTTTCCCCCAAAAGCCTGATTTTCCCTCCACAAAATCTGATTTTTTCCCCCAAACCCTGATTTTCTTTTACCCCCAAAATCAAGGTTTTTCCCCAAAAATCAGATTTTTTCCCCCAAACGGGGGTTTCCCCACCGGGCCAAGCAGCAGCGCCTCCCAGTTGGAGTTGGCGAAGGGGAGAATTTCCCGCTCCAGGTCAAAATATTTCTTCTTGCAGCAGATGCTGAGGTGGTAGAGCAGCAGGTGAGCCACGTCCACCCTGCAGCGGGAACACAAAAAACAGGAGAAATGAGGGAAAAACCGGGGAAAATGGGAAAACCCCAAAAAATGGGAGAAATGAGGGAAAATGGGGAAAGTGAAAAAAAAAGGGGGGAGAAATGAGAGCAAATAGGGAAAATAAAAAAAAGGGGGTGGGGAGTTGAGGATTTGGAATTCCAGAGAAATCCCTGGGAATTTGGGGGAAAATCCTGCAAAATGGGAAAATCTGGGAAAAAAAATGGAGAAATGGGAAAAAAATGGGAAAATAAAAAAAAAGCGGGGGGGGGGGAGGAATAAATAAAAAAAGGGGATAAAAGGGGGAAAATGGGGGGAAAAAAAGTGGGGATTGAGAGTTTGGAATTCCAGAGAAATCCCTGGGAAATTGGGGGGAATTCCTTGGAAAATGGGAAAATCCCCCAAAAAATGGGAGAAATTGGGGAAAAAAGTGGGGAAAATACAAAAAAAGTGGGGGAAAATAAAAAAAATGGGGCGGGGAAATGCAAAAAGAAAAAAGGGGGAATTGAGGGTTTGGAATTCCAGAGAAATCCCCAGGAAATTGGGGGAGATCCCGGGAAAATGGGAAAATCTGGGAAAGCAAATGGGAGAGATGGGGAAAAAAGGGAGGAAATCAAAAAAAAAAAAAAAGGTGGAAAACTGAGAAAAAAAGAGGGAAATACACAAAAAAGGGGGAATTGAGGGCTTGGAGTTGGTTTTGGGGTGTTTGGGGGCGTTTTGGGTCATTTTTTGGGTGGTTTTGGGTCATTTTTGGATCATTTTTGGGTGTTTTGGGTCCCCCCTCACCAGCGCAGTGGCAGCCTCTGCACGCTCTCGGCCCCGCCCCGGCAGACGCTGCACTCAAAGACATAAAACCTGCAAAGGAACCCCAAAATAACCCCAAAATAACCCAAAAAGCACCCCAGAATCCATCCCCAAATCACCCCAAATCCCCTCAAAATCCGTATCCAGATCCCCCAAAATCACCCAAAGTCATTCTCAAATCACCCCCAATTCACCCAAAATCCATCCCAAAAACATCCCAAAATTCCCCCAAATCCAACCCCAGATTCACCCAAAATCACCTGAAATCCCTTCCCAAATAACCCCAAAATGCCCCCAAATCAATCCCAGAACCACCCTGAAATCAACCTAAAATTCACCAAAAATCCATCCCCAAATTCACCCAAAATCCATCCCCAAATTCACCCCCAAAGTCCATCCCCAATAATAGTAAAAATCGTCAAAATACCCAAAAAAAACCCCCAAAAGAGCGGGATAATCCCCCCAAAACCCCTGAAAATATTGGGAAAAGTCCCCCAAAATTCCCAGAAATATTGGGGAAATCCCCCAAAATTCCCCAAATCCCCAAAGCCCCAAAGCCCCAAAAGCCCCAAAGGCCCAAAGCCCCAAAGGCCCAAAGCCCCAAAGCCTCAAAGGCCCAAAGGCCCAATGCCCCAAAGCCCCAAAGGCCCAAAGCCCCAACGCCCCAAAGGCCCAAAGCCCCAATGCCCCAAAGCCCCAAAGCCCCAAAGCCCCAAAGGCCCAAAGCCCCAACGCCCCAAAGGCCCAACGCCCCAAAGGCCCAAAGCCCCAAAGGCCCAAAGCCCCAAAACCCCAAAGCCCCAAAGCCCCAACGCCCCAAAGGCCCAAAGGCCCAAAGGCCCAAAGCCCCAAAGGCCCAAAGCCCCAATGCCCCAAAGGCCCAAAGCCCCAAAGGCCCAAAGGCCCAAAGCCCCAAAGGCCCAAAGCCCCAACGCCCCAAAGGCCCAAAGCCCCAATGCCCCAAAGGCCCAAAGCCCCAAAGGCCCAAAGGCCCAAAGGCCCAAAGCCCCAAAGGCCCAAAGGCCCAAAGCGCCAAAGGCCCAAAGGCCCAAAGCCCCAAAGCCCCAAAGCCCCAAAGGCCCAAAGCCCCAAAGGCCCAAAGCCCCAAAGGACCAAAGGCCCAAAGCGCCAAAGGCCCAAATTCCCAAAAAGCCCCAAATCCCGCGGCGCGGCGCTGACCGGTCCCCGTAGAGCAGCGGGCGCGTCAGGCACTGCGTGCAGGCCTCATGGAACCACTGCCGGCAGCGGCTGCACTGCAGCATCTTCAGGTTCCAGCTGGGATTGGGAAAGATTTTGGGAATTCCAAGAATTTTGGGAGAATTTTGGTGGATTTTGGGAGGTTTGGGGGAGCCTTGGGAGCAGAGGAGGCATGGCTGGCAGCAGCTGCACTGCAGCATCTCCGCTGTCCAGCTGGGGAATTCTGGGAATTTCAGGAATTCGGGGTTTTTTTTGAGAATTCGGGGATTTTCTGGAATTTTTGGGAACATGACTCACTGCCTGGTGTCCCGGCAGTTTTGGGGCAGCACTGGAGCTTGTGCAGGTGGGAATTTGGGGCAGATTTTGGGGTTTTGGGGCTGTTTCTGAGCGGATTTTGACAGGGATTTTTGGGAATTCTGGGATTTTTTGGATTGCTGGGGCTGTGACTCACTGGCCAGGCTCACTGCAGTAGCAGGGGCAGTGCTGGAGATTGCGCAGGTGGGAATTTGGGGCAGATTTTGGGGCAGATTTTGGTGTTTCGGGGCCGGTTTTGGGTGCTTGTGGCTGGGGTTTTTGGGAATTCCGGGATTTCTGGGACGGCGCACTGTGACTCACTGGCCGGGCCCGCCGCAGTAGCAGTAGCAGTGCTGGAGGTTGTGCAGGTGCGCGGGGTCCCAGTCCAGGGCCCCGAGCGCGTATGGCAGCACCGACTTCATCCGCAGCATCGCCCGCGCCTGCGGGCCCCGCCGCAGCGCCCCGCCCCGCTGGGATGGGAAACACCGGGAATTGCACCGGGAATAACGGGAGTAACACCAGGAATTACACCGGGAATAACCGGGAATAACCGGGAATTCCATCCCAGAATCACCCACACCTGCGGGCCCCGCCGCAGCGCCCCGCCCCGCTGGGAGGGGAAACACCGGGAATTGCACCAGGAATAACGGGAATAACACAGGGAATTACACCAGGAATTACACCGGGAATAACCGGGAATAACCGGGAATTCCATCCCAGCATTGCTCACGCCTGCGGGCCCCGCCGCAGCGCCCCGCCCCGCTGGGATGGGAAACTCCGGGAATTGCACCGGGAATAATGGCAATAACACCAGGAATTACACCGGGAATAACCGGGAATTCCATCCCAGCATTGCTCACGCCTGCGGGCCCCGCCGCAGCGCCCCGCCCCGCTGGGAGGGGAAACACCGGGAATTGCACCGGGAATAACGGGAATAACATCGGGAATTACACCGGGAATAACCGGGAATTCCATCCCAGAATCACCCACACCTGCGGGCCCCGCCGTAGCGCCCCGCCCCGCTGGGATGCAAAACACTGGGAGTTACACTGGGAATAACAGGAATAACACCGGGAATTACACTGGGAATTGCACCGGGAATAATGGGAATAACGGGAATAACACCGGGAATTACACCGGGAATTACACCAGGAATTGCACCGGGAATAACGGGAATAACACCGGGAATTACAGCAGGAATTACACCGGGAATTGCACCGGGAATAATGGGAATAACACCGGGAATTACACCAGGAATTACACCGGGAATAACCGGGAATTCCATCCCAGCATCGCCCACGCCTGCGGGCCCCGCCGCAGCGCCCCGCCCCGCTGGGATTGGAAACACCGGGAATTGCACCGGGAATAACGGGAATAACGGGAATAACACCGGGAATTACACCGGGAATAACGGGAATTACACCGGGAATAACCAGGAATAGTCACCGGGAATGAACACCGGGAATTACACCTGGAATAACCGTGAATAAATACCAGAAATAACACCGGGAATAAACACTGGGAATAAACACTGGGAATAACTGAGAATTCCATCCCAGCATTGCCCACGCCTGCGGGCCCCGCCACAGCGTCCCGCCCCACTGGGATGGGAAACACCAGGAATTACACCGGGAATAATGGGAATTACACCAGGAATAACTGGGAATTACACCGGGAATAACCGGGAATAAACACTGGGAATAACCGGGAATTACACCGGGAATAATTGGGAATAAACACTGGGAATAACTGGGAATTCCATCCCAGCATTGCCTGAACCTGTGGGCCCTGCCAGAGCGCCCCACCCCACTGGGGAAACACCAGGAATAACCGGGAATAATCACTGGGAATGGATGGAGAAAACGGGAAATAACAGGAATTCACAGCGGGAATGGCCCCGCCGGAGAGCCCGCCCTGCTGAGAACAAACCAAGATAATCTGGGAATTACACCAGGAAAAACATGGGAATTCACACTGGGAAAACACAGGGAATGGATGGGGAAAATCCTGGGAAAAAACTTGGGCATTACAGAGGGAATCACTGCCAGGAGCGAATGGGGAAAAACCCAGGAATTACACCAGGACCTGCTCTGGGAATGAATGGCAAAACACCCAGAAACAACAGGAGAGCAATGGGAATTCCAGTGGGAATCAGCACGAAAACACTGGGAATTCCAGTGGGAATTCCAGTGGGAATCAGTGGGAAAAAACAGGGAATTTCACTGGGAATGGAGAGGGAAACACCAGGAAAACAGCCGGGAATTCCACTGGGAAAACACCAGGAATTACACCGGGAATTCATACTGGAAATGGATGGAGAAAACACCAGAGAAAAAACGGGAATTAGTGGGAATTCACGGCAGGAATTCCATCCCAGCATCGCCCGTGCCTGAGGGCCCTGCAGAGAGCCCAGCCTCGCTGGGATGGGAAAACACCAGGAAAAACTGGAAATTACACTGGGAAAACAGCAGGAATTACACTGGGAATTAATGGCAAAACCCGGGAATTACACTGGGAAAACACCAGGAATTAACGGGAATTCACACAAGGAATGGCCCCACCAGAGTACCCTGCCCCACTGGGATGAGAAAAACACCAGGAATTCCAGCAGGAAAAACCAGGAATTACACCGGGAATGTCTGGAAAAAACACAGTGAAAAACCTGGGAATTCCAGTGGGAATTACACCGAGAAAAACCGGGAATTCCAGCCGGAATTAACCCTGGGAATTCCACTCGCGGCATCGCCCTGCCCCACTGGGAAATCGGGAAAAGTCAGCATTAATGGAAAACCCAGGAATTCCACTGGGAATGAACGGGAAAAACCCAGGAATTATAGCGGGAATGAGAGCAGAAATTGCACTGGGAATTAATGGGAAAACGCCGGTAATTACACCGAGAATTAGCAGGAAAACCATGGAATTACCCTGGGAAAACAGCAGGAATGGATGGGAAAACACCGGGAATCACAGCAGGAATTAACAGGAAAACCCGGAAATTCCACTGGGAATGGAGAGGGAAACTCCAGGAATTCCAGCGGGAATTAAAAGGAATTAATGCCAGGAATTCCACTCGCGGCACCACCCTGACCTGCTGGGAAACACCGGGAAAACTGGGAATTCCAGTGGGAATTAACGGGGAAAACCCTGGGAAAGCACCGGGAATGACAGCAGGAATTAACGGGAAAAATCCAGGAATTCCAGAGGGGATTAATGGGAATTCCAGTGGGAATGAATGGGAATTCCAGCAGGGATTTTAATGGGAATTCCAGTGGGGATTGGGGGGTTGACAGGAATGACACCAAGAATGACACCGGAATGAATGGGAAAAACCCGGGAATTCCAGTGGGAATTCCAGCAGGAATTACTGGGAATGGCACCAGGAATGAACGGGAAAACAGTGGGAATTACAAAGGGAATTACAACGGGAATGAATGGGAAAACCCCAGGAATTCCAACAGGAATTCCAGTGGGAATCACCAGGAATGACACTGGGAATGAACAAATCAGGACTGGGACCCCAAAACTGGGAGTTTGGACCCCCAATACTGGGATTTCCACCCCAAAATTCGGGAGTTTGGATCCCAAAAATGGGATCAGGACAGCAAGAAAAGGGATTGAGACAGCAAAAAATTGGAATTCCATTCCAGAAATTGGAGCTTGGACCCCAGAAATTGGGATTGAAACCCCCAAAATCTGTAATTTGGATCCCAAAATTTGGAGTCCAAAAAGCGAGATTGGAACCCCCAAAATCAGGAATTTCGATAGCAAAATTTGGAGCTTGGATCCCAAAAGCTGGGATTGGAACCCAAAAAATTGGGAATTTCAAGCAAAAAATGGGAATTTTGGGCAGAAAAACTGGAATTTTAGGTCCTAAACCTGGGATCTGGGGGCAAATCCCAGGATCCAGAGCTCCCAACCCTGCAGGAGCCTCCCTGGGGTGGGATTTGGGGAATTCAGGGAATTTTTTGGGAATGTTTGGGGAATGTTTGGGAATTCGGGGCGCTCCGGGCTCACCTTGGTGGCCACGGCGAAGACGCAGCGGCGGCAGCTCCAGGGCGCGGCGCCGCCGGGGGCTGGGGGCACGTGGCAGCGCTGGTGGTACGCTGGGGAAAATGGCAGTTCCAGGAATCCCGGGAATTCTTTGGGAATTCGGGACCCTCCGCCCTTCTCCCAGCCCCACCCCCTCTTTTCCCCCTGTTATTCCTGGGTTTTTTGGTGTTTTATTGGCCCAAATCCACTTTTATACAATATTCCCCTCCCTCTTCTCATTTTTCCCCCCGTTCCTCCCAGTTTTTTTCCCCATTTCCCACTCCATTCCCACTTTTCCCAATTTCCCACCCAAATCCCAGGTTTCTTCTGATTTTTCCCACTTTTGAGGGGATTTTCCCACCTGTCTCCCATTTCCCCCCCCATTTTCCCATTGAAATTCCCATTTTCTCCCACCCATCACATCTTAATTCCCATTTCCCCCCCATTCCCATTTTTCCCAATCCCATTTTCCCACCCAAATCCCATTTTCCCCCCACTTTTACTATTTTCCCCCAATTTCCCCTTCTCACCCTTAATCCCATTTTCCCACCATTTTCCCAGCTAAATTCCCATTTTCCCCACTGTCCACCCCTTCATTCCCATTTTTCCCTCAATTTTTCCAATTTTCAGGGAACTTTCCCCCCTTCCCCCCTTTATTCCCATTTCCCCAGCCCATTCCCACTTTTCCCACATCCAAACCCCATTTCCCACCTAAATCCCACTTTTCCAACTTGAGGAGCTTTTCCTGCCCCTCTTCCCCTTTTCCCCCCCATTCCCATTTTTCCCATTTCCCCAATTTCCCAGCCCTCCCCTCTTTTCCCAGCTTTAACTGAAATTTTAGGCAGAATTCCGGAATTTTTTGAGCTGACTTTCCCACCCCTCCCCCCTCTTTCCCACTTCTCCCCCTTTTCCGTCCATTTTTTGGGATTTTCCCGCTTTTCCCCCATTTTTCCTCACCTTCCCCCACTTTCTCTCCATCTCCTGGAGGATTTTGAGGGAATTTTCATGGGAATTCCACAATTTTCAGGTGTTTCCCCTCCTTTTCCCCCTTTCCCCCCCTTTTTGTGGATTTTCCGACTTTTCCCCCATTTTCTCCTCCCAAATCCCCAATTTCCCCCATTTTCTCCCCCAGAGTTTGGGAATTTTTGCCAGAATCGTGCAAATTTCATGATTTACCCCCTCCCCATTTTCCCCATTTTTTATCCGTTTTCCCCTGGTTTCTTTTCCCATTTCCCCCGTTTTTTCCCATTTTTTTCACATTTCCTTTTTTTCCTCCCATTTTTCCTGGTTTTCCTCACTTTTTGCCCATTTTCCCCACTTTCTCCATGTTCTCCCGTTTGTCACGGCATTTCCCTGACCGTGGCCACACTTCCCGCACTGGACCAGGGAATTTTCGGGATTTTTTCCCCCGTTTTTTTTTGTTTTTTTTTTCTTTTGGTTTGGTTGTTGTAGTTGTTTTTGTTTTGTTATCTCTTTTTTCTTCCCCCAGTTTTTCCCGTTTTTCTCCCAGATTTTCCCGTTTGCCCCGGTTTTTTGCCCCGGTTTTTTTCCCGCGTTTTTCTCCCAGATTTTCCCGTTTGCCCCGGTTTTTTTCCCCCGTTTTTCTCCCAGATTTTCCCGTTTGCCCCGGGTTTTTTTCCCCGGGTTTTTCCCCCCGTTTTTCTCCCAGATTTTCCCGTTTGCCCCGGGGTTTTTTCCCCGGGTTTTTCCCCCCGTTTTTCTCCCAGGTGTTCCCGCTCGCCCCGGGGTTTCCCTGACCGTGGCCGCACTTCCCGCACCGGACCAGGGAATTTTCGGCGTTTCGGGAATTCCCGGCGCAGACGCAGCACGAGGGGTCGTCCCCGGGCTCGGCCGCTGGGGGGCGCCAGGAAGCCATTAAAGCGTTAATTAACGGTTCATTAACCGCCCATCACTCATCAACTCTTCGCTCCTTAGTCCCTAATTAAGGGGTTAATCGGGAATTCCGGCTCACCGGGGCTGATGTCTTTCCAGAGAACGAAAAATTGGGAATTGTCCTCGAATTGGATCAAACAGCCCCGGCGGGGAGCGTCCACCTGCGGGGAGCCGGGATTTGGGGGATTTGGGGGGATTTGGGGGATTTGGGGGGATTTGGGGGATTTTGGGGGGGTTGAGGGGGTTTGGAGGGAATTCGGGGAGTTTTGATGGACTTGGGGTGTTTCTAGGGGCTGGGTTTGGCTGGTTTGGGCCGATTCTGGGGCAACGTTTGGGATGGTTTGGGGAGTTTTGGGCTGGTTTGGGATGTTCTGGGGCGTTTTGGGGGTATTTTGGAGGTGTTTTTGGGGAGTTTTGGGGTGTTCTAGGGGTGGTTTTGGGCTGGTTAGGGGTGTTTTAGGGGGTGTTTTTAGGTGGTTTTGGGGTGTTGTAGGGGTGTTTTTGGGCTGGTTAGGGGTGTTAGGGATGTTTTGGGGGGAGTTTAGGGGTGATTTTGGGGAGTTTTGGGGTTCGTTTGGGGAGTTTCAGGGGTGTTTTGGGTGGTTTGGGGTGTTTCTGGAGTGTTTTTGGGGGAATTTGGGCTGGTTTGGGGGATTTCAGGGGTGTTCTTGGGGGGTTTGGGGTTGGTTTGGGGAGTTTGAGGGGTGTTTTGGGTGTTTTAGCGGGTATTCTGGGGGGTGTTTTAGGAGTGGCTGAGGGATGTTTCAGGGGTGGTCCTGGGCCATTTGGGCTGGTTTGGGATTGGTTTAGGGCTGATTTTTGGCTGTTTTGGGGCTATTTTTGGGCTGTTCTAGGGTAACTTTGGGGCTGTTTTGGGACTGGCTTTGCACCCACTTCGGGCTGATTTTTGAGCTGTTTTGGGGTTGGGTTTGCTCTGATTTTTGGGATGGTTTCAGGCTGGGTTTTCTTGGTGTTTTTGTGGATGGATTTGGTCTCATTTTCAGCTACTTTGGGGCTGGTTTTGTGCTTTATTTAGGCTGATTTTTGGGGCTGGTTTTGGGCTATTTTAGGGCTCTTTAAAGCCTGTTTTGGGGCTGGTTCTGGTTTTGGGCTATTTTCGGGCCCTAAGATCTATTTTTGGGGCTGGTTTGGGAGTGGGTTTGAGGCTGTTTCAGGCCTGTTTTGGGGCTATTTTTGGGCTGGGTTTAATCTCATTTTGGAACAGGGCTTGGTCTTGTTTTGGGGCTGGGTTTGGTCTGATTTTGCAGCAGAGTTTGGGCGGTTTCTGGGCTGGGTTTAGGTGTTTGGGGGCTGGTTTGGGCTGGTTTAGGGGTGCTTTAGGGTTGGTTTCGGTCTGGGTTTTGGGCTGGTTTTTGGGCGTTTTTTTGGGCTAGTTTAGGGCTATTTCGAGGGGTGTTTTCTGGCTGGTTTGGGGCTGGTTTGGGGATGTTTCAGCGCTGGTTCAGGGCTGGTTTAGGGCTAGTTTAAGGCTGGATTTTGGGGTGTTTTGGGCCAGTTTTGGGCTGTTTTAGAGCTATTTTTGGGGTGTTTTGGGGCTGTTCTGGGGCCAGTTTTGGGGCTGTTTCAGGGCCATTTTTGGGGTGCTTTGGGGCTGTTTGGAGTCCCACCTTCTTGACTATGCCCAGGTAGAGCAGCCCGTCCGTCCAGCGCGCCAGCACGTCCTGCCCCTCCCCGATCTGGGGGGGCTTTGGGGGATTCTGGGGGGGCAACCCCCCCCCGGAGGCCTCCATCACACCCGGGGGGCTGCGGGGCCAAAACAGCGCTGACACCCCAAAAATGGGTTTTGGGGGGCCTGGGAAAGGAGGGGCTTGTTGGGCCTGGTTTGGGGGAGGGGTCCCAGTTTGGGGAGGGGTCCCAATTTGGGGAAGGTCCCAGATTGAAGATTTCCAGTTTGAGGGAGGACCCAGTTTGGGGAAAGGTCCCAATTTGGTGGGCCCCAGTTTGGGGGAGTCCCTTTTTGGGGGGGGTTCCAGCTTGGGGGAGTTCCCTTTTTGGGGGCTCCTTTGTTTGGGGGAGTCCCTGTCTAGGGGGGCTTGCTTTTCGAGGGGTCCCACTGGGGGTCGTGTCCCGTTTGAGGGGCGTGTCCAGCTTTGGGGGGTCCCGTTTTAGGGGGGCTGTCCCATTTCTGGGGGCCTTGTCCATTTGAGGGGTCCCGTTTTGGGGTGTCCCGCGGTGAGGGTGGGGGGCCGGCTCCCATTTAAGGGGTGTCCATTTTTGGGGGGCGGGGTCCCGCAGGGGGGGTGTGTCCCTATTTTTTGGGGTGTCCCTTTCCCTTGGGGGGTGTCCCTGTTTCTGGGGTGTCCCGCGCGGGGGGTCTCACGCCGGCAGCGGGGGGGTCCCGAGGGTCTCCTGCCCGTCCCGGGGGGGGTCGCGGCCCCCCCAGCCCCGACCCCGAGCGGCCGCTGCGGGCGGCGGCGGCGGCGGCGGCAGGGCCGTGACGCAGCAGCGGCGGCGCGGGGGGGGCCGGGGGGGGCGGCCGAGGGACGGCGGCACCGGGGACCCCCCCCCGGGGACCCCCCCGGGCCCCCCGCAGCGGCGCCGGGGGCTGGGCGGGGGCGGGGCCGGCGCGGAGACCCCAAAAACGCCCCCAAAATCCGCCCCCCCCCCCCCCCCTCCGCTGCGGCCGGGGCCGCCCCGCCGGCCTCAGGCCACGCCCACAACAAGATGACCACGCCCATGGCTGGATGGCCACGCCCACTATATAGTCACGCCCATAATATGGCCACGCCCTTTTCCGCGCCCGCAGCGGCTGCCGCAGGGGCGGGGCCACGCCCACAGCTGACAGACCACGCCCACAACGCGATTGCGCACGCGCACAGCCACGCCCACGTAACGCTTAGGGCCGCGCGGCCGCGGAGGTCACGCCCACCACGTTGAAACCACGCCCACACAGACAGGCCACGCCTCCTCCGCCCCGCCCCGCGGCCCGCGGGAATTTGGGGGGAAATTTCGGGGATTTGGGGAGCCTGAGGGGAATTTGGGAGGGTCCGGGGGATCCTGTGGGGTCTGGGCGGATTTGGGCGGATTTGGGGGTTACAGTGGGGGTCTGGGGGCATTTGGGTGTCTGGGTGGTCTGGGGGGATTTGGGGGGCTGAGGGTGTCACAGGATTCTGGGGTGGATTTGGGGACTTTGGGGGGTTTTGGGGCGATTTAGGGCGGGCGTTGGGGTGGGTTTGAGGAGGATTGGTGTTGTCTGGGAAGGTTGTGGGAGGTTTGGGTGATTTGGGAATTTGGGGATCGTTTGGGAGGATTTAGGGAGGTTTGGGGCACATTTGGGGCTATTTTGGGTGGATTTAGGGAGGTTTGGGTGGATTTAGTGAGGTTTGGGTGAATTGTTTTGAGTGGACGTTTTGCATAGATTTAGGGAGGTTTGGGCAGATTTGGGGATGTCTTGGGTAGATTTAGGGAGGTTTGGGTGAATTTAGGAATATTTTGGGCGGATTTGGGGCCGTTCTGGCGCTGTGGGCGGAGCTTGGCCTCAGACCACGCCCCTCACCAGCGGCTCTGCACCACGTGGCCACGCCCAGCACGCAAGCCACGCCCATTTCTTTCTCAGCCAATCTCCGCCTTTTCCCACCACGCAGGTCCCGCCTTCCTCTCAGGCCCCGCGCCTCCGCAGCCTTGGCCGGCACCCTGACCCCGCCCCACGCTCCCATTGGCTCTCCCTGCGCCCGTACCGCGCTCCCATTGGCCGAGCCTCGCGGGGGCGGGACCACCCCTCCCAACTCGCTCCGCCATTGGCCGCGGCGCGGGGCCAAGTGGGCGCGCGGCGGTTTCAAGAGCGCGGGAGAAGATGGCGTCCCGTCCTGAGGCCCGTCCCGCTGAGCTCCCGGGGCCGAGCTCGAGGGTCTCGCGGCTGCCGGTGACCCGGGCCCAGCAGAAGCGGGCCCTGTCCGCGGGCCCGCCCGCGGGGCCGCCCCAGCAGGTGCGGAGCCCTCCCCGGGCGGGTTCTCGCCGCCTCGGCCCGGCGCCGGGGCCGCCTGACGCCGTTTGTCCCCTGACAGAAACGATCGCGGACCGGGCTCGGGCCCGGAGGCGCCCGGGCCGCGCCCAAGGCCCCGCTCCGCATTGGGAGCCCGGGCCCCGCGGCGGCATTGGGGCGGTTTCGGCGGGTTCGGGGGCACTTAATGGGGATTTGGGGGCAGCTAAAGGGGATTTAATGGGGATTTAAGGGGGATTTGGCAGATTTGGGGGCAGTGAAAGGGCTTTTCAGGGATTTACAGGTGGTTGCAGGGAATTGGGGGCAGTTAAAGGGCTTTTGGGGCATTTAAAGGGGATCTAGTGGCGTTTGGGGGAGTGAAAGTGGAATTGGGGGATTTTAAGGGCTCTTGAGGCATTTGGGGGTGTTTAAAGGGGATTTGGGGGCCTCTGGGCTTTGGGGACGTTTGGGGGCTTTTAAAGGAGGTTTTGAGGCTCAGTGTGACCTGGGGGATTTCCAGGGGTTCAAACCTCCCCCAGTGTCCCTGTGTCCCCTCCAATGTCCCTGTGCCCCCAGATGGCCCCCGGAAGGCAGCATCAGTGCCAGCTGCTCAAGTCGGTGAGACCTGAGACCCCCCCGGTGTCCCCAGGACCCCTCCCCAGTGTCCCCAAGACTCCCCTGTCCCCAGTGTCCCCAAGTCCATCTCCGGTGCCCCAGGATCCCCTCCTGATGTCCCCAAGCCCCTTCTGATGTCCCCAAAGCTTTCTCAATGTCCCCAAGCCCCTCTTGATGTCTCCAAGGCCCAGCACCCCACAGCCCCAAGGCTCCCCCGAATGTCCTTAGTCCCTTCCCGATGTCCCCAGAGCTCCCCCATGTCATGTCCCCATGTTGTCCCCCCCGTGTCCCCAACCCCCCCAGTTGTGTGAGAAATGCACCAAAATCCTGGAAAATTGCACCAAAATCCCTCCTAACTGCCCCAAAGTCCACCAAAAGCTGACCAAAATCATCCAAACTGCCCCAAAATCCAGAAAAACTGCCCCAAATCCCTTAAAGTCCTCTGGAGGGAGTGGGCATGCTGAGAAAAAAACCCACAAAATCTGTTTAAAGTCCCACTAAAGATCCCTTCTGATCTTCCCTAAAACCTTCCTAAAAAATTCCCAATTCCCCCCAAATTCACCCCAAATCCTCAAAATGTGTTTTCCTAGGCCATCTCAAGATCCTGTTAAAATTTATGTAAAAGTCTTCAAAAGATCCTGGGATTCCCCCAAAGTCTCCCACACTATGCCACATTCCCCCAGATTTGCCTTTGAAATTCAAGATCTCCAAAATTCCCTCAGAACCTTTCTGAAAATCCCTGCAATTTCCCCTTAGACTCACAAACCCCTCAAGATCCCCAAAATTCCCTCAGAATCCTTCTGAAACTCATTGAAATTTCCCTGAATAGCCCCAAAATTCCCTCAACCATTTTGAATATACCTGAAATTTCCCTAAATCCCCTCAAAACCCCTCAAGATCCCCAAAATTCCTTCAGAACCCTTCAAAAAAATCCCTGAAATGTCCCTGAATTGCTCTGAACTCCGTCCAGATCCCAAAAATTCCCTCAGAACCCTTCCAAAAATCCCTGAACTTACCCTACATCCCCTCAAGATCTCCAAAGCTCCCTCAGAACCCTCCCGAGTGTTCCGCAAATTGCCCGGATTACCCCTAAAGCCCTGAAGGAACTCAGCAAAGCCCCGGAGCTCCCCTCAGAGCCGGGGCTCCCCAGTCCTAGGGGATCGCCCCGTTCCTTTGGGCAGCTCCCTGGAGGTGGAGGTGGCGCAGGTCCGGGAGAAGCTGGAGCAGAGCCAGAACAAGGTGAAGGCTCTGGAGGCGGAGGAGCAGCGGCTGAAGGCGGAGGAGCAGCGGCTGAAGGCGGAGGAGGAGCAGCGGCGGCAGGAGCGCGATGAGGCCTGGGGCAGGGCACAGGCTCTGCTGCAGCAGCTGGAGAATGCTGAGGTGGGGCCCGGAATTCCTGAGAAATCCCTGGAAAACGGGAATTTGGAGCCCTTTTGTTGCTCTATGATCTGAGATCTGTTTTGGGGGGGGGTTGTAAATGGTGGGAAGCCGTGAGGGGGAAATGGGGCACCAGCAAGGGTGGGAAAATGGGGGTTGGCACCAATTTGGACTTTTTTGGCACCCAAGCGCTCTGAAAGTGCCTTGAAATATGGGGAAAATGGGAATTTTCACCAATTTAGCTGATTCTGCCCCCCCAAAATTCCCCAAGGGTTCCTGAAAATGTGCAAAAACCTGGGGTTTTGGAGCTGTTTGTTCCTCTCTGACCTAAAATCTGCCAGGGGGCACCAAGAAAATGCAGGAAATGTGAGGTTTGTGCCAATTCTTGCATTCTTGGTGTCAAAATCCCTCAGGAGGAACCTCAAAACTTGGGAAAGATTGGAATTTTCACTACATCAGGTGCTTGTACTGCCAAAATCCCTCAGGGGATTCTTCAAAATCCACAAAAAACCAGGACTTTGGAGATGTTTTGTTGCTCCAGAGGCCCCAGAAAACAGCAGGAACTTGAGGGTTTGCAGCAATTCTGGTTTTTGGTATCAAAAATTCTTCAGAGAATCCCTCACAATGTGGGAAAAATGAGAATTTTCACCAATTCAGCTGCTTTTGCAGCCAAAATCCCTCAGGGTGCTTCAAAATTCATGAAAAAATGGGATTTTAGAGCTATTCAGTTGCTCTGCAAGCTGAAGCCCAGCAGGAGTGCCAGAAAAAGGTTGAAAACTGAGGGGTTTGTGCCAATTCCGGAGTTTTTGGTGCCAAAATTCCTCAGGGAGTGCCTCAAATTGCGGGGAAAATAGTGAGAAATGGGAATTTTTACCAATTCAACTGATTTTGCACCCAAACTCCCTCAGGATATTCAAAATGTGGAACAAAACATGGCAATTTAAATAATTTTTCCTGTGTTTCAACTCAAAAATCCGCTACGGGGGCGCAAAAAGAAAGGTAGGGAAATGAGGGCTTTGCATCAATTCCAGTGAAATCCCTCAGAAAACACCTCAAAAGATGGGGATTTGCATCAGTTTTGCTCATTTTAACCTCAAATCCCTGGGGGAATGTCAGAAAATCTGCAAAATATGAGGAGAAATGGGTTTTTTTGCCGGTTTCTCTACCGAGCACAGCAGACCCCTCAGAAGCGAGGGGAAGATGGGGTTTTTAGGGTTTTGCTTTCCCGCCGGCAGGAGCAGTTGCAGGAGCTGCAGGCGCTGCGGGAGCTGGAGGCATCGCAGCGGAGCCTGCTGGCCCAGCGCGAGGAGCACATCCACCTGCTGGAGATGGAGCGGCGCCGCCTGCACAACGACATCCAGGAGCTCAGGGTGGGCATGGCCGCCCGCTCTGCGGGACAGCGCCTGAGCGGGAGGCTGGAGGGGCGAGTCCGGGCTGGCGGGTTCTGCAGGGAAATATCCCTGTGCGCTGGGAGAGGGGAGACACCAGCTCCTGAGGGGGGCGAGCCAGAGACCAGGCCCAGTGACTGAATCCCGAGTTTTGGGGTTTTCCAGGGCGACGTCTGCATGTTCCATGTCTGAATCCTGATTTTTTTTGGTTTTCCCAGGGAAACACCCATGAGTTCCATGCCTCAATCCCATGTTTTGGTTTTCCCAGGGGAGCACCCATGAGTTCCGTATCTCAATCCCATTTTTTTGGTTTTTCCAGGGGAACAACCATGAATTCATTGCTTGAATCCCAAAATTTTTTTGTTTTCCCAGGGGAGCACCCTTGAGTTCCGTGCCTCAGTCCCATTTTTTTGTTTTCCCAAGGGAACGCCTATGAGTTCCATGCCACAATCCCATGTTTTTGCTTTCCCAGGGGAACATCCGTGTGTTCTGCCGTGTGCGGCCGCTGCTGCCCGAGGAGCGGGAGCGCCAGCGGGGCATGCCCCACCTGCACTTCCCCTCTCAGGACACCCGCAGCCTCGTGCTCACCCGGCCCGACGATGTGAGTGCTCAGAGTCCTCACTTCCCTCCTCAAAGTCCGCCCTCAGAACTGGCCCTTGTCGCAAAAAGATCTCCAAGTTCCCGAGAATTCCATTTTTCCCCTGTCAGAAATGGCCTTTTTGCCCTCAAAAATGCCTGATTTCCCAACAATTTCTGCTTTTCCCTCTCAAAAATGGCCTTTCTTTTGTTCAAAAATGGCCTTTTTCCTTCAAAAATCCCTCATTCCCCAAAAATGCCTTTATTCCCCTCTCAAAAAAGGCCTTTTTCCCAATAAATCCTTTTTCCCCCCTTAAAAACTGCCTTAATTCCCTCAAAAATGGCATTTTCCCCTCAAAAATACCTATTCCCAAAAAAAGTCCTTTTTTCTTCTTAGGAAAGTATGGGTTTTTTTCAAAAATGTCTATTTTTTCCCTCAGAAATGGTTTATTCTCCATTAGAAATGTCTTTTCCCCTTAAAAAATTGACCTTTTCTTCCTCTGAATGAAGTTCTTCTTTTTCTCCCCAAGATATGCTTTTTACTCCTCAAAAATGTCCTTTTCAGCCCCAAAAATGTCATTTTTTCCCCAAAAAAATGTCCTTTTTCTCACAAAAATGTCTTTTTTTACTGAAAAAAATATTCTTTTTACCCCTCAAATGTCCTTTTTTCTCAAAAATCCCTTATTACCCAAAAAGTCTTTATTTCCTACAAAATGTCATTAATTTCCCCTCAGAAATGCACTTTTTTCTTCAAAAATCTCTTATTTTCTATGAAGTATTTTTCCCTCTGAAAATATTCTTTATTCTCAAAATGTCTTTTTGTGCCTCAAAGACACCCTCAAAAGGCCTTTATTTCCTAAAAACGGCCTTTTTCGCCTCACAAGTGTCTGCTTCTCCCAAAACCGTTCATTTCCCCTCAAAACTGTTATTTTCCTGTCAAAAATACCTTGTTTTCCCTCAAAAATACCCTTTTTTCCCTTCTAAAATACCCTTTCCCCCCAAAAAATATCCTTTTCCTCCCACAAAACACCATTTTTTTCTTGAAAATACCCCTGAAAAACCTCTATTTTCAAAAATGTCTTTATTTCCGCTCGAAAATGTCCTTTTTTCTCTCTCAAACATGCTCGTTTCCCCACAGATCCCCATGTTACAGAAGAGGCCTTTTTTCCCCTCAGAGCTGCGGCTCTCTGGTGGGTGCTGGATTTGCTGGTGGGGCAGACAGGCCCCGGCCGGGCTCGTTCTCCGGCCGCGCTGCCGAGCCCGTCCCGGCTCCGCTGGGCGGTTTTGTCTCAGCCCGGCCTGTCCCGGCCGATCCTCGGGGCTGTGCCTGTGCTCCTTGTCTCCTTCCCAGCCCGGAACCGGGGGCAGCTCCCCGGCCTGGGACAGAGCTGCGTCCCAAGCCCTGGTTCAGACACAGCCTGCTTTGGGCTCTTGGACAGAGGCTTTTTGGAGCAGGTATTCCACAGAATCGTGGCCTTGTTCCAACAACATTCCCCAACATTTTCCCTCCAAAAGGCTGGGTTTTTTTCCTTCTAAAAAGGTCTTTTTCTTCCCCCAAATCTCTTCCCCCCCCCCCCCAAATCCTATTTTTTCCCCAAATCTCCCTTTTTCTCAAATAAACCCCAAGAAAACCCCTTTCCAAACCAAAATCCCCCTTCTTTGCCCTTTCTCACAATAGTTTTGCTATTAAAATGCTTTTTCCTCCAAAAATTGATATTTTTCTCCCAAACCTGACCTTTTCTCCCTAAAAAATGAGACTTTTTTTTTGCCTGAAAAATCAGTGATTTTCCCCCAAAATGGGCTTTTAACCCTCATAAAAATAATCTTTTTCCTAAAAAAAAGCCTTTTCCTCCCCAAAACTCCTTTTTCTCCTCCCAAACCCCATTTTTTTGCCCCCAATCTCATTTTCCCCTCTCTGAATTCCCGTTTTTCCCCAAATCCTGTTTTTCTGCCCCGCAGTCGCAGCTGGGCCGGGAGCGGCGCGCAGAGCTGCGCTACGACTTCAGCTTCGACCGCGTCTTCCCGCCTGCGGCTTCTCAGGAGGAGATCTTCCAGGAGATCCAGCTCCTGGTCCAGGTGTGCGTCCCAAACCCCCCTGGATCCCAGATATCCCACCTGGTTCCCAAAAACCCCAATTATCCCTCCTGGAATTCCCCAAAATCCGGCTCCATTCCCCACAAAATCCAACCAACCCCAAATCCCAGCAGGAGATCTTCCAGGAGATCCAACTCCTGTTCCAGGTGTGCGTCCCAAAACCCCCCCCTTGGATCCTAAAAATCCCACCTGGATCCTGAATATCTCACCTGGATCCCAAATATCCCACCTGGATCCCAGTAATCCCAGGTGTCCCACCTGGATCCCAAAATCTTCTCCCAGAACTCCCAAATTCCCTCAAATGTTACCCCGATTTCCCCTCAGAGTTCCCAAATTCCTCCCAAAACACCAAAATTCCCCCCTAAATTCCCTTGGAATTCCCAAATCCCCCCAGAATTCCAGAATTCCCTCTCAAATTCCCTTGGAATTCCCAAATTCCTCTCAATTTCCCCCTCAGACCCTCAAATCTCACTTAAATTCCCCCTCAGAATTCCCAAATTTCCCCTCAGAGTTCCCAAATTTCGCCCAAATCCTCCCCAGTCCTCCTTGAACCCAAAAATCCCTTCTAAAACACCAAAAGTCCACCGAAATCCCCTAGAATTCCCAAATTCCTTCCAGATCCCTCCCAGAATTCCATAATCCCACTCTGAATTCCCTTGGAATTCCCGAATCCCCCAAATCCCCCCCTAAATCCCTCCCAAAACACCAAAAATTTCCCCTATATCTTCTCAGAATTCTGAAATTCCTCCCAAATCCTCTCAGAATTCCCAAATTCCTCCCAAATCCCTCCCAGAATTCCATCATCCCTCTCTAAATTCCCTTGGAACCCCCAAATCCCCCCCAGTCCTGATCCCAGTTCCCCTCCCGTAACCCCAAATCCCCCTGATCATTCCCAAATTCCCCTGGGAATCCCAAATCTGAGAATCCCAAATCCCCCTGACCATTCCCAAATCCCTCTGGGAATCCCAAATTCCCAAATCTGCCCAAACATTCCCAAACCCCTCTGACCATTCCTAAATCCCCCATATCCCCTGACCATGCCCAAACCCCCTGACCATTCCCAAACCCCTGTGCCCATTCCCAAACCCCTGAGAATTCCCAAAATTCCTTCGCCAGTCGGCCCTGGACGGGTCAGTGCTCCCTGTGCCCATTCCCACACCCCGTGCCCATTCCCAAATCCCTGTGCCCATTCCCAGATCCCTGTGCCCATTCTCAAACCCCTGTGCCCATCCCAAACCCCTGAGGATTCCCAAAATTCCCGTTCCCAGTTGGCCCTGGACGGGTACCCGGTGTGCATCTTCGCCTACGGGCAGACGGGCAGCGGCTCCGAGCGCGGCTCCGAGCTGGAATCCGGCGCCTGGCACCCAACCACAACGAGCTGCACATCCCCAACCCCACCTGGGTGCCCGTGGAGAGCGAGGAGCAGGTGGGCACCTGGGGTTTGGGAATTCTGGGGAAAATTTGGGGGTTTTAGGAGGAATTCTGGGGATTTTAGGTATAAATTTGGGGACTCTATGGGGAAATTTGGGGACTTCAGGGGGAAATTCAGGCATTTCAGGTGGAAATTTGGGAGTTCGGGAGGGTTTTGCAGTGATTTTATATGGAAATTTGGGGGTTTCAGAAAGGTTGTAGGTGGAAATTTGGGGATTCTGAGTGGAGAATGTGGAGCTGCAGATGCCCAGCCTCACCTGGGTGCCCGTGGAGAGCGAGGAGCAGGGGAGCACCTGGGATTTGGGGAAATTTGGGGATTTTTAGGTGGAAATTCTCCTGTTTTCCCCACATTATTCCCTCATTATATCCCAATTTCCCTGCATTATTTCTCATTATATTTCCCCATTTTTCCCCATTATCTCCCCATTTGCCCCCATTTCCCCCCATTTTCTCCCTATTATTTCCCCATTATTCCCATTTTCCCCTCATTATTCCCCCATTATTTCCCCCATTTTCTCTCGTTGTATTTCCCCATTTTCCCCCCATTTCCCCCTATTGTTTCCCCCATTTATCCCCATTATTTCCCCCCATTATTTCTCATTCTATTTCCCCATTTTCCCCCCATTATCTCCCTATTTTTCCCCTATTATTCCCCCATTATTTCCCCATTTCCCCCCATTTTCCCCCCCATTTTCCTCCGTTTCCCCGCAGCCTCTCTGACCCTGGTGGACCTGGCGGGCTCAGAGCGCCTGGAGAAGTCGGGATCCGTGGGGAGCCGGCTTCGGGAGACACAAAGCATTAACTCCAGCCTGAGCGCCCTGGGGCTGGTCATCAGCGCCCTCTGCAACAAGGTTTGGGGTGAAAAAAACCGAATTTGGGGTTTATGGGGTTATTTATGGGGTCATGGTGGGGTTTGTGTGGGATTTATGGGGATTGTGATTGGGGAAATGGGAACTGAGAATGGGAAATGCAGAATCCACCCGCTCCAGCCCTGGGGCTGGGCACCAGCGCCCTCTGCAACAAGGTTTGGGGTGAAAAAAGGGAAATTTGGGATTTATGGGGACACTTATGGGGTCATTGTGGGGTTTAGGGGATTATTTATGGGAGTTGGGGGATTTCTGGGATTTGGGAATGGGGAAATGGGAGAATCCATCAGCTCCAGCCTCTGCATCCTCTGCAACGAGGTTTGGTGGCGACAAAACCCGATTTGGGGGTTTATGGGATTTGGGGGATTATTTATGGGATTTGTGGGGTTTGGGGCGAAAAAAGAGATTTGGGAATGGAGAAACGGGACTTGGAGTGGGGGAAATGGGATGGGAGGTGGGAAAATGGGATGAAAAAAGGGAAAATGGGGAATGGGAAAAACAGGATGGAAAATGGGAATTGGGGTGGGAAAAAGGGATCAAAAATGGGAAAATGAGGACTGGGATAGGTAAAATGGGATAAAAATGGGAAAATGGGATAAAAATGGGAATTGGGGTGGGAAAATGGAGGAGGAGATGGAAAAGTGGGGTGGGAATGGGAAAATGGGATTGGGGAACCCAAACTTTGGGATTTGGGGGTGGATCCAGGGTTTGGGATCTCCCTGGAATTCCCAAAATTCCCGAAATTCCGCAGGAGCTGCACATTCCATACAGAAACAGCAAGCTGACCTTCTTGCTGCAGAACTGCCTGGGGGGGCACGCCAAAAACCCCATAAAACCTAGCCCAAAACCCCATAAAACCCAGCCCAAAATCCTACCCCAAACCCATCCCAAAATTGCCATGAATCCCATAAGATCCTATCCCAAAAACCCTACAAATCCCATCAATACCCATCCCAAAAATCCCAAAATCCCATAAAAATCCACCCCAATCGCAAATCTCAAACCCACCCCAAACCCATCCATGGGGTTATTTTTGGGTTATTTTTGGGGTGTTCTTATGTTATTTTTGGGGTGTTTCTGGGGTGTTTTGGGCTGTTTCTGGGGTGGTTTTGGGTTATTTTGGGGGTGTCTTTGGGTTATTTTTGGGGTGTTTTTGGGCTATTTTGGGATGTTTCTGGGTTGTTTTTTGGTTATTTTGGGTTTTGGGTTATTTTGGGGTGTTTTGGGGTGTTTCTGGGGTGTTTTGGGGCTATTTTGGGATGTTTCTGGGTTGTTTTTTGTTATTTTGGGTTTTGGGTTATTTTGGGGTGTTTCTGGGTTGTTTTTTGAGTTATTTTGGGGTGTATTTGGGGTGTTTTGGGGTGTTTCTTGATGTAAATCAGCCGGCCAGGAGAGCCTGTGCTCCTCTCTTGCCAAGGCCTTTGCTGACAGCACAGCCTGGGCTGTTTTGGGGCTGGGGTCGCTCCCAGGGGCTCAGGGCCCCAGCGGGCGCGGCCCAGCCTGGCAGCGAGGGGGTGGCTCCGCTCCGGCTCCGGGAGTGCCGAGGGGACACTGGGGGGGACACAGCGGGGACAGCTGGGACACTGCAGGGACAGCTGGGACACTGCGGGGACACTGCAGGGACACTGCAGGGACAGCTGGGACACTGCGGGGACACTGAGGGACACTGCGGGGACACTGTGGGGACACTGCAGGGACACTGAGGGACACTGCGGGGACACTGAGGGACACCTGGGACACTGCAGGGACAGCAGGGACACTGCGGGGACACTGCAGGGACAGCTGGGACACTGCAGGGACACTGCAGGGACACTGCAGGGACACTGAGGGACACCTGGGACACTGCAGGGACAGCAGGGACACTGCGGGGACACTGCAGGGACAGCTGGGACACTGTGGGGACACTGCGGGGACACTGCGGGGACACTGCAGGGACAGCTGGGACACTGCAGGGACACTGCAGGGACACTGCAGGGACACTGTGGGGACACTGCAGGGACAGCTGGGACACTGTGGGGACACTGCAGGGACACTGCAGGGACACTGAGGGACACTGCAGGGACACTGCGGGGACACTGCAGGGACAGCTGGGACACTGCGGGGACACTGTGGGGACAGATGGGACACTGCAGGGACACTTTGGAGGCTTTGTGGGAGGACTGGGAACACTTTGGGGACACCTGGGCACACCTTGGGGACACTTTGTCAGGACTGGGGACACTCTGGGGATAGTCTGGGGGCAGTCGGGGGGGGGTGGGGACACCTTGGGGACACTTTGGAGGCATTGAGGGAGGACTGGGGACACTTTTGGGGGATTTTGGGGACACACTGGGGACATTGCAGGTGGTGGAGACACTTTGGGGACACTTTGGAGGTGTTCAAAGAGAATCTGGGACACCTGGGGACACCTCAGAAGGGTTGGGGACACCTTGAGGACACTTTGGGGGAGTTGGGGACATTCTCGGGACATTGGGGACAGTTTGGGGACATTGGGGGGACACTGGGGACACTTTGGGCCTGTTGGGGACATTGGGAATGGTTTGGGGGGTTGGGGACACTTTGGGGACGCTTTGGGGGGTTGGGACATTCCTGGAACCCCTTGGGGACACTTTGGGACACCTTAGGAGAGGTTGGGGACACTGTGAGGACAGTGTGGTGGCTGTACCCGCCGTCCCTGTCCCAGTGTCCCCTCTGTCCCCAGTGCTGGTGGCCTCGGGGCGGCTCCGATGGCAGTGGGAGCCAGAGGGGACAGCAGGGGACAGCGGGTGAGTGACACCGGGAGGTGGCACTGGGGACATCAGGGTGACCCAGGGGACACCGGGGACACCAGGGGTGCCCTGGGATCATTGGGGCCCTGGGGACGTTGGGGGGTGGCTCTGGGGACAGCGGGTGAGTGACACTGGGGGCACTGGGGGTGGCACAGGTGACATCAGGGTGGCACTGGGGACACTGGGGGTCTGGCATTGTGGACACTGGGGACAGTGGTGAGTGCCACCAGGGTGGCCCTGGGAACACTGGGGTGGCACAGGTGACATCAGGGGTGGCCCTGGGGACAGCGCTGACCCGGCGGTCACACAGCGGCTCTGTCCCCTCCCTGTCCCTTCTGTGTCCCTTCTGTGTCCCCTCTGTCCCCAGCGCGGTGGCCCCGCGGGTGACATCGGAGCAAGTGACAGGGTGGCAACGAGGAGACACCGGGGGTGGCTCTGTCCCCAGGCTGTCACCCTCGTGTCCCCCCCAGGCCACCAAGGGCGGGGACAGGACCCGGCCATGCCCAGACACAGGTGGGTGTGTCCCCAATTGTGTCCCCAAATGTTCCCCCAATGTCCCCAAATGTGTCCCCAAAGTGTCCCTAAACCTGTCCCAAATGTCCCCACTGTCCTCTCAGTGTCACTGAATGTCCCCACATATTTCCCAGTGTGTTCCCAAGTGTGTCCCTGAGTGTCCCTAAATGTCCCCAAAGGATCCCTCAGTGTCCTTCAATGTGTCCCCAGTGTCCCTAAAAATGTCCCCAAGTGTCCCCAATGGCCCCAAATGTCCTTCCCAAAGTCCCCTAAAAGCTCCCAGCTGTGTCCCAGGTGTCCCTTCACTGTCCCCAAAGTGTCCCCAGATGTCCCTCTGTGTCCCCAAAGTGTCCCTGAGTGTCCCCAGATGTCTCTCAACGTCCCCAGTGCCTTCAGTGTTCCCTCAATGTGTCCCCAAAGTGTCCCCAACGTGTCCCCGCAGTGTCCCTGGCCCCACTGGTGACGCAGCTCCAGGCCCTCGGTGCCGCCATCCTTGGGGACATCGGGGACCCCGCGGTGCCAGCGCCCCTCTGGGCACACCGGTGACATCACTGCGGACACAGGTGACATCATCAGGGAGCGGTGGCACTGTGGGGACAGAGATGATGTCACTGTGGTGGTGGTGATGTCACTATGATGGTGATGACGTCACAGTGATGGTGATGATGTCACAGTGATGGTGATGATGTCACGGCTCTGCCCCAGCCCTGGCTCGGTGTCACTTTGTCCCTGCCCAGCCCCCAATGTCCCCAAAGCCACCACAACCACCAGAGGGTCCCCAAAGAGTCCCCGATGTCCCCAAGGAGGTTCCTTGGTGTCCCCAACCCCCTCAATGCCCTTCAGGTGGCCCCGAGATTCCTCCACATGTCCCAGGAATGTCCCAGGAATGTCCCCAGTTCCCCCGAGGTGTCCCCGAGGTGTCCCCAACACTCCAAAGTGTCCCCAAACTATCCTCAACCCCTCCAGTGTCCCCAACCCCCCAAAGTGTCCCCAAACTGTCGTCAACCCTTCCCAGTGTCCCCAAGAGCACCCAAAGTGTCCCCAAACTGTCCTCAACCCTTCCCAGTGTCTCCAAGGGCTCCCAAATGTTCCCAAAGTGCCCTGAAGGTGTCCCCAACACCCCCCAAAGTGTCCCAAGGGTGTCCCCCATACCACCCACAGCGCCCAGTACAGCTGGGGACAGACATGGGGACAATGGGGACATCGCTGAGGACAGCCCAGTCCCTCCCAGTCCCTCCCAGTTCAGGGTCCTGAGGGGCCGTTGGGTCCTGGCAGGGTCAGTTGAGGTCCCCGAAGGCCCCAGGCCCATCCCGGAGGGGTCCCAGTGTCCCTAGGGGGTCCCGTTGTCCCCAAGGGGTCCCTGCTGTCCCCAGGGCCCCCGGTCTCTCCCAGCCCACACCAATCCCGGGTTTTTATTCCCGTTTTTAACCTTTCCCTGCTCTTTCTGCCCCCGTTGCCATGGCGACCACGCGGGCCGTCCCCATGGCAACGCTGCTCCCGCCCCTTCTGCATCGCCATTGGCTGCTTCGCCCCGCCCCGCGAGCGCTGATTGGGCGAGAGCAGCAGAGGGCGGGAACACCAAACCCGGAAGCGCCTTCACCCGTTGCCATGGAGACACTGCTTGCACGTTCCCATGGTAACAGGAGTCCCGCCCGTCCCGTGCTGCCATTGGCTGCTGTGCTCATGACGAGAGCGCTGATTGGCTGGGCATGCAGGGGGCGGGGCTAAACGCGGAACTGAGCCCCAACCAGTACAGATTGAACTGGGATAAACAGGGAACTGGGCCTGAACCAGTAGAGACTGAACTGGGAGTGATTGCAAACCAGTACAGGGGCTAAAATGGGAACTGGGATAAATTGGAAACTGGGCCCCAACCAGTAGAGACTGAACTGGGATAAACTGGGAACTGGGCCTGAACCAGTAGAGACTGAACTGGGAGTGCCTCCAAACCAGTTCAGGGGCTAAACTGGGAACTGGCATAAACTGGGACCAGAGCCTGAACTGGGACCAGAGCCCCAGACTGATCTGGGAGCTGCAGTGGTCACTCACAGACCCAGCACTGGTTCATACTGGTCCATATTGCTCCATAGTGATTTATACTGGTCTGTACTGGTTCCTGTCGGTTTGTACTGTTTTATAGTGGTCCATACTGGTCTAGCCCGGTCACTGGCTGTACTTGGGCCCCTCTGTGTTTGCTGTGATCTCCCAGTGGAGCCTGAGCTGGAGGCACTGGTGATGGTGGGAACGGCCACAGCCTGAGGGTCAGCGGGAATGGCTGCAGGGGAACGGCCACAGCCTGAGGGTCAGCAGGAACGGCCACAGGGGAACAGCTACAGCCTGAGGGTCAGCAGGAACGGCCACAGGGGAACGGCCACAGCCTGAGGGTCAGCAGGAACGGCCACAGGGGAATGGCCACAGCCTGAGGGTCAGCGGGAACGGCCACAGGGGAACGGCCACAGCCTCAGGGTCAGCGGGAACGGCCGCAGCCTGAGGGTCAGCGGGAATGGCCACAGGGGAATGGCTGCAGCCTGAGGGTCAGCGGGAGCGGCCGCAGCCCAAAGGTCAGCAGGAGCGGCCGCAGCCCAGGCCCAGCCGGATGTGCCGCTTGTGCTTGGGCTGTGCCACCAAGCGCTTCCCGTGGTCCGGCGTGGTGCTGGGCCTCACTGGCGCGTGGGCCCTGTGGCCACTGCGGCACGGGAGCTTGCTGCCATGTGGGTCCACCGGCATCCAGCTGGGTGGTGTAGGGATGTCCGGCGTGGTTACCGTGGTGGTGGCCAGCTCAGGTTTGATGTAGAAGATGGCGGGCGGGTCCAGCAGCATGGCTGGAGGGGCATTGGTGTCGTCTGACATGATCTGTGTGGGGCCTTCATTGTTGTTGTCACTGTCATCGTCATTGTTGTCATCTTCGCTGTCCTCCACGTGGACCTTGAGGATCTCCTGGGATGGCAGAGACAGGGTTGTGGTGGTGGCCATGTGGAGCTGGAGGACCTCCTTAGTGGTGGCGCAGGTGGCCCAGGAGGAGGGGGAGGAGGAAGGGTCACTGTCACCATGGATTGTCACAATGTCACTCTGGATTGTCATATTGTCACCATGGATTGTCCCGTCCCCACCATGGATAGTCCTAGTGTCACCATGGATGGTCCTGATGTCACCATGGATTGTCCCGTCCCCACCATGGATAGTCCTAGTGTCACCATGGATGGTCCTGATGTCACCATGGATTGTCCCCTCACTGCCGTGGGAACCCCGTGATGACAGCATTGATGACGAGGGTCCTTCTCCCCCGTGACTGAGCCGCAGGGCCACATCAGAGGGTCTAGCAGGGAGAGGAGGATGATGAAGATCTTTCTCCTTCATGGTTGGCATGCACTGACCCATTCGGACTGCAGGTGATGGCAATAATGACAATGGAGACCCTTCACTACCATGGACGGCCCTTGATTGACAGTGGAGACCCTTCATGTCCATGGTTGGCCTTTGATGACAATGGAGACCCTTCATGTCCGTGGTTGGCCTTTGATGACAATGGAGACCCTTCATATCCGTGGTTGGCCTTTGATGACAATGGAGACCCTTCATGTCCGTGGTTGGCCTTTGATGACAATGGAGACCCTTCATGTCCGTGGTTGATGATGATGATGATAAAGTAAAAGACCCATCAATACCGTGGATGGACTCATCTCCATCATGGACATTCCGCAACGATGATGACCCTTCATGAGCACAAATGGTCACTGACGATGGCAATGAAGACCCTTCACAACCACAGACGGTCCATGATGATGACGATGACGAAGGCAAAGACCCATTGAGACCATGGATGGACCCTTGAAGACCACGGATGGACCCATCTTTGATGATGACAGTGACGGTGAAGACCCATCAAGGCCACGCATGGAATCACGACCATCAGAGACATTCCACGATGATGACCCTTAATGACCGCAGACGTTCCTTGACAAGGGTGACGATGACCCATCACGGCCATGAAGGTTCTGTGACGATGCCAATGCTGATGACCAGTCACGAGCATGAACGTTCCATGATGATGGCAGTGCCTCCCCATGACCCCAGCCAGCCCCATCCCCCTCCAGTTCCCGCAGGATCTGCAAACATGGCTCCACCACGTGCCACATCTGCAGCACAGTGGCCACCATCAAACCCCACCTGGAACCCTCCAGGACCCCCCAGATCCTCCCCAGGATTCCCCAAAAGCCGTCCTAGAACTTCCAGGATCCCTTGGGACCTCCCAAACCCCACCCAGGACCCCTTGAGGTCCTCTAGGACCCCCCAAATCCCCCCCAGTACCCTCCTGAACTCCCAGATTCCCTCGGGAACCCCAAATCCTCCCCAGGACCACCAAACCCCCCAGGGCCCCATTTTTATAATGCCTGAAATTGGGATTAAAAGTTGACTTTCCAGGAAATTCATGGGGTTTTGCTGGGAAAAAAAGGGAATTCACTGGAAAATCAGCGTTTTATCCCAATCTGAAGCATTAAAATCCAGGAATTTCCTGGAAAATTGACTTGTTAGGCCAATTTGGGACATTAAAAACTGAGAATTCCTTGGGAAATCAATTTTTTTTTATCCCAGTTTGGGGCATCTGGGGAGTCCTAAGTCCCACTTTTGGGGATTTCTATGTAATTCCCAGTATTTTAGGGGTTCCCATGGAATTCCTGGAATTTGGGGGAGCCTGGTCTCATTTTTGGGGTGTCCCTACCCCTTCTTCCCCTCCCCCTCTTCTCCATTTCGGTTTCCACCTCAATGGCCACGCCCCTTTCTCCAATCCAACCAATCAGAGCTTGGGCCGGAGCCTGGGGGCAGGGCCTGGGGTGGGGGGTGGTGAATGAGGTCCCGGAAGGTAATTGGGGTCCTGGAAGGGGAAAGGTCGCCTTGAGGGGGGGGGGGCTCAGGGTCCTGTCTGGGGAAATGAAGGCCCTGAGGGGCTAAATGGAGTCCTGGAAGGGTAAATGAGGGCTCTGAAGGGTTCAATGGGGTCCTACAGATGGAATTTACAACCCTCGTTTAACCTGCCAAGACCCCCATTTACCCCCTTGGCCCCCCAGTTTACCCTTTCAGGACCCTAAATGACATCTGTAGGACCCTCATTCCCCTGCCAGGACCCAACTCACCCCCTCAAGACCCTGTTTTCCCTTTCAGGACTCCACGTGTCCCCACCACCATGGAAACAGCATCCGAACGTGACTGGGCCTTGCTGGGTTGGTCCCTGTCCCCAAGTGTCCCCAGTGATGTCACCCCAGGAATCCCCATCAGGATTTGGGGCAGTTTTAATGAAAACTCTCAGAAAATTCCCCAAATTTGACTCAAATCCCACCCTGAGATAGGGGGCGGGGACAAATGACACCAGTGATGTCCCTGATGATGTTACCACCCCGATGACATCACAGCAGTGACATCAGTGTCCTCACAGTAGTCTCGGGATGTCCTCGATGGCTCTTTGGCACTTCTCGGCCACTGCGCGGCCACCGGGTCCACCATGGCAACTTGAGAGGAGCCTGCGGATGTCCCCAAGTGTCCTCAGCAGGTGACACGTGGCCAGGCGGGCGCTGGCCTCCCACAGCCGCTCAGCCTCGGTCACCGCGGCCACCAAGGCCGCAGGGACATCGGGGGACATCTCATTTGTCCCCTTCAGGGTGGCCTCGATGTCCCCGAGCCGGCGCTGCAGCTCCCGGGGGAACGTGGTGGCTTTGTCACACACAGCCACCAAGCGCTCCAGCAGCTCCAGGGCCACCTCTGCCCGCTGTCCCCTCCTGCTGGCTGCCCCAGCCTCGCTGGTGGCCACCCCGGTCTCTTCCGTGGCCTTGGTGGCCGCCACCACCTTGTTGGTGGCCGCTGCCACCCGGGCCTCATGCGCAGCCAGCGCTGAGGTCGCCTCCTCCTTGTCCAGGGCCAGCAGCACCGGCCGGGCCGCGGCCACCAGGTTGTCCCTGGCTGTCCCCCACTGTGTGGCCTTGACCTGCAGATCCCCAGCCAGGGTGGTGGCGGTGGCCGCTGTGGTGGCCTCCCTGGTGGCCGCGGCCCTGCAGGCGTCGCGGAGCTCGATGGCCTCCCCGGCCAGTCGGTCCCAGCCGTCCCTGAGCTTGGCCACTGGGCCCCGCCAGGCGCTGGCCGCCCTTGTCACATGGGCCCAGGTGGCCCCTGGGGTGGCCCCGAGGGCGGCCAGGGCCTGGCCCAGGGAGGGGACAGCCTGGTGGCCCAGGGTGTCCCGGAGGTGATTGATGAAGGTCCCCAGGGCCGTGTGCAGGGACCGTGGGGACACGGCCAGCAGCACGTCCCCGTAGGGCCCGGCCACAGTGGCTGCCACCTCACCCAGGACGGCCACCACGGCCACCAGCGCCTCCAGCAGCTGTGGAGGGGACAGGGGAGGTGGCAGGGACCTGGTGGCACTTGTGGCCTCCTGGCGTGGCCCCAGTGCCCTTCCAGGGTCCCCTTTGTCCCCTCCCTGGAGGGCTCTGCTGTCCCCCGTCCCTGTGTCACCCCTGGTCCCCTCTGCCCCCCTCGGTCCCCTCCAGCCTCTGTCCCCTCCCCGCCGCACCCCCGTGTCCCCCGGGATTGCCGCACCTCGCGGGGCTCCATGGCCGCTGGGGACACTCCGGGGACGCCGCGGGGACACTGCGGGGACACTCCGGGAGATGCTGGCGGGGAGGGGGGACAGGCCCGGGGGACACTCGGGGAACACGCGGGAAGTGGCGCGGCCGGATGGGGGCAGGGCGAGGTGACGTCCCCGCCCCCCCCTCCCCCCGAGCGGCCCGGGCGGGGTCCCCAATGTCCTCCCCATGTCCCCTACGGGACCCCGATGTGCCCTCAGGGTCCCCACATGGCCCCGGTGTCCCTCCCATGTCCCCAACAAGACCCAAGTGTCCCCCCCGATGTCCTGTTGGGGACTCTGGGGACATGCCGGGGTCCTGTGGGGACATCGGGGACATCGTGGTGACCCAAAACAGGACAGGAGACCTCAGGGTGGTCCCGGTGTCCCCAAGGGAAGGACACGGGGTTGTCCCCAAAGTCCCCAATATCCCTCGGAGTGTCCCCCTACCCCAGCGGTGACAGTGCCACCCCAGTGTCCCCACCCTGTCCCTATCCCTGCCCCACCAGCGCTCTCTGGGCTGCCTCCAGCCTCAGCGTCACCTCCTCGTGCCCCTCACGCAATGTCCCCAAGCCCACTAGGATGTCCCCAAGTGCCCGGGCAGCTCTGGGGAAGCCCTGTCCCTGTGTCCCCCAAGGTGTCACCTCCCTGTCCTGGGTGACAGCGGTCACCAACGTCCCCAGTGCCTGTGTCACCTCCTCCAGCCGCCCCAGCACATCTGCAGTGGCCTCGTTGGTGGCCGCAGCGGCCTCGGCGCTGGCCCTGGCGGCTGCCACCCGCCGGGCACGGTCCCGCAGGCGCAGGGCCATGTCCCGCTGGTGGCTCGCGGCGGTGGCCAGGTGACGCCGTGATGTCCCCAGACCCCGCCAGGCCACCTCGCAGGACACGGCCACCGCGGCCAGGGCCAGCAGCAGGTGGCTGTCCTCGCTCACCCCCAGGGCGGCGCGGGCCGAGTCCAGGGACACTGTGGGGACACGGGGACACTGCACAGGTGGCACCAGGGACATGGCAGTGCCACGCGTCCAGTGGCACCAGTTCAATCCCAGTGTCCCTGTGCCTCTGCCACCAGTCCTGTCCCGGTGTCCCCACTTCCAACCCATTGCCACCCGTTTTGTCCCACTGTCACCACCCGAGTGCCACCAGCCCAGTGTCACCAACCCAGTTCTAGCCCAGTGTCCTTAGTCCTGTCCCAGTGCCACCAGCTCACTGCTCCCACTTCCACGCCAGTGCCACCACCCCATTGTCCCCATACCTATGTCACATGCCAGTGTCACCAGTACCACCCATAGCAGTAGCTCAGTGCCACCAGTTCAACCCCAGTGTCCCTCACCCTGTCCCAGTGTCCCCAGTCCCTTCCTGATGTCCCCATCCCCGTGTCCCCTGTCCCCTCCCAGTGACCCCAGTCCTGTCCCACTCTCCCTGCCCCAGTGTCACCAATCCCCTCCCACTGTCCCCAGTTCCAGCCCGGTGCCACCACCCCAGTCTATCCCACTGTCACCACCCCGGTGTCCCCAGGGCTGCCCCCGTGCCACCAGCCCAGTGTCACCAGTTCCATCCCAGTGCCCCCATCCTGAGGCAGGGAAGGTCTCTACTGGCCGGTGGGGCTCCATACTGGTCTGAACTGGTCTGTACTGGTTCCCTGCATCCCCTGCTGCCCCCTGCTGCTCTGCACTGGTCCATAGTGGTCTATACTGGTCTGAACTGGCCTATACTGGTCAGGGCAGGGGAAAGTCCCTCCTGGTCTGTAGATATTTGTACTGGTCTGTACTGGTCCATACTGGTCTGAACTGGTCCCCACTGCTCTCTACTGATCCATAATGATCCTCATTGCTCTGCAGTGCCTCATACTGGTCTGTACTGGTTTGCTCTGGTCAGGGCAGGGGGAAGTCTCTACTTGTCTGTAAATATTCATACTGGTCTATACTGGTCCAAACTGGTCTGTACGGGTGCAGGCAGGGGGAAGTCTCTACTGGTCTGTTGATACTCATACTGGTCTGAACTGGTCTGAACTGGTCCATACTGCCTCCCACTGAGGCAGTGCAGACCCACAGCACACAGTACAGCTGCAGTGTACTATCAAGATGTATACTGGTCTGACCTGGCTTATACTGGTCTGAACTGGCTTATACTGGTCTGTACCAGTCCATACTACACCATACCGGTCCCTAGCATTCCATACTGCTCTATACTGGTCTGTACTGGTTTGTATGGGTCCATACTGGTCCATACAGGTTTATAATGGTCTATACTGGTCTGTACTGGTCCATAGTGGTTTTTACTGGCACACAGCCCCACACAGCACCATCAGCCCCACAGCCAGCCCATGCCCGGCCCAGAGCCCAACTCATGCAAACTGGTCCGTACTGACTTATACTGGCCCATACTGGTCCATGCTGCCCCATACCGGTCCATACTGCTCTATACTGGTCCATACTGGTCTATACTGGTCCGTACTGGTTTTTACTCACACACGGCCCCGCACAGCACCATCAGCCCCACGGCCAGCCCGTGCCCAGCCTGCAGCCAGCGCTGGCACCGCCGTGCCCGTCTCTCCTCGCGCTCCAGCGCCGCCGCCGCTGCCTTGGCCACGGCCCCGAGCTGCCGCAGCCACTGCTCGTCCTCGTCCCCCAGGGTTCCCAGGGCCACCGCCGGGGCCACCGCAGCCTCCTGGGCCCTCTCCAGACCCCTCTGAGCCTCCTGGGCCTGGCCCAGGGCAGCCTCGGCCTCGGCCAGCGCAGCGGGGACGCTGTCCGGTGTCCCCAAGGCCTCGGCCAAGGCCACCAGGGCCACCAGGGCCCTGCGCCGCGCAGCCAACGCTGTGTCCACCTCAGGGGGGAGGGCAGGGGGGGACACCTGGGGACAGGAAAGGGGGATTAGGGCAGTGGGGGAGGGGTTGGAGGGTTCTGGGGGGGGGGTTGGGGATCCAGGCAGGGTTCTGGGGATCCCCCGTGGGGTTTTTGGGGAGTAGGGGGAGCACGGGGGGGGGGGTTGGGGGATCCTGAAGGGGCTTTGTGGGCCTTGGAAGGGTTTTAGGGGGTCATGGAAGGATTTTGGGGGGTCCCAGGTCGGGTTTTGGGGGTCCCAAATGAGCAGGGGACATCCAGAGGACACGGCACAGGTGTCAGGGTGGACACAGGGGGCAAGGGGGGGTCCCAGGTGAGGCTCCCAAGAGATTGGAGGGGCCCCAGGTGAGGTTTTGGGGGTGCCAGGTGAGGTTCCCCAGGGATTTGGGGCTTCCCAGTTGAGATTTCCCTAAGATTTGGGGTTTCTCAGATGCACAGGTGAGCATTTGGGGGGTCCCAGGTGTCCAAGTGAGGGTCCCAAGGGGCTCCCAGGTGAGGTTTGGGGGTTCCCAGGTGAGAAATCCCAAGGATTTTGGGCTTCCCAGGTGTCCCAGGTGAGGCTTCAGGGAGGTTTTGGGCTTCTCAGGTACCCAGGTGAGATTTAGGGGGTTCCTCCTGAATCCTCCCTGGAATTTGGGGGGTCCCACCCCTCTTTTCCCCCTCCCCAGGCCCCTCTGAACTCCCCAGACTCCGGAACTTTCCACTTCCCTTTTCCCTTCTGGCCGCACCCATGGCCCTGGGGATTCCCAAACTTCAACAAACTGGCCCAAAATACCCCAAATCCCCCCCGAATCCCCCCAGATCCCCTCAGGTACCCACTGGGGGTGACCCCAGGGTTTTGGAGTTCCCACCTTGTGCTCCATCCCTGTCCCCATCCAGAGGCTGCGGCCAGAGCTCTGAGGGCTGAGGGCGTTGAGGCTCTTGGAGGAGGGAGGGACCCACACCCTGATCCTCCCCCGAGGGGCAGAACTGGCCCTGCCAGGACCTCAGGGACCCTTTTCCAGGTTGGGTTTAATTCCTTGAGGCCCAGATCCATCCTCCAGGGCTCCATTTACCTGCCAGGAGCTCATTGACCCCTCTGGGCTCTGATTTCCCCTGCCAGGACCCTGATTTACCCCCTTTCATCCTTTCAGGACCCCACTGAACCTCTCAGGGCCCCTATTTATCCTTCCAGGACCCCATTGGCCCCCTCAGGGCCCATTTACCCCAGCCAGGGCTCTGATTTCCCCTGCCAGGACCCTGATTTGCAATTGGTTTTTGGGATTGTTTCTGGAGATCCAGCAGGATTTTGGGTCTGGGATTTGAGATTGTTTGGGGATCCAGGATTGGAGATCTTTTAGGATCGGATTTGGGGTATCTGGCAGCATTTGGTGTCTGGGACTTTTTGGGATCCAGGATTTGGGATTTGAGAGCATTTAGAATTGGTTTTGAGTGTCCAATAGGATTTGAGATCTGGGATTTGGGATTGTTTGGGATCCAGAATTTGAGATAATTTGGGACTATTCCTTGGGATCCATCAGGATTTAGGATCTGGACTTTAACACTGCTAGGGATCCAGGATTTGGGGTAATTTTGGGATTGCTTGGGATCCAGAAATTGAGATAATTTGGGACTATTCCGGGGAATCCAGCAGGATTTGGGATCTAGGGTTTGAGAGTGCTTGGGATTGGTTTTGTGTATCCAGCAGCATTCGGGATCTGTGATTTTCGGGGACCCACGATTTAGGACCTGAGATCCCTTGGGGTTATTCCTTGGGATCCAGCAGGATTTGGGATCATTTGGGACCCCCGGGGCCCCAAAACCCCCGCCACGCCCCCAACGGGTTCCTCCTCCGCCCTTCCCACGGTCCCGTTCGTGGCCCCGCCCCTTTCCCGTGCTCCCATTCGCTGCTCGCACAGGCCCCGCCCACCTTCCCTTCCTTCCGCGCCCCGCCCCCTCCGCGCCCATTCACTGCTGCCCCTTCCTGCCTTCAGGCCACGCCCTCTCCGCTCCCCATTGGCTGCTGCTCCCACCGCCCCCTCGCAGTCCCCGCCTCTCCCTGCTCCATCGCTCCTCATTGGCCGAACCACTCGGACCCGCCTCGTTGTGGGCGTGGCTGCAAAACTGAGGGGCGTTTCTTGACAGGCTCCGCCCAGCGCGGCTGGGGGGCGGAGCCATCGCGGGCCGGGGGCGGGGCCAGCGCGGGCGGGGGCGGAGCCAGCGTGGGCGGGGGGCGGGGCCAGCGCGGGCCGGGGGCGGGGCCAGCGCGGGCCGGGGGCGGGGCCAGCGCGGGCAGGGGGCGGAGCCAACGCGGGTGGGGGGCGGGGCCAGCGCGGGCAGGGGGCGGAGCCAATCTGGCCCCAACCAGGCCCGGGGGCTCGGGGGCCGAGGGGGAGGGGCTGGGGGCGTTTCGGGGGTTTCAATCAATGGGGGGGCCCGGGGGGTGCCGAGAGTGGGGGTGTGGAGAGGGGGGGGGGTTCTGGTGAGTGTGCGGGGTCTCATGGATTGGGGGGTCCTGGTGTTGGGGGGCGGTGAGGGGGGTCCCATGGATGGGGGCTGGGAGGTGAGTGGGGGGGTCCTGGCACACTGGGGGGGGCTCATGGCTCGGGGGGTCCCAGAGCTTTGGGGGTGGGTGAAGCGGGGGGGACGGCAGCGAATGGGGAGATCCCGGCTAAACTCGGGGGTGGGGGGAACCCTGGTGACAATGGTGGGGGGGGAACAGGACTGAGCCTGAAGGGACCCCCGGTGCTGGGGACCCCTCTGTGCCCCCCCAGTGCTCAGAGTCCCCACTCTGGCTCCTGGGCCCCCCCAGTCCTGGAGCTGTTCCAGGGGTGTCCTGTGGCTCCAGGAGGGTCAAAGGGGAGGGTGTGGAACCCCCGTGATGGGTGGGGGGCACAAAGGGGGGTCCGGCCCCGATGCTCGGGGGGGCGGTGCACAAGGGGGGAGGTCTGGTTCCTGTCCTGGTGCTCAGTGAGGGAGGGTCAATGCAGGGGGGGTCCTGCTGCTCAGTAATTCAGGGGGGGCTCTGATGGTCCCGGTGACTGAGGAGGGGGGAGGGGAAACCTGAGGGTCCTGATGCCTGATGGGGGGTCCTGAGGGAGGCTTCAGGTGCACAAGGATGGTGAAGTTTGGGGGTCCCAGTGCTCGTGGGTCCCAGTGGGTGCCCCAGGGGCTGGGCCGGTCCTGGTGACACTCGGGGCGCTGTTGGTGGCACAAGGACCCCCCCAAATTCCCTTGTACGAGGCCCCGGTGACATGAGGCACTGGTGGCACTCAGGTGTCCACAAGTCTCCCCAGTGATCTGCACCCATGACATCCCAGCGGTGACATCACTGTCCCTGCAGCAGCCTCAGGATATCCTCGATGTTTTTCTGGCACCGCTCGGCCACTGCGCAGCTACTGGGGCCACCAAGACCACTGCAGCTACCAGGCACAGCAGGTGGCGATGGCAGCTCTGGCCTCGGCGGTGGCCGCGTCCCTGCAGACGTCGCGGAGCTCGGTGGCCTCCCTGGCCAGCCGGCCCGTCTGTGTTTGAACACCTCAGCCGACCCCCGCCAGGCGCTGCCCGTGGCTCTCACATCAACCCAGGTGGTCCCAGGGGTAGCCCCAAGGGCGGCCAGGGCCCCGCCCAGCGAGGTGACAGCGTGGTGGTTCAGGGTCCAACGGAGGTGCGAGGTGAAGCTCTGAGGCCCGCGTTCAGGGATTTCGGGGACACGCGCCGCCGCACGCCCCTGTATGGCCCGGCCACGGTGGCTGCCACCTCACCCGGTGTGGCCACTACGGCCACCAGCGCCTCCAGCCACTGGGAAGGTGACAGGGGAGGTGTCAGGGACCTGGTGGCACTTGTGGCCTCCTGGGGTGGCCCCTGTGCCCTTCCAGGGTCCCATTTGTCCCCTCCCTGGAGGGCTCTGCTGTCCCCTCTGTCCCTGTGTCACCCCCTCGTCCCCTCTGCCACTCCCCCTCCTGCCCTACTCGTCCCCTCTGCCATCCCCTGCTCTCCCCCTCCCCGCCACCCTCGGTCCCTTCCCTCCTTCCTGCCACGCCCTCCTGTCCCCTTTGCCACCCCGTGGTGTCCCCTCTGTCCTCCCTGTCCCCTCCCGCTCCCCCCGTGCCGGGGTTGTGGCACCTTGCAGGGCTCCGTGGCCGCTGGGGACACGGCGGGGACACTGCTGGGGGCGAACATGGCCGGGTGACAATCCCCTGTGACAATCCCCTGTGATGAGCCCCTGTGACAAGGCCCTGTGAGAATCCCCTGTGACGAGCTGCTGTGACAAGCCGCTGTGACAAGCCCGTGTGACAAGCCGCTGTCCCACCACCCCAGTGTTCCCCAGGGCCATCCCAGTGCCACCAACCCAGTGCCACCAGTTCAGTCCCTCTGTCACCACCCCAGTGCCACTAGCCCAATGTCTCCAGTCCTGTCCCAATGTCTCCAGCTGTGTCTCAGTGTTCCCAGTTCCATCCCAGGGTCCCCAGTCCCATCCCAAAGCCACCATCCCAATGTCCCCAGTTCCATCCCAGTGTCCCCATTCCAGTGTCACCGGTTGTGTCCCAGTGTCATTAGTTCCACCCCAGAGCCACCAGCCCAGAGGCTCCAGTCCCTTCTTGATGTCCCCATCCCAGTGTCCCCAGTCCTGTCCCAGTATCCCTGTCCCAGTGCCACCAGTCCCTTCCCAGTGCCACCAGTTCCATCCCACTGCCACTAGTTATGTCCCAGTGTCACCACCCCAATGTCCCTCACCAGCCCCATGTCATTATTCCAGTGCCACCAGCCCAGTGCCACCCAGTTCTGTCCCACTGTCACCAGTGTTTTGGGAGGGTCCCAGGTGGAGTCTGGAGGCTCCTGAGGAGTTTTGGGGAGTGACAGATTGAGTTTGAGGGATCTTGGGGGGTTTGGGGGAATCCTTGAAGGGTTTTGAGGGGCCCCAGATGAAGTTAGGGGGATACTGGAAGGGTTTTGGGGAGTCCCAGGTGGGGTTTGGGAGCTCAGGTGAGGTTTTGGGGCATCCTGCGGAGATTTTGAGGGCTCCCAGGTGAGGTTTGGAGGTCTCAGGTGAGTTTTGGAGGTCCCAGCTGAGGTTTCAGGGGTCCCAGTGAGGTTTTGGGGGTCCCAGGTGAGGTTTCCAGGGATTTGGGCCTTCCCAGTTGAGAATTCCCAAAGATTTGGGGTTTCCCAGTGAGAATGCGGGCCGGGGACTTGGGGGGTGGGGGGCAAGGGGCTTGGGCCTGGGGGCGTTTTGGAGGGTTCAATCAATGAGGGGTGCCCAGGGGGTGCCGAGGGGGGGCATGGTGAGTGTAGGGGGCTCCCATGGATTTGATGCCTTAGGTTTTGGCTTTTCTAGTTTTCAGATTCTGTGCTGCTTTTCTCTGTGGGTCTGGGCTTCATATGAAGGGATGGTGAGCTCTGTTCACAGAGCAGGGAGACAAAACAATTCCTGCTCTAGCTGGGGACCCAAGGACAAATAATCCAAATCTCAGGCCCAAGAACATAAACAAAGTGGTCTGAAGAGAGAAAACAAAAAGGATGGGACTTCATCATCTAAAGCTATAATTGGACAATTAACTCCAATATGCAAATGGACCAGAACCTCTAAAAGTGAGAGACCCCGTGACCAGTCGTCCATTTTGTGATCATTTTGGCTCATCTTGGGCGTAGCCCCGGCTCTTGTGCTGCCCAAGGTGTATCCATCGAGGCCTTTGAACAAATCCCTCCTTTGTTTTTGAACTCTGGCCTCTGTTCTAGGTGAGCCTTTCCAAGGCATCAGTTCCTGGCGAGCACGAAGGGAGCCACGGCATCCGGGCAAGCCCCGGAGCAGAGGCAGAGGAAGGTCCGGCTGCTGCTCCCGGGGCGCTCCCGGGGCACTCCCGGGGCACCGCAGAGGGTGTCGGAGGCCAAGAAGCTCGGGAGCTGCGGGACAGGCGTGAGTGGCCGAGGGGTGTTGTGTTCGGCAGGTGGGTGGGAAGGGCTGTTCTGGCTCCGGGATGCAGGCGGGGTGCGGGGTGCGTGTGCCCCGCTGGCAGGAGGGCGGGCGCTGTTCAGCGGGGCGGCTCGCAGGATCGCAGCGGGGATCATTCTTGTGTCCCCACCGCGGGGTTGGGTTCGAATGTCGCTCTCCCTCTCGCTGGTTCTTTTAATTCCTACTCATGACTGTTAAAATTCGGTGTGTTTTCTGCTGCGAGTGTTGTAGTAATAATATCCCGAGAGACAATCCCCTGGGGTTAGTACTGAGAAACTGGGGAGCCTTGTTTTTTAAAAATCCAAATTTATTAGAGTCTCAGCAAAGATCTGGTCGCGGTATGAGCTGGAGGACAATCACGCGAGGCCCGAGTTTGGTAGTTTGGATAAGAGATTAATATCAAGTTTGATTTCCCGTATAGCTCTGGATAAATACTCAGGGTACTCCGGTGAGCGAAAGTATGCGAGGCTCTTTCTGGTGTCAGCATGTCAGCGGAGCCCAGCAAAAGGAAGAGCATACCTGTGTCCTACAGGGGAAAGGGGAGAAAGGAAAAACAGCCAAGATTGGACAACAAAAGTAAAACAAGGGCGGAAGAAGACTTCGATCTCGTTACTCCCATCCTGAGGGTGCGATCGGTCGTGCCCCACCCGCCCCGGCACCGCGGACACGATCGGGGAGCGGGGGAGGCGCAGCCCAGGCGGGGTCCGGGCAGTGAAGGAGGAGAAAGGCGAGCGTGGGCAGGCAGGGATGCCACCGCCCCCGCCCCGAGAGGATGAGCGGGGGTCAGAGCCTTGTGCCGGGAGAGGGGAGGGGATGGATGGCGGTACAGCCCAGGAGGAGCCGGGGCAGAGCCTTGTGCCGGGAGAGGGGAGAGGGAACCTCCCGTGGGGGGAGGGGTTTCTCCGCTCTCAGCCCTGTGAGTTTCCATAGCAACCCTGAACGGCTCCGCGGATGACGTCACCGATGACGCAGACTCGCAGCCCGGGTTAAAAGATGCAGGAAATGCTCCGTGGTGCTTCCTAGGATCGGGGGGTGGTAAAACAGATTATATGGTACAACAGAGTCAGCCCAGTCAGAGAGCTCTTGCTCAAGTAGCTCCGAGGAGGATGAAATTGATGAACTCATTGCAGCCTTGAGCAAGCGAAGGAGGGGAAAGATCGTGAGAAAAGCCATTAAGAGTGTAGCCCCATAGCAAATCTTACTAGATCAAGAAAGAGAAAAGAACCGGTTTTACAAGCCCCGTTATGACAAGAAGTGGGCAACCAGGTGCCGATGTATGTAAAGGTTCCATATTCCCTTGTGAAAAACACGGTTCACTTCTCTGTTACAATTTCAAAGTTTAATAATGGACAATAGGAGGCAGTGACAGTAAAACAAAGTACTACAGCCAAGAGCGCCCCTGCTAGTTTGGGAAACACCCTTTTTGTACCATTTCTATTACATTAACCTGTTGCATATTCATAGATCCTTATGCATATACATAACTAGTTTATATATTCCAGGAACTGTTCAGCGTGGCTCTTGCTCAGCTCCATCTTTTTAGAGCATGCATGTTCTTGGCTGTGGCTTTGGTTCCCTCTCTTGATCAGTTCCACTCTGGGCCTTGGCCCATGCTTTCTTCAGACAGCTGATGCTGATAGTTGGCATATCAATAGCCGGGTCCTCGTGACATGTTCACTGGATGCTATCCTGACCAAACAGACAGTTCACTCCTAGCTATACCAGCTACCAGTACTACTAGGTCTAAGTTTTGTAAATAGGAAAAATAAAAGCAAAGTTATTTTAACATTGTACATACAACATCTTAATATTTATTAAGAAAATATTTATTAAGAAAAGCCAACAATATAATATGCATTTATAACAATCCCACCTCTTCCCTTTTTACAAATCTTTTGGCTTGACAAATATTTCTTGTTTTCTATCCTCCATTATTTGCCTTTTTTTTTTCCCCATAAATATTTTCTACTTCTTCCAAGGGGCTTTTCTTAATTTTTTTGTTTCTTTAATGCCATAATCTTTTGTGCAGTCCCAGATGTAGTCAATTTTGGGTCTATAGGCATTGTTACCACTTGCATGCCCTGGACTGGGCTGGTGATTAGCTGAATAAAACAGGGGATCAAGTAAGGAAGAAACACCAAACCAGCTGTAGCACACAAAAGGAAGAAGCCTAGCTTCTTTTACCATTCTGTGCCCAATACCTTATCCCACCAGCTTGTTTTTAGCTTTGATTCCCACTTTTGGACAGGTACAGGATGACATCTCCATTATTTGGGATTTTTGCCTTGATATTAATTCCATTGCCCAACCAGTTCTGTTTGTTATTATCTCTACAACTGCTTGGAGTCTTCTAATACAATTTAGCATACAAATTGGGGTTTGATATCCCCAAGTCCCATCTTGTGTCCAGGTGGCTGGCCCATATATTTCCAGTATGAGTTCAGGGGCCCATTCTTCATCTCCCCATTTTTGGAATCCTTCAATCAAATCCCTTTTATTCCTTTTTAGTTCCTCACTAACTGGTACTTCTAATTGATCTCCATTTGGTCCTGGTAGAAGAAAAAAATCCTGGCTGTATAATTCCCACAGTGCATCTCCCTTTCCAGCTAGAGGGGAGTTTTGTGTATGCTTTCTTTCCACATATCCAAAATAAGCCATCTGGTGATTTCCAATAATGATTTTTCTGTTGATTTATATTCTCCCAAAATTTGGATATTTCTGGGATTTCAGAATGAGGATTTTCTGCTTGTATCATTACACTGAAAAAGTCCAATTTTGTTATTGTATTTACAGTTTCTCTCTTTCATTTCTCCTCGAGTCCAATACTGAGTTGATTCCTCTGGGATCCACCATGTAAAAGTTCCATTGCTCACTTTATATCTCTCACAGGGAGTATTTCCTACTTCATTAAGAAAATTTTCCCCAGTACGCCAGAGGCATTCATCCCTTCTCACTGTTGAACTTCAAATCCATCCTTCTGGTCAGTTTTCCCCTCTAGTATTTGTCTGGTTCCACTTAAGGAATTCAACCGGGCCTAAGCTGCTGCCTTTCCATGGCCATTCCTCTGCCATCAAAGCTCCTCCACAGACCCCACAGTTGGTTATGTTAAGTTCCTTACTTATTCTCTCCTCCAGTTCCACGAACAAAGTTTTCCCCAGTCTCAAGATGTCTATTTCCTTTTTAAATTACTGTTCAAGTTTTGTATATACATCTTGAAATGAAATTGGCACAGTGTTTGATTGTTGTACTGGCTTTGCCTTTTTGTTTACTAACTGCTCTTTAACTAAGTCCAGGACTTTACTCCCAGTGGCAAAAGTGAAATAAAACCATTTCTCTCCGTTCAGACACTTATTTTTCAACCTGTTACCACTTGTTCCTAAATTTTCCACAATCCAGTATTCTTGCCTATTTTGTATACAATTTCCTAATTTGGATGTGTAATAGCAGTGACTGTTGATATGGGTGTGTGTAACAAAAAAGCAACCCTGGTGTCTTTCCATGTACAGCTTCCAGTAACCTCTGTGACATGACTTTGCTGGTACCCGGAAAGGAAAAAGACAAAGCATGAGTGACAGAAAAAGGAGTAACAGAGGTCTGGCATGGCTGATACCCCCACTTCCCATGCCTATGGGGTTGCTGCCCGTAGCCGGTGTATACGATCTTCTCGCTGGCGAGTACAGTGGCCAACCCAGGCTTGCCCTCTTCTTTCCTTGTCACTTCCTTTTTGCTAATTTCCAGGCAAATATTTTTTGACACTCCTTAACTGTATTTTCCCACTCTTCCTCAGGTATCTCCCATTCAACAGGCACTAATAATTCCCATCCACAAAATGAGTTCTATCTGGATAGGGAATAGATGTGGTACTCAACACTTCCTGTAATAAGAGTGTCGATTGCACGAGCTATAATACCAATTTTTCCCACAATTTAAACATTTACATTTAACCCAGCTAGCATGTCCATTATTAGGATGAATCAAACAAGCTATATGGTATGGCACTGATGGAAGTTGTAATTCTTCCTCTTCTTTGTATGAGTCAAAGGCTAAGGTCAGAACATGAGCTGACCGAAACAGTCCTGATTCTCCTGTTTGAAGTGGAAGTATTCCTCCCCAAGGTGGGTATCAGAGACATCTCAGAACTTGTCCAGGTGGTACTTGAAACCCCTGGTATAAGCTCAGCCTTATTTCTCAGTCAGGTGTAATTCTTTGTACATTCCTTGGATCATCTGGGACCTCCCAGTTCATTACCACCCCATCCTCATTTGAGAGTCAATTTGGTATCATCCGGTTTAGATGTTATAGTCCACTCCTTAGGTTCTTCCACAGGTCCTTTGGTTCTGCTGCTCATTGCCTGGCCTGGATCTCTGCCTCGGTAGTCAGTAGTACCTGAAAAGGACTTTCCCATTGTGGAGTTAAAGATTGTTCTTTCCATGTGTTCTGGTTTGAAAGCAAAACCAGTGAGAGACTCTAAGTCAGAAAAACAATTTATAGAAAAAAAGAAGTAAAATAAAAGACATGCAATAGTACAAAAGAAAACCAGTGATGGAGTCAGAATACAACCTGACACTTCTCTAGGTAGGGTGGTGGCAGCAGTCCAGATGAAGTGGTCTTGTTGAAGTAGTGATCTTATAGAAAAGGTCTGGTTGCTCTTGTCCTCTGGAAACCAGTGGGTAAGAGCAGCTTGTTCTGTCCTAAACTCCAGATTATATCCAGGTGGGGATGCTCAGCTCCTCCCCTCTGGGTGGAGCATCACACAATGGACTGATATAATTCAATGAGTCCTACAGTGGATCCTTGAATGTCAGTTAAATGGAAATGGCTCCCAGAGGGAGTTACCTCAGAGTCATGGGGCAAGTCATTGATGAGCCCATTAACAGGAGATAGTCCAGGGGAAGGAGCCAAGGAAAACATTGCCCCTCCTGGTTTCAAGAGCTCATGAAGATGCTCACAGAATACATACTTCTGGGCACATCTTTATATCGTAACCTGGGACATAACCCACCCCTTATTCTATTTACCATCTGCATCATACCCAAACCCTCTTACAGATATATATATATATATATATATATATATATATATATATATATATATATAAATATATACACATATGTATTTATATAAAAAATACAGACTGAAACCTTACACACAGGTCTCACTTAAAATTAGGTCTCCTTGTGGTACACAACGGGTTTCCCCATCTTTCTGCATTACTCACCAAGTGTAACCAGGTCCTTGAGCAAAAAGAATCCCACGGATGGGTTTGTCTTTGCCTGGGGTGGGATTAATCTAATCAGTCTTTCCTAAAATACCTTTAATGTGTATCACAGGGACTTTATCTCCATCTACTGTGTGCAAGGGTTTTGACTGGGCAGGACCAGCTTGATTGATGGAACCCCAGGTGTTGACCATCCAGGTTCCCCTGCCAAATGCCTTCAGGGTGGTCTTAAGGAGTCTACTGCACTGTTCAACTTTCCTGGCAGCTGGTGCATGACAAGGGGATATGATATATCCATTCGATACCATGTTCTCTGGCCCAGGTGTTGATAAGGCTGTTCATGAAATGGGTTCCATTGTCCGACTCAATTCTCTCAGGTGTGCCATGTCTCCACAGGACTTGCTTTTCCAGGCCCAAGATGGTTTTCCAGGCAGTAGCATGAGGCACAGGGTAGATCTTCAACCATCCAGTGGCGGCTTCACAGAATCACACAGAATCACAGAATCACAAGGTTGGAAGAGACCTTCAAGATCATCAAGTTCAACCCATTCCCTGACA